GTTTTCAGTTTCGTCTATGGTTGGTTCAAATGATTTCCAATTTTTATTAGTTTGTATACCTTCTCCTTTAAACAATGTTTTCTTTGTGAGAATTTCTGCTGCCTCTCTTAATTTTTCCGGCCTGACATTTTCTGAAGAAACAAAGGACTTGTACTTCAGATGTCGTTTAAGTTTTACCTGTATGGTGTTGTCATTACTTGGCAACCTTGGTAACAATGTCACTGTTTGTATTACATTTGCCGGAACATTTACAACATTCCCAGTTATCTTTTGTTGCCCTCCGGAGGGTGCAGCACGCAACTTCATGAATGGTAATCTTGGTGATAGCAATCGCCATTCAAGTGGAGTAAGGTCTCTCAATTCCAATGGGATAACAGGAAATAGTGTTTTATTGTATACTGACACAGATGGAATATGACCATTCTTGATTTGCTTAGAACATGTCAAACAAATCCATTCTATATCCCTGACACTTTTTGTTTTAGTACTACAAAGCCTTGCTGAATCATTAAAAACTTTAAATTTCTTGACACTGCAACGATAGAACATTTGGTGACATGCTGTACACACATAAAATGGCTTTTTAGAAGAGTTCATATTGAAATCTTTGATCAGCTGCTCTGTTTTAAGTTGTCCGGTGTGTTTCCCTTTTTCTCGCAATGTTGTCTTTTTTCTGTATTTATCACTCTTCTGTCTGATTTTCCTTGCTATTGCACGTGCTGCTATCTCTTTTTTTCTTCCAGGTCTTTTTTTCTTCAAGTTGTTTTCTCTTTCTTTGTATTCTGGATTTTGTCTTTTGTTTGCTTTCTTTTGTACATCTACTGTTATCTCTTTTTTTCTTCCAGGTCGTTTCTTTTTTAGTTCATTTTCTCTTTCTTTGTATTCTGGATTTTGTCTTTTGTTTGCCTTCTGTTGTACAATTTTTGCTATCTCCTTTTTTCTTCCAGGTCGTTTCTTTTTTAGTTCATTTTCTCTTTCTTTGTATTCTGGATTTTGTCTTTTGTTTGCTTTCTTTTGTACATCTTCTGTTATCTCTTTTTTTCTTCCAGGTCGTTTCTTTTTTAGTTCATTTTCTCTTTCTTTGTATTCTGGATTTTGTCTTTTGTTTGCTTTCTTTTGTACATCTTCTGTTATCTCTTTTTTTCTTCCAGGTCGTTTCTTTTTTAGTTCATTTTCTCTTTCTTTGTATTCTGGATTTTGTCTTTTGTTTGCCTTCTGTTGTACAATTTTTGCTATCTCCTTTTTTCTTCCAGGTCGTTTCTTTTTTAGTTCATTTTCTCTTTCTTTGTATTCTGGATTTTGTCTTTTGTTTGCTTTCTTTTGTACATCTTCTGTTATCTCTTTTTTTCTTCCAGGTCGTTTCTTTTTTAGTTCATTTTCTCTTTCTTTGTATTCTGGATTTTGTCTTTTGTTTGCTTTCTTTTGTACATCTTCTGTTATCTCTTTTTTTCTTCCAGGTCGTTTCTTTTTTAGTTCATTTTCTCTTTCTTTGTATTCTGGATTTTGTCTTTTGTTTGCCTTCTGTTGTACAATTTTTGCTACCTCCTTTTTTCTTCCAGGTCGTTTCTTTTTTAGTTCATTTTCTCTTTTTTTGTATTCTGGATTTTGTCTTTTGTTTGCTTTCTTTTGTACATCTTCTGTTATCTCTTCTTTTCTTCCAGGTCGTTTCTTTTTTAGTTCATTTTCTCTTTCTTTGTATTCTGGATTTTGTCTTTTCATTTTCTTTCTAGAAGTCTCGTATTCACATAGTTCTTCGTGCTTTCTTTTTCTGTATTTTGCCATATATTCAGCTCGTGACTTTTTGGATTCTTTATTTTGGTGTAATATATCTTTTTTGGGAGATTTATCCTCAGACAGTTCTTTTGCCATTTTGTGTTCAGCCGTATATTTAGCACAATACCTTTTTTTAGGCAAATCTTCATTTTGATTGGTTTTACTTAGTTTCTTATTATTCAATAACTGTTCTGTTCTACTGTATTTTGTTTTTTCCACTTGTTCACACTTACTAAGTTCTATTTGTACAGCATGAGATTTTTCTTGTTTATTTGATTTCTTGAACCAACTACTTATGATTGAAGGATCCTCTTGAACTGCACCACTGTTCTTTTCTTTTTGTTTTTCACCTCTTTCCATGGTTGACGATGAACTGCTGATCACTTTAGTTTATGTCTGAAATGACAAAATAACAATAAATTGAGAACAGATGATTTTTAACAAATTATTGAATAAAACATGAGTATTTTTAAAGTGCTGTTATATTTTATGTTATATAGTTAAAGGAAAACAGTGTTTTTGAATATAAATAAACTGATATCAAATGTTCTTTGCACATTTATATGGAAAGAAAATTTATATTTAAATGTATTTTCATTTACTAATCTTGTTGACTAAATTGTTATTTTGAAGAAAATGTAAACGTATTGCAATAACATCATAACATCCAAATGTTCCAACTTCTTTCAAAATGTGAAGAACATTAATGCTTTCATGCCAACAATAAACTTATCACTGTACAGGAATATGTGTTTAATAATCATGATTTATACAATTAATGAAACAAAGAAATTCATGGATTAAAACACCTATCCCTGTAAAACAAATAATCAACATATTTGAAACACTGAACTTTTGTTGTAAAGCTTTTTTCTTAATTCAGTACTTCTCATCTTTGGTAACTGTTTTCCACTGTTTTTCTCTCAAATGATTATACTTAGACATTTACTTCAGACAGAAAATTTGTAGCTGTTCAGTTTTTCAGAATGGAAGCATAAATGAATATGTTGAAGTGCCACAATGAAGAGAAGACCAAGAACTATTCTTGAGACATAGAAAATTTTTTCTTTAATTTGGGCAACATTCATATTCAACTAAAAATTTCCCTTAACTGTCATATACTAATACCTACTAATATCCATATATACTTACTATATCTGAAGAATTCAAAGAGCATATAGGTGGAGAAAAGAATAGATATAAGCCCTTCCCTAAGTTCAGGCCTCTTGTATGTATTCTTTTCTTCAGCTATATGCTCTTTGTAGAGCCATTCCTGGGTGAGTATCCAGTTCCTAGGTTAAAAGAAAAATGGTATAAGTAATCTGTAAGTAAAAATTGGTGCAAAATTTTAATTAAATGTTAATATGTGTAGAACCTTCATAGGACTGTATACCCTGACCTTATATGACTAAATTATATATACTTATATGACCTTCAACCAAAAATACTGATATGTAGTCTTGAACTTAGGAAACACCGTTTATGATTTAGTTTGATAACCTCTAGTCAATTTGAAGCAAGTTGAAAAAAGACCTTTTTGACCTATTTTGACCTTGAGAAGGTCATTGAAGGTCAAATGTCAAATCTTAAGTCAGATTTGAACTTCTTAGAACATGTAGATGATTTTGAAAAAAAAATTCGTCAATTTGTAGCAAGTTGAAAAAATACTTCTTTGACTTTTTTTGACATTGAGAAGGTCATTGAAGGTGAAATGTCAAATGTAAAGTCAGATTTGAACTTCTGAGAACATGTAGATGATTTTGAAAAAAAAATTAGTCAATTTGAAGCAAGTTGAAAAAAGACCTTTTTGACCTTTTTTGACTTTGAGAAGGTCATTGAAGGTCAAAATTTGAACTTCTGAAAAGATGTAGATGATTTTGAAAAAAACTGGGTCAATTTGAAGCAAGTTGAAAACAGACCTTTTTGACCTTTTTTGACCTTGAGAAGGTCATTGAAGGTCAAATCTTAAGTCAGATTTGAATTTCTGAGAACACGTAGATGATTTTGAAAAAAAAAATTAGTCAATTTGAAGCAAGTTGAAAACAGACCTTTTTGACCTTTTTTGACCTTGAGAAGGTCATTGAAGGTCAAATGTCAAATGTAAAGTCAAATCTAAAGTAATATTTGAATTTCTGAGAACATGTACATGATTTTGAAAAAAAAATTTAGTCAATTTGAAGCAAGATGAAAAAATACCTTTTTGACCTTTTTTGACATTGAGAAGGTCATTGAAGGTCAAATGTCAAATCTAAAGTCAGATTTGAATTTCTGAGAACATGTAGATGATTTTGAAAAAAAAATTAGTCAATTTGAAGCAAGTTGAAAAAAGACCTTTTTGACCTTTTTTGACTTTGAGAAGGTCATTGAAGGTGAAATGTCAAATCTTAAGTCAGATTTGAATTTCTGAGAACACGTAGATGATTTTGAAAATTTTTTTTAGTCAATTTGAAGCAAGTTGAAAACAGACCTTTGTGACCTTTTTTGACCTTGAGAAGTTCATTGAAGGTAAAATGTGAAATCTTAAGTCAGATTGAATTTGTGAGAACACGTAGATGATTTTGAAAAAAAAATTTAGTCAATTTGAAGCAAGTTGAAAACAGACCTTTTTTGACCTTGAGAAGGTCATTAAAGGTCAAATGTCAAATCTAAAGTCAGATTTGAAGGTCAAATGTCAAATCTGTCAAATCTAGTCAGATTTGAATTTCTGAGAACATGTAGATGATTTTGAAAAAAAATTTAGTCAATGTGAAGCAAGTTGAAAAAAGACCTTTTTGACCTTGAGAAGGTCATTGAAGGTCAAATGTCAAATCTAAAGTCAGATTTGAACTTCTGAGAACATGTAGATGATTTAGAAAAAAATTGAAGTCAGTCTAAACAGTATTTGTTAAGTTATAGGAAGTTGTAAGAAATTGTTACAGACGCCGGACGCCAACCGCCAGACGCCGGACACCAACCGCCAGACGCCGGACGCCAACCGCCGGACGCCGTCAGAAAAAAACGGAGACCATAACAATATGTCACCACTTTTGGTGGTGACATAATAAGAAAAATGGTGTAACAGTTTCCAGTTTTTTTGACGACTCTGTAGTGTATGTCCTGACATGTCTTACTCTTTACAATGCCATTTTTACACTGAAAGATATGATGATGTTTTTTAACCATACAATTTCATGACATAATTACACTACAAGATACCACACCATGAACAGGGTGAGCCTATTTCCTACCTGCTACTCCAACGTCCCAGCCTTTGATAACTTCACCTGCTCCAAGTCTGAACTTGAATGGTTTTCCTCCTTGTGCTGAGTCAAAGACCTTGCCATTCTTTAACATGCCTTTGTAGTAAACACCCACCTGGGGGAAAAACATTGTTTTATGCATTTATTTTATTTTATGAACCAGAGGCCATGAAAAGAAACTTCGAGAAGTTTAAAATTCCTAAATCAACTGATTTTACTCCCATGATTTATGAAAGGACAAGGACTGAAGACAAGAAACTGACAGGAGAGAAATATACATGTAGCTCTATGGAGGGGGTACATATACTAAATAAAATATTTATGTGTTCATTTTATTTAAGTATTCTGATGATATTGTGAATATTGCCTGCAATTTTTTCATCTGCAACTTCGACAGATTTTACCTATTAAAGATGATTATTCTTTATAACTTTTACAATATTTGAATGTGATGTCATAAAGTAACTGTATTTCCAAATCTAAGATACAACTTGATTCACAATCGGATATGGCTTACCATTTTTCCAGCCTTTGCTTCTGGTCCATGGCCGTCTTTTGAGTCTTCTACTATAAGACCTCCCTTTAGCGTTTTCTTCACAGATTTTGGAGTTGGTTGGGTCTGTTTCTTGTTGGTCTCATTCTGAGCTTCCTTCCCTTTCTAAAAATACATGTTTAAATGAATACTCAATAGATTTCCCATGTAAAATAAAAATAAACAACTCAATTAATAAGTTTTAGCCAAGAAAAAAAGATTAAATGACACAAATGAAAATGGCATATGGCCAGCATTAAGTTTTTAAAAATCATATTGTTAAAGCTTCCAAATGTAACATTGAAGCACTCTACTGCTGTTATGGGGCAAAGATGCTGTTACGCTTCCAAGTATAAAGTATCAGATGTCAACAAAATTGCTCTATTACTTTTCAAGTAATAGCAACATTTTTTTTAAGAAAACATATACAATAGGGCAGTAGGTGCCACTTATCACATAGTTGCCATTTGCCATATGCTTGACAGAATAATAAAACTGAAAAGGGAAGAAGTCCTTACCTTGGCACTGCCATTGGTTGCTGGTTGTGCTTTATCATCTTGTTGTTCCTCATTTTTCTTCTTTTTGTTTTTCTTCTTTTTCTTTTTACTAGATTGTGTCTCTGGGGGTGTCTAGAATTGAAGAGATATTTCAGTCAATCAGTGTCTGACATCTATGTGAATGGGACATAATCTAGCTGGATAGGCTAACAAGCAATTGTTTACCAAATATTCTCTTACACAATGACAAGAGTTGTTACATTATTATATCTCAAGAAATTTTGCAGCATTGGCCAAATATATGTTACTTAAATGGGAAGGAGTACATCACAAATAATGAACAAACATTGGATTTCGTGAAGAATACATGAAAAAATATTGCAATATAAGTTGCAAATATTTCAGTCTTGTATCAAGTCCGTCCACCTCCATATATACTATATTGTTCCCTGAATAACTAAAAAAGTACTAAAGGGGGGAGACCTAATGAGAAAATAAGAGAATCTTACATCTGGGACTGTTGGCTTGGGAGTAGGAGCCTCTTCTTTCTTATCCTTATTTTTCTTTTTAGAACTCTTCGATTCTTCCTGAGGTTTTTCTTGTGTGGCTGTTGCTTGTTTTTTCTTGTCTTTCTTGGACTTCGAGCTAGCTGGTTCCTGTATATAACTTGCCTGGGGATCTTCTTCATCTTCCTCGTCAGATTCCATTTCTACGGACTTCAGGAAATCATCATCACTCAGATCTACAAAGGGAAAACTAGCGTTGGATGTGTAATTGTACAAAATCATTTAATCTTTGATCAAAATTTGAATTTCTAAAACACAATCCTTATTGCAGAGATCAATGAGTGATTTCTACAAAAACTACCATTTCATTTACCACTGTTTCATATAGGATGTCATCAATTTAAGGGTGGCTTCAGTTCAGACTTGCTTTCATTGAAGGTCCAGGATAACATTAATTTTTCAGTGTCAAATACTTTCTGCAGTATTGTTTAGTTCTGTAAGGTTCTAGGCTGATTAGTATTTTTCTCAGTGTTTTGATTGATGCATTTATTTATTTCATTTGAATCATTACCATCATCTTCCTCCTCTTCTCCAGAATCTTCCTCATCATCATCATCGTCATCATCCTCCATCTCAGAGTCTTCTTCTGAGTCTTCATCTGATTCTTCTGCCTCATCCAACATAAACTAAAATAAATATATACAATTTATCACTTGATCTGGAACTTAATGTCCTTCAAAGAAATGCAATAAGTTTAGGAAAGGTGGATAGGGTCTAATCCAAAATTACTTTCACAAATAATTCAGCTCCTTCATTGTACATAATGAAAATTGTACTTACATCGTCATCTTCTTCATCACTGTCTTCATCTTCCTCTACTACTACTTTCTGTTTCTTCTTTTTACCAGTAGCTTCTTCGGCGTTTTTCCTTTTGCTTTTCTTTAGTGCTTCTATAGCTTTAAGTTTAGGTATTTCCTCATCTGAAACCAGTAAACACTTAGCTTTGAATCACAGCAGGTTCAAACATCAATCTGCCATGTATACAAAGTTTTAGGGAGCCAGGTTTTTTCTTAGAAAATCCATATAAAAGTAAACTCCTTAATACCAATGGTTTTATTATATTATGCATATTGACACTGTTTTGTTTCAGTTCACTTTAAGGAGTTGGCAAATTTTCTTTATGGTCAATGATAAATTCCTAAAATATCATAACACAAGGAGGCAGTTCGAAAAGTCAGTTTCTGACGGTGAAAAAAGGATCAGAAAATAATTCTGTTCTTAGATTTGTAGAAGATTGCTTTACAGACCACTAGGATCTTCATTGGCGCAGGACATTGAGAATTGTGGATGTTGCAAGACCAATCGCCTGATCATGTAACTAGGCGATTGGTAATGTAAGAGTTTCAAACAAGACTTTACCATTTAAGTTTGTTTCAAATTCAAGCTGTATCATTGTATAGTAATTGATTATTCATAGGCAGACACATCTTGATAAATGAATCTGCTAAACAGTCTGTCTAAATAATGCTCTATTACCTTCAGATGATTCTTCCTCTCCACTCTCATCACTCATCTCTTCCATACCCTCAAAGTCTTGCTGATCTATATCATCCTCTACCAAATAACCTGTGAGATGGACCACACCTACAACGATAGAGAATATAGTATGTATAAGCAATTTTTCCATGAACTATATGATCTAATGTGATTATCTCTTGTAAGCAAACCTTTGAACTCGGGTTCCCACCATCATTCAAAGTAACATACAATAGCCTTGCACTTAAAAGCATTCATAAGTCATTGAGCTATGGGCTTAAATCCTTAAGTAGATCAATGTAAATGAAGCATACATACCCTCTCCATTTAAGAAAAATGTGACCTCCTCTCCCTCTGTAAAGTTCAAGTCAAGCTGTTGGTTGTAGGTTTTCCCATGTTGCAAGACAGCTAGCAAGAATTCAGCTTTGTTTGTAGAGATCATTACACTAACAGGCTTGTGCTTAGCTGAATCTGCAAAGACAGAAACATTTTTCAAAGAGCAAACACAAAAAGGCAGTTAGCCTATGATTTTTATTATTCTAAAATTGACTCTAATTTTTCAACTATCTAGTGTGCAAAAATGAAAAAAATTCTGTTCAGAGTTCTTCACAGGATTTTTTCTCAAGTAGGTGCAAATTTCTCATTTTCACAATTCAGACTGAAATTGGTCAAAATATGCCCATTTTTTATGTTTTTCCTTATTTTCAAGTGAGTGCAAATGGATTCTCAGTGGGTGGAAGCCTATTTTTGAAATTTCAGGTGGGTGCTGCACCCACTTGCTTTAAGGCTGGGGAGATCACTGCACAGATTTACAGATAACTATCCTCTTCTCCTTACTTTTCAATGCCCCAATACAAGGGATCAAAATGCTTTTCAGCTTTAAGTAAAAAGCAATGTTAGTGACATCCATTTTTTTACTTACACATGAAACTTTTTAAACATTTTGACAGAGAAAAATATATACTGTATCATAAACGACTAGCGGATCTAGGGGACGGCATGTGCCCACCCTAAAATCTTTCAAAAAATAATATGTTTTCAAAAATCCGATAAAACACCTGTTATAGTTTTAAAATCTCTCATAAAATTTAACCAGGAAATAAATAAAAGTTGTCTCAAATTAGATTTAGTATTTTTCATGAAGTCATTCATATTTTAATTGTGAGAAAATGCTCAGATTGCCAGTAATTGCACTCTAATTTTCACAAAAATGTTTGGATGCACCCCCATAGCATATGTTCAACATTCATTCTTGCAACTTTTTGTGATATATTAGTGCCCCCTCCAGCCCAAAATCCTGGATCCACGTGTGTAAACTGATGTTTAGGCCTCCAGGTAAATCTTTATCAATTCTGGATAAATCATATCTCCCTGGTCTAACATTTTATCACATTTTGAAAAAGTATTGTGTTGATGCCGTCTTGTGCTGATGGGCATGGGCCTGTATGGGTAGGCACCACAACTTGTGTGCCAAACTCAAATTTACCTTTAGGTTCGAGTGTTGCTGCTGATATGTGGAAGGATCGCTCAACGGTCTGAGTATACCGCTTTCCCTCATCAAGCGTAACTCCTACAAAAAATAATATGGCAATTAGTCGAGCATGGTTAAGCATATAAGTAATGAGTTCAAAATAACATGGGATTCCAAATTACTAAGTGCTAAATTAAAATTTCTCAACATACAGAACTACAACCAAAAGTTGGTGACACAAAAAAAGTTATTTCTCGCTTTGTGTAATGGGACAGATAGGTACCCTTCATGGTCCCATATGGCCTTGTCCCATATAATTTGAGAGAGCCGCATGTTTTGAGTGAGAATGTTTCTGGTGATGTTTAGAATCCAATGAGTCAAGAATTATGTGCATAGTAGTGATGTTTTTTTGAGACTTTTGAAAAATAATGTGTGCTTTCTATGGAGCCGTTGCAAGACCAGAACGAAGAGATGGTCTTGGTACGAGCATGGGCTTTCTGTTTCTGTTGAAAGTCCATGGTATGAGAGGCAAGATAAAATGTAAAGTACTCAGGTGTGAATATTTTCGAAACAAATGCGTGATATATACACATATTTTGTACCAAATGCGTGACATAAACGGCAATCGCGTGCAAAGACCGACAGAATGCGTTCGCTTTTTTTCGACGTTCACTTTTTTACCATTTCGGCATTTCACAAAGAACTATTTTTAAAAATATCAACAAAATGCGTGATTTGCGTGATATTTGATCATACACGGGCATTCTCGGTAAATAGTACCCAAATCTTTTTTTAAGTTTGTTATCGTTCTAAGGGGTCCTTTTTATATAAAACTGTATTTCCATAATGTTATCAGGGGTTATTGGCTTAGATATGTGGATATTTTAGTAAATTACTTATCTTCAGTGTCTTATATTAACTCGGTAAATGGTACCCAAAACGGCTTTTTCAATGGCAATTTAACACAGACTGGGTACTATTTACCGAGTTAATATAGGGGAAGGGACCAGTTTAGTGTCTTATATAACTCGGTAAATAGTACCCAAAACGACTTTTTCAATGGCAATTTAACATGGGCTGGGTACTATTTACCGAGTTAATATAGGGGAAGGGACAAGTTCAGTGTCTTATATAACTCGGTAAATAGTACCCAAAACGACTTTTTCAATGGCAATTTAACATGGGTTGGGTACTATTTACCAAGTTAATACAAGACACTGTTATATCAAAAAAATTCAATTATTTACTTTTTATATAATATATATCATTCTTAATTGCCCTTCATTCTAAAGAGGGATTTATTTGAGGGGCCTTATATAAAAAAGAGGCATGGTATTTTTTGGGGGTAAAGAAAAAGAAAATTAAAGAAATATAACGATTTTAATTTGGGTACTATTATAATAGTACCCAAATAAATAATACATATTGTTGTTTAATATTGGATAATGAAATAATAATAATACCAAAATATGAATAAATTATAGAGAATAAAAAATATAAAGATTTTAATTTGGGTACTAAAATGATAGTACCCATTTCAAATTATTTCTTAAAGGTTCTACAACTAATAAGGAAAATATATTTCACTACTTCAGTAAGACATTGATTCAAAATCAGCCGTTATTGCAATTTTAAATACATTTTTCTATATGATTAGCCTTATTAGTGTATGTTTTTTACTATATAAAAAGTACCCAAAACGACTTTTTCAATGGCAATTTAACATGAGTTGGGTACTATTTACCGAGTTAATAAAGGGGAAGGAACAGTTTAGTGTCTTATATTAACTCGGTAAATAGTACCCAAAACTACTTTTTCAATGGCAATTTAACATGAGTTGGGTACTATTTACCGAGTTAATATAGGGGAAGGGACCAGTTCAGTGTCTTATATTAACTCGGTAAATAGTACCCAAAACGACTTTTTCAATGGCAATTTAACATGGGTTGGGTACTATTTACCGAGTTAATATAGGGGAAGGGACCAGTTCAGTGTCTTATATAACTCGGTAATTAGTACCCAAAACGACTTTTTCAATGGCAATTTAACATGGGTTGGGTACTATTTACCGAGTTAATATAGGGAAAGGGTCAGTTCAGTGTCTTATATTAACTCGGTAAATAGTACCCAAAACGACTTTTTCAATGGCAATTTAACATGGGTTGGGTACTATTTACCGAGTTAATATAGGACACTTTTATATAGAAATTATTAAATTTTTATTTTTTTTAAATATTTTTTTATCATCCTTAATTGCCCCTTCATTCTAAAGAGGGATTTATTTGAGGGGCCTTATATAAAAAGGGGCATGGTATTTTTGGGGGTAAAGAAATAGAAAATTAAAGTACTATAAAATATTTTATTTGGGTACTATTATAATAGTACCCAAATAAATAATACATATTGTTGTTTAATATTGGATAATGAAATAATAATAATACGAAAATATAAATAATTATAGAGAATAAAAATATAACGATTTTAATTTGGGTACTAAAATAATAGTACTTATTTCAAATTACTTCTTAAAGGTTCTAGAACTAATAAGGAAAATATATTTCACTATTTCAGTATGACATTGATTCAAAATCAGCCGTTATTGCAATTTTAAATACATTTTTCTATATGATTAGCCTTATTAGTGTATGTTTTTTACTATATAAAAAGTACCCAAAACGACTTTTTCAATGGCAATTTAACATGAGTTGGGTACTATTTACCGAGTTAATATAGGGGAAGGAACAGTTTAGTGCCCTTATATTAACTCGGTAAATAGTACCCAAAACGACTTTTTCAATGGCATTTTAACATGGGTTGGGTATGTAACGACCCTTGATACCAAGTTGCTACTACAGTCCAGCTGTAGTGGCTTAAGCCTTTATAGCTCAGTAAGTAGAGCATCAGTCTTTGGATCCAAGGGTCCTAGGTTCGATTCCCACACGGGGCATTGAATTTAGCACACTTTCTTTCAATTTCTTTATCTGGCTTGTTACACTATGCTCGTTAGTTAATTAGTTAGTCATTCCCCTGGGGCGCCCCCGGGTCATTACATTGGTGTCAGATGTGGGATCAGAGCATTGGTTGTATCCTTTGCGCCCTTGTATATATGGTAGTCATTGCTAGGGAAGCAGGGCTGACCACGAGGACGTGGTCCTTTCAAAGGGGGAGATAGTGTAACGACCCTTGATACCAAGTTGCTACTACAGTCCAGCTGTAGTGGCTTAAGCCTCTTTAGCTCAATCGGTAGAGCATCAGACTTTGGATCCAAGGGTCCTAGGTTCGATTCCCACACGGGGCATTGAATTTAGCACACTTTCTTTCAATTTCTTTATCTGGCTTGTTACACTATGCTCATTATAGTCGTTAGTTAATTAGTTATTCCCCTGGGGCGCCCTCGGGTCATTACAGGTACTATTTACCGAGTTAATATAGGGGAAGGAACCAGTTTAGTGTCTTATATTAACTCGGTAAATAGTACCCAAAACAACCTTTTCAATGGCAGTTTAACATGGGTTGGGTACTATTTACCGAGTTAATATAGGGGAAGGTACAGTTTAGTGTCTTATATTAACTCGGTAAATAGTACCCAAAACGACTTTTTCAATGGCAGTTTAACATGGGTTGGGTACTATTTACCAAGTTAATATAGGGGAAGGAACAGTTTAGTGTCTTATATTAACTCGGTAAATAGTACCCAAAACAACTTTTCAATGGCAATTTAACATGGGCTGGGTACTATTTACCGAGTTAATATAAGGCACTTTTATAGAGAAAAATATTTGAAATATTTTGTTTTATATATATCATCCTTGCCCCTTCTAAAGAGGGATTTATTTGAGGGGCCTTATATAAAAAAGGGGTATGGTATTTTTGGGGGTAAAGAAAAAGATTTCTAAATTTTATTAGTATTTTGGTAGTAAATAAATTAAAAGGACCCCTTAGAATGACAATAAATGAAAAAAAACGTTTGGGTACTATTTACCGAGAATGCCCATACACGCTAAATTGATGCGTGATTTCTATTTCCAGCAAATGCGTGACAATCACGCCTAATGCGCGAGGGTTGAAAGGGCAGAGTACTGGATAATGTGAGTGTAACTACTGGTAGGTAAGTGACAGTCGCATTCATAGTCAAAATCTTACTTTTAAAATTTGATTGACTCAGAGGAAGGAAATGTGATATGGACTTCACGCTCAGATTAATTTTTTTTTAGATCCAAAAGAATAAAAAAATTCCGGAAGTGTTGGCAATTTTGCAGTGGATCCAGTTACTTGTGGCTTTATAACCATAACATAACCTTAACTATTTAGTGATACACATTTATTAACGGTCGAAATAACATATTTACCCCAAAACATGCTGGAAACCTCTGTTATAACTGGCATTTCTCGGCAGACCGCTGAACCATGTGTTGTGTACTGCCGTAAAGGACGGGACGTTTCGTTTTCCCCCTGATTGGACCCGCGATTAGAAAAGCCACATGGTTTATTTTCACATGATTTGACCCTTGGAAATGGAATAGTAATACCATGAAAGTTTGGTGTTTTACTCGAGAGATTTTAATGTGTACATATAAGTAAATATATTAATTATAAATATTGTCAAGGATAAGTCGCTGCATTATGTATTTGTGCAGAAAATACTAAAATTTTGAAACGGTTACGAGTTAAAATTTTCGAGTCGCCATTTTTTATTGAAATTTTCAAAGTCAAACTTCTAGTGCGATATATTCGTCGTGTACACGCAAATTCTGCAATATCTGTTGTCGGAAAGACCTAACTTCGATATCTTGACATGTTACATTGGAAATAAAATCAGTTTGTATTTAGTTTTTTTTAGATTTGTAATCTAGAACTACAGTAGTCTAACTCTAATATTTTCCACAAAAAATCATAAATATTTTCAATTTTATGCATAGGCCTATATATATAGGAATTGAATATACTGTATGAAGCATATTTCTAATGTTATTTCAGCTAAAATTGGGTTTCAATAAATCACTAGAGAGCCTAGACACATCATGCCATAAGGTGCTATGGAACTTAACAGGAAATGACAAAACAGGAAGTGACAATTTTTTTTTGCATTTTTAGATTTTTTTTGAGTAAAGATAACAGAGTTCTGGTTTGACCTCCAGTCAATTTAACTATTTCCACATATCATTTACATGACCAGGATCACAATGTGCATGCTCAGAATGACCCTAAACATGATGAAATAACCTTTTTAGCCCTTTGAAAGTGTGACTGAAAAAAAGCTAAAAGTAGGAGCGTAGGGAAGGTCACTGAACAGAATCTTTTGAATTTTTCAGAAAATGTGCCCAATATATTGCTCTAAATGATACAATCTTTGAAAATTTGATATCATTCATAGAAAAAGAAAAAAAATGAAAAAACTGATTTGAAAAGCGATCTATTTTCCTTTTTATGACTGCCATTTTTGTTTAAGACAATTTTCTAAAATTTCAAAGATTGTACTAGTTAGAGCATTATATTGGGCACATTTTCTGAAAAATTCAAAAGATTCTGTTCAGTGACTATCCCTACGCTCCTACTTTTAGCTTTTTTTCAGTCACACTTTCAAAGGGCTAAAAAGGTTATTTCATCATGTTTAGGGTCATTCTGACCATGCACATTGTGATCCTGGTCATGTAAATGATATGTGGAAATAGTTAAATTGACTGGAGTTCAAACCAAAACTCTGTTATTTTTTTTCAAAAAATATCTAAAAATGCAAAAAAAATTGTCACTTCCTGTTTTGTCATTTCCTGTTAACTTCCATAGCACCATAAGGTCAGGTCAGACCATTAGGATTTTCTCTAGCTCCCTAAGGATTTGGACCACAAGGCGGGACCACACCTGGCATCGGGACAAGTAGAATTGACCGAAATAAATATCTCCACTGCCCTCCACTCTATGTGTACCAAGGAAAAAGAGAGTGAGGACCCTGTCGAAAAGTTTTGTAATGTATAACTGTTTCGTATGAATCGGTGTCGGTGAAGGTCATAATGTCTGTTTCGTATGAAACTGTGAAGGTCATATTGCATTGGGACAAATTTGTCTTGTCCAAAGTGGGCCCCTGTAGGCTACACATCAGTGTATGCATGCAAACTTTCTTTGCTCCATGTATGATGTCTATATTATCTCTTCTACTCCCTTACTTCTATTTGTTTAGTGGCTTTAGTTTGTCAAATCTCTGTGACAGAATTGCCATCCTCTTAATCTATAAGTATTAGTCTATCATAGGGGTCGCCTCATTGGTCTAAATCCCATTCATCCAAATCCCAATAGTCTGAATCCCATTGGTCTGAACTTAATTTTAATATCAAGATAAAGATGCTAGAAATGTGTGAACATGGAATACATCACATTGATGTGTGTTTATTGAATAACATACATGTAGATTATCCATTTTGCCATGCTTATTCAAAATATTACATTTCGCATTTCTTGTGGTTACCATACTCCCTACATGTCAATCTGCACTTAGGGGATTAACATCATTTGAATAGATTAGGTAAATGGAATTGAATGTAGGTTTTAGATAGGTTGAGCTAAAATCTTATATTAAGTCTTTCTGTCATGATATTTAAATTGTTTACTCCAGATAATTTTCATTTGGATTTTGTTTGATTTTGTTTCGCAGAAATATAATCTTCGCAAATTTCCCATTTTAAGACTGAGGTGCAAGTAATTGTATATCGTACCATATCCAAATATATTGGGTAGGTAATTACTGTACATAGGGTAACTTAGTTTACAGAGCTTGAGGATTCAGAGAATATGAAATTGAAACTTGTGAAATAGAGCCACGAAATTGTGATTTCTCAAAATTTGCAGAATTAAAACTTGCTTAATTGACCAGGAGTACAGTATTGAAATTTAAATATCATATCAACAATTGTTAATTTTAGGATCATTAGGTTTCTGACCAAAGGGATTTGGACAATTGATATTCGGACCATTTATTTGGCCTATTACCTTTAAGATTTAATTATTTTCATTCATCATACCTTCAAAGGTGTGATTAGAGGAACAATAATAGACAATACACTTTTGATTTTTCCAAATATTGGAATCATCTCTCAAAGTTCTGGGATATAATCACATGGGATTATCTGATGTTTTAATTGATCCTACCTTCAAAGATAGTATAAGATGAGCAAAAAAACAATTTCTATTGATTAGAATTAGCGTTAGTATTAGCGTTCGGTATTTCAGTGCACTTTTCTCAGACTTTTTCTCAATGTACATCGCGATGTGCATCGATGTTTACTATTGAAAATTGCTGATGCATCGATGTACGATTATGGCACATCGCGACAACACAACTACATATACAGTCAAAACAGTGATGTTTGTGAGTACTTTGAATTTAAGAAATAAGCAATCAAATGACCATATTGAAACAGTTTATGTAAAAATAGAAACATTTATATTCACTGGCGGATTAGGGGGGGGGGCCCGGGGTGGGCCCAGAAAAAAAAATTGGGCCCAAAAAAAATTTTGGGCCAAAAAAAGCCTTAAGGCCCCCAAAAAGTCGGCCTTTTTGGTCATTACTGGGCCTTTTAAGGCCTTATTTTTTAAATTCAGGCCAAATTTTGAAGAAAATGGGCCTCAAAATTTCAAAATTTGGGCCCACTTTTGCGTTTTAGGCGCAAGCGCGGTCGTTTTTTCATCTGACCTGAAATTTGGGCCCCCCCCCTTGTTGGTTCCCAGATCCGCCCCTGATATTTATCTTAACTTTTGTATATTTCATGATGAAATTTCAAATAGTTTAATCAATGAAATGGCCAGTGATGATAATTTAAGTAATAAATCAGATGTTCAATTAAAATGTGAAAATAGTAGTAAAGATAGTAATGAAATGGAAAAAAATGAAATTCAATCAGTTGACAAAGGTGCAGATAATATTAACTTTCTTAAAACTCAACATTATGAACTTATTCTTAATCCAAAGGGATGGTTAGATGACCAGATAATTAATGCAGCTCAGTCAGTTCTAATTGGACAATTTGAAAATATTTCCGGATTCCAATTAACAAACTATGCTCCCATTTATGTAGCAAATAAAAATATGTTCACTTGGTGTACTCCAATGATTTCAACTAATGGTCCTTCTGTGCAGATTCATCATAATGGCAATTCTCATTGGGTAACTTCAATTCAAGATTCTGATGGCAAAGTATATTTATTAGATAGCTTAAATAAAAAAGACATTAACAGTAGTTTACAAATTTAATTAACTCAGATTTATAAACCAGATAGGGTAAACCATTTTGATGTTATTATTCCAGCTGTTCAAAAACAAAATAATGGTTATGATTGTGGCCTCTTCTCTATTGCATTTATGACTGAGTTTTGCTTCAATGGGTTCAATGGGACAAGTAGAGTCGTGTTTGAAGAAAAAGAAATGAGATCACATTTGGTATCCTGTTTAACAGAGAAAAAAATTCTTCCCTTTCCAAAACAGACTAAGAAAAAATTATAATTATCCAAAGTTGCCACATCAACATTCCAAGTAAGTTGTTTTTGTCCATGTGGCCAAGCTGATGTAGTACAAGATATGGTTGGCTGTGAGTTTGTGAGTAAAAAGCATGAATGTCAAACATGGTATCATAAAAATTTTCTAAGCTTAAGAAAGTTTCAAAGAAGATGTATTGTCCTGATCATTAATTGATAGTAGGCATGCTCATATAAGTAGGTTGGCAGGTTACATAGATGTATTTTAAAACTTTTGAATTTAGATTTTAGTATGTTTGGCAATGCTGTATTATAATATGTCATCTATATAGATCTCGGTGGATTTTAACATTGTGTATATTTTTAAGTGTATTTTGCAATTCTGTATCTATAATGTATGTATTTATGTATAATGTACATGTATGTATATTTTGAATAAATCATGAAATGCTAATAATAAGTTTTTTTTAATCATTTGTAATATGTTGGTTAACATGAACTTTTAATCAGTAACATTTTCAGTAGAGTTCAGCTGATGAGATCTGAATTGATCGAAAGAAAAACTTGATGCATACTTAATCGACAAAAATAAGAAACTTATAAACAAGCAAGAATGGGTTCATTTCAAATATGATCTTAAATAGGCTACTTTATCAATGAAAGCATCATGTTTTTCTCCTGAACAAGACTGCATATTTGAAATGCATGAGGCAGTTTGATTCCATAATGGACCTTTAATTTACAAACTCAAGTGTATTATTAGAGAGACAAAACTCATATGAATTCATTATAATTTTCCAAAGAATAATATTCAAGCACAATGTATACTAAACTGAACTAAGAAATGTTAGATGAAGCATATTATCTAGGTGGCAAATGACTGACTGATATAGGTGGTCTGTGTGTTATTCAAGCCACTCTGTATTCCTTTAGTTTTTTGCTTTTTAGCCTGGAAACTCATCATGCAGCAAAAAACCATGAAGCATGGAAGCACAGTGTGGGCGAATACAAAACTGAACTAAGAAATAGATGAAGCATATTACCTAGGTGGCAAATGACCATCAGTCATATTAGCGAAAACTTCTGGAATGGGTGTGGTGAGGAATGGATATATCATATTCAATGTAATAAATAAATAGTATTGAAGCACATGTCTATGTTACATAAAATGCAATCTTGATCTAAGAAAATCTTGATAAAGGCTATGAAAGGCTTTTTGCCGACGACAGCCTTTTATTCATGACAGTCGAAAGCAAGCAAGATGCATTAACACTACAGGATAATCTTGATAAACTGGTCTCCTGGGCATCAACATGGCAAATGAAATTCCATCCATCAAAATGCTATGTGCTAAATATTCACAAAGGTAAATCCCCTATCATGCACAATTACACCATGCTAGGGGAAAACCTTAAGTCGGTAACACACATCCCATACCTAGGAATTGACATCACAAATAACTTACGCTGGACTACACATATTCAAACTATTGTATCCAAAGCCAATAAGGTGCTTGGATTTCTCAGGCGCAACCTCCATCAATGCCCTGAAAAAGTGAAGGCTCAGGCGTATAAGTCACTAGTCCGGCCTAATTTAGAGTATGCCAGCTCGGCATGGGATCCGTACCGACAAAAAGATATTGATATGTTGGAACAGGTACAGAGAAGAGCAGCCAGGTTTGTAACCAAATGTCACTCAAGGGAACCAGGCTGCGTCACCAAAGCTCTTCAAGACCTACAGTGGGAGCCACTGAAGGAGCGTCGAGAGGCTGCTAGAGTTTTCCTTTTCTACAAAGGAAAGCAGAACCTAGCAGCCATCGACGTGCCTCCATACTTCCGCCAACAGATCAATACCAACACTAGGTTGTATCATCCTTCTAAGTTCATACAACCATCAACTAGAACGGATGCATACAAATTTAGCTATTTCCCTAGGACAATAGCTAAATGGAACACTCTACCTGGTGACATCTTAGACTGTGACAGTCTAAGTAGTTTTAAATCATCATACTATGCCTATGTCAATAACTGCAATTAAATAGGTGTGTTTTTAATATAGATCTATGTTTTAATGTAAAGGGTCCCCAGTGCACAGAAACAAGCCTGCACTACTGGTAAAGAGGGGTGATGTCAACGCGGTTAGCCTGACAGTCTCCCCAGGTAAAATGAGTTGTAAACCATAGATCTATTTTTAAATGTTAAGGTTTTAAATTATATTCTATTCAAATTCTATCACTGTTAAATTATATATCTGCTTTATATGGGCTTATTAGCCTTTTGCGGATTATTGACATAGACATAGACAACTCTGAATCACTATCAATAGATGGCAGCACTAATCAAGTACAGAGCTGTCAAGTGTCCCGCGAATGGCGGGATTATCCCGCGAATTTGATCAAAATTAGGCTAATTCGCGTGTCCCGCAATGTCCCGCGAAGTCCCGCAAATGTGGTTTTTGACCTCCGCGAATTTCCGAAATTGTTGCTATAGGGGCAATCTGCGCGAGGTTCCATTTTCAGGTTCGGTTTTTCGCGCATGAGCATTAAATTCAGCAATTTAATTGGTTCAAATTATTATAACGCATGCGCATTTAATAACTTAGTTAGAACTTATAATCTAAGAAAGATGTCACTTACGTTCATTATTTCACAGCAGTCCGTACCCATAATGCACCTTATATTGCGGGAATGTTTTTGTTTAGCATATCAAACAAAAAAGTATTCCCCCGACAGAAGAATGACATATTATGAACTGGCTACCGTTTGTGGACGTTTGGTGTGCAAATTTAAACCGAACTGATCGCAAAAAAGCAATTTGAATCATGGGAATGAAGTACTTTCATTAATGAAAAACCGAACCTAGTAAAAACCGAACCTCGCGCAGAATGCCCCTACTCCTATATTGTGATTATCTTATCTTATAAAAGAAGCTAAGTTTTTGCACTTTTGAGGAGTAAAGTTTACCTAATTTTAAGTACCTAGCATGCTGTTGTTTGGTATCAAAATAAAGAGGAAGGGTTCAACTTTCATTTTAATTACGAAAATAGGGATGTAGGTCAAAAATAGTTCTAACGTTGGGCTTTTTACTATCCGTGTGGCCTTCATCTCAGAACTGAGCAAATGTTAGCAAACGCGAGTTACAATAAATGGACGCTGATATCTAGAAAGGGTGCATTGTAGAAAAACCGGGTACCGGGTAGTAAATCCTCCATGCTGGGTTCAAACTTGGTACCCGGTACCCGGTCAAAAAACGGGTACCCAAAAAACGAAAAATACGAATATATAACATAATTAGATTATGAGAAAACGTGTAAGATTTGTTTTGAATTCACAAAAATGTATGTAACATCCTTCAAAATTGAGCTAGAAGCTTCAAATAAAAAGTATATTTAAGGCTCTTTTCTTCCTCTATCGTCATGGCCATATTTTCATCGGTTATGGGGGGGGGGTGCGATCGCACCATCGCACCATCTCCTGGCTACGCCTATGACATTGTAAGACATAACAATTTACAATTCAGTGGACATGATTTTGTCGAAAATTGGGATAACTTAAATTATGATTAATAATCAAAATCATGTAAATTAACACGTCACCTCCCTGCTAAAGCAACGATAGCTATTTACAGATTTAAATCATAATCAAAACAATTCACGTACCAACAAACGAACTATTGAAAATAGAGTAAGATTGATTTGTCTTGTTTTTCAAATCTACTATGTCATTGGCGTAGCCAGGAAGGGGTGCGATCGCATCCCCCTCCCCCTTTCATTACCAATGGGAAGATGATGATGATAGAGGACGAAAAGAGCCTTAAAATGCTTTTTATTTGAAGCTTCTAGCTCAATTTTGAAGGAAGTTACATACATTTTTGTAAATTCAAAACAAATCTTACACGTTTTCTAATGATCTAATTATGTTGTATATTCGTATATTTCGTTTTTTGGGTACCCGTTTTTTTCGACCGGGTACCAAGTTTGAACCCAGCATGGAGGATTTACTACCCGGTACCCGTTTTTTTTCTACAAACCCTATCTAGAAAAGTAACCCCATTCCCTATAATTTGATGTAGATTAATCGAACCGCTATACATGGGCTTTCAATTGAAAGAAAATGCCATGAATAGGTACATTTTAATATATAACATTATGGGGGTAAGCGTTTCATAGTTGTTCACGACGCCAGAAGTGCAAAGTATTTGTTCCGAATTTTTGAATTTCGTGTTAGATTACGGTACTCACACCTGAAGCATGGTTTTTGCTTTTGAAAAATTACAATAAAGTTTAATAATATTCCTATACGTATTTTGTGAAATTGTGTTGACGTTTATTTAAGTTACAATGCAACGGTGCATTGTATTTGATTAATCAGTATCTGGAAGTTTGATTAAGTACTTTTACACGCTTTTACATTAGTCCCAATCACGCAAATCCTTGAGTGTCCCGGGACATCCTGCAAATTTAGGTGAATGTCCCGCGAAATCCCGCAAATTTAGGGCACTTTGTCTAAAAAATCTGTCCCTCTATCAAGTTTTTGGTGGTAAACCTGTTAACTATAGCGCAATTAGGGTGTTTGTCCCTCGAATGGTCCCGCGAAATCCCGCGAATTTGATAAAAATTTGGCCTATTAGCGCAATCACGCAAATCCCTTAAATGTCCCGCGAAATCCCGCGAATTTAGTAGATGTCCCGCAAAATCCCGCGAATTTTGGGCACTGGGTCTAAAAAATCTGTCCCGCGAGAAAATCTTTAGGGGTTGACAGTACTGCAAGTAGGCTAAGTTGAAAATTTCCATGATAATTTGACTTGTTTTTGATAAGCTGTTTTTAGGTAATAAACTTGAAGATATGGGAATTATTTTTGCTTTATATTTCAAAGTTAGATGTATTTTTAACATTTCAAATTACTAGATGTTATAAATTGGGATATTTTATGAGGAATTGATCCTTTTTTCCAACGCCGACCAAGGGTCTAATAGGGTTTTGAAAAAAATTGATGAAAATACGGTACGTTTGGTGACAGTTTTCTAAGACATCTGGATATATTTTCCTCAAACCTTCAGATATTATTAAAGATAGTAATGCAATCTGTATGGAGAAGACAAAATTTATTCGAAAAAAGTACATTTTCAATATAAAAAACGCATTTGTTTTCGATATCAACCAAGGGTTTAATCAGGGGTCAGAATCAGGGGTAAAACGAAAGGACCCTAAAGGACTGTCGTAAAATGTTCTTTTTCGTTCAATGCGAAGTGCTCGTTTGCATTGTTGATATCCGTGTACACTATTTCTTCAATGTATGCAGATTTAGGGAAATTCGTAAGTTAAATAATATGTTGTCGAACTTAAAAAACCGAATCAAAGTTCATTTACTTGATAAATGCTGGTGTTATTTGCCCCGGGAAAAAACCTCGTTCGAGATAAGAGTTCTTCAATCTCCTATCACGAAATGTTGCGGTAAAAATGGCATTCAAAGACCGTTCCAAACAGTATGAAAAAATCGACTTTCTTGGAGAAGGACAGGTATATATGTCATGTTATTGTTAGCTTATTGCCATTGCCATATTAGGTTTTGATATCGTCCTACTTGGTTCTCTTGCACTACTAATGTTCATTCTTGTATGAAAACATTGTTTCAAATTATTTGAAAATCAATAAAATCTATACAATGTAGGCTAGATCTTTTTCTTTACATGTACTGTACATCCTCTTGCTCTTGTTTTGTTCTAGTTTGCCACTGTTTACAAAGCCAAAGACCTTTCTACGGGAGATATAGTAGCTGTCAAAAAGGTGTGTATCTAAGATTTAATGGGGCCTTTAATGCATAATTACTATGGGCATTCAACTACTATGCCGTGAATGTACATTTATTGTTGTATTGTAATGATCTTCGATAGCAAGTCACTACTACAGTCTAAGCAGCTGTACTGGCGAGCCCTAATGGAGTGTCTGCCTTGCGAGCAGAAGGTCCTGGGTTCGATTCCCACACTGGGCATTGAATTAGCAAACTCCCTTTCAAGTCTGGTATCTGGCTCGTTATACCACAACTCCCCGACGGACATGCCCAAGGGTCATTGCAGTGGTGTCAAAAGTGGGATTGCCCTTGTGAATCAGTTACGACGGGACGTTGTCTTCCAAGAGGGGTTGGTGTTATGATCTTCAATAGCAAGTCCCTACTACAGTCTCAGCTGTACTGTGATTCAAAGATAAAAAATGAAGAAAACATTGATTAACTTGTTGTCATTCTCTCCTCAAAACTCATCAATGGCCATCTTCGACAGAGACTCAGTCATCTATGATGCATTCTGATTGGTTGAGAAATTCAATTGAGCATGGTCATGTTTATGTTTGAATCATTTTTATGTCACGACCACAAGTGGTGACATATTGTTATAGTCTCCAACTTTTTTATGGATGATGTTCGGCAGTTGGTGTTCAGCATTCAACTGTTAACATATGTAACAAATGGTCAGTGGTGACATTTTCCATATTAATGCCTTGCTCATTACTTCTTCATAGCTTGTGTATATAGCTAGACCATTGGTAATGTGTATGTACTGTTATATATTCTCTGATAGTACAAATACATCACATATTTATTGTACATTTTGTTTATAGATAAAGGTTGGCAACAAGAGTGAGGCTGCAGATGGCATCAATAGGACAGCTCTGAGGGAAATAAAACTGTTGTTGGAACTTTCACATCCTAATATAATAGGGGTAAGTTGTATGTACCATCAATGTATGAGTACCATTCAAATAAAAGGAGTATGTTAGGGATTTAGTGTGTCAGTCGAGCCAGTAGTCTTGTCTTTTTGTTCAGGCTAAAATGCCACTTGACCAAATCTTCATTTTTATTTAGAATGTGTAAAACTTAATATTGGTCAAATTTATGGAAAATAATAATTTTTCAAATGGCGCTATATATTTCCAAAACTCAACTTTTTATGAATTATATTATTTATTTTTATGAAAATTTGGAATATAGATCTCCCCTAAAAGGTATACATGTGACGTCTTAGTTCTGTAGTTGGCATAATTGTATATTTGTAAGTACTTCACAGGGGTAAAGCAGACCCGATGATGCAATGAGCTTGCTAGGCGGTATCATGACTATGTAACGGGACTTAATGTATAAGTGAGCTCGGCGGTAGGTTCAAACAACGCGGATCCTCAAAGCATGTGCTCATGGTATCATCGTGGCTTAACACCCGTGTACTTGCATATTATGTGGTATTTTAATTAATTTTCAGCTGGTTGATGTGTTTGGTCAGAAGTCAAACATTAGTCTTGTGTTTGATTTCATGGAGACAGATTTAGAGGTAAGTACAAATGTACCACGATCAGACTTTTTGTGCAAAAAATAGTATCAAAACAAATGAATGCAATATATATTTGCTGTAGCCTACTTTTATCAATTAAAAAGCTAAACATGTTACAATCAACACAACAACTTTTCTTTTATTAGATTTCTTTGTTTCTGACTGGTGAGATTAAAAAAGTTTCTAAATTACCTATGTATTTCCTATGTGATTAAGGCATCCACGTTTGATATTGCGAAGTATTGCATTTTCAAATGCAGTAGTAGAGTACATGTACAGTCTGTACATAAATGTTCAAAACTTTATTTTTTTGATTGATTTTTAATTAATTATGAAAACTGTCAAATGTAAAACTGTTTAAAAAAAGAAAAAAGTTTGTATACTTATATTCAATTGATTTTCCAGGTGCTAATTAAAGATTTAACTGTTGCCTTGACACCAGGCCACATAAAGTCATACACCCTACAGACATTAAAGGGTCTGGAGTATCTACACAAGAACTGGATTCTTCATAGGGTATGTTATCCCTATTTCTCATCATACCATACATATCTGGTTAAGTACACATGTAGTATTTTTAATACATGTTTACATACATACATTACATTGTAAGTTGGACTTTCAAGCGTATCCTTCCATTTTGCATAAAACAACAGCATGGTTCATGAATTTCCTTATTCAAATACTTTGCCTGAATACTTCTTATTGTGAACTCCCATCTGGTCCAAATTCACTTAACACTTTTACTCAGTATGTCAAACAAAGTTCAGACAGTTGAATCTATGATACATGCAACTGATTTACAAATGACAGGGTACATGTTCTCAAATTGACTAAAAAATGAGTTCTGGAACCATAATATGAGGTTGTTTTATTATTTCAGGATCTTAAACCAAACAACTTGTTAATAAATGAAAATGGAGTGCTAAAACTTGGCGACTTTGGGTTGGCAAAGTACTATGGGTCTCCCAATAGAATCTACACACATCAGGTTGTGACAAGGTAATATAAAGGGAGGGTGTCACTCAGGATCTTCAAATTTTGAAGTTGGTCATGACTTGTTATATCACCACCAAAAGTGGTAACATATTGTTATAGTCTTCAATTTTTGTGTTTGGCAGTTGGTGTCTATGAACAAATAATGGTATCTGTAATAAATGGCATGTGGTGACAGTTTGCATGTCAATGCCTTGTTTCATTTTCAAGTGACCACTTGTCCCAATCCTTGAAAGATCTCATTGAGCCATGTTATTGTGTCATCACTGAAAAATTTTATATTTACTTCTATTGTTGTATAAGATCATGAATTCATGATATGTGGACTAAGATCTTGTCTTCTTTTAGGTGGTATAGAGCCCCTGAATTGTTATTTGGTGCTAGGATATATGGAACAGGAATTGATATTTGGGCAGTAGGGTGTATATTAGCAGAATTACTTATTAGGGTAAGTGACATTTTCATTCGATTGTATAATTTGTCAGTGAAATTTCAGGCATTTTGAAATTGGATTTATATTGAATTATGCTCCAATAATTATGTCTATACAGTATAACAAATTTATTTGATTTCACATAGGTACCATTTCTCCCTGGGGAGTCTGACTTAGATCAATTAACGAGGATATTCCAAGTTATGGGAACGCCCAATGATGAGAGATGGACAGTAAGTCGTCAACAATGTACTTATTTGTGTTGTTTATTTAGCTGTTGATAAACAAATTTAAATAATCAAAAGTAAATCTAAATGTAATGCCTGAGACATATAGTGGATGATATCTGAAACCCTTGTTTGGCAGATATAATGTGATCTCTCTTTTTTTGTACAGGGTATGTCATCACTACCAGATTACATCAAATTCAAAGATTACCCAGGCACCCCCCTCAACCAGATATTCACTGCAGCTACAGATGATCTCCTAGAATTGCTCAACAAACTATTAGCTTTAGACCCTTTAAAGAGATGTAATGCAACCCAGGTGAGTGTGTTAACCATACAGTTATAGAGGTTCTTATATGAGTACCTGTGCAAGATCGTCCATTCTTGATGAGCTATGATAATTCTTCTTTATCGAGTCGCAGACGAGATTAAGAAACATTATCAAAGCGAGTCAAGAATGGACGATATTGCACAGGTACGAGTACAAGAACGTTTTTCTCATATGACTCTGTTTTAAGCTTTATTGTCACAGTTTCATGACAAAACTGGGTGCAAAATAGCTTCAGATTAATGGAACTTCATCTTTCAATTGTTATGACATCATAACAATATTGTAGAAAATACATGGATACATGAGGCAACAAAGCTCCATTGTTATGACGTCACAACTTAGTTTCGTAGAATGAGCATGGATACTCTTAGCAACGGTGTATTTGTTGCTACATGTATGTTGTTGATGTTTAAATACCAGTGATGTCACAAGTAAATCTCATCTTACACGTGTGACTTTTTAGGATGAAAGATAGCAATTTCTCATATGACTTACAAAGATACAGCCATCTTTATCCCATGCAAGATATTGCCATCTTTCATCCTAAAAAGTCACACGTGTAAGATGAGATTTACTTGTGACATCACAGGTTTAAAAACAGCATCAGCATGACAACGGATACACCGTTACTATGAGTATCCATGCTCATTCTACAAAATAAGTTGTGACGTCATCACAATCTGACTTTGTTGCCACGCGTAACCATGTGTTTTCTACAACATTGTTATGACATCATAACAATTGAAAGATGAAGTTCCATTAATTTGAAGCTATTTTCACTCATTTTTATCATAAAACGGTGAAAATATGTCATAATTTAGAGTCATATGAGAAAAACTTTCTTGTACTCGTACCTGTGCAATATCGTCCATTCTTGACTCGCTTTGATAATGTTTCTTTATCTCGTGGGGTAAAGATGGCTGTATCTTGGTTAGTCATATGAGAAAAACCAATCTAAAGTGAATACTGGGACTGATCTCATCACTAGAGCTTTTAAGGTGTTCACACACACCAATTTTACTGAACTAAATTGTAAATGGTAACATCATATTTGTGTAATGTTATGTGACCAGTGATCAGAAGTAAAGTAGTTTTGATAGAATTTATTTAATGTTAACATTTTCAAAAGATTCAACATTATTTTTTGAGATACCCACATGCATTGTCAGTCAGTTTTCAATTATTGGGTATCATTTACAATTCTCATTAACGACTATTTCAACCAAAAATTCCATTTGATTTCTGTATACTTTCCAGGCATTAAAGATGTCATACTTTAGTAACAAGCCTGGCCCCACCCCAGGGCATGCCCTTCCCAGGCCTGGAGCTGCCAAGAACAAAAATAAAGAAAATGAACAAAAGAAAGGAATGAAGAGGAAACTCATGGAGGAGGGAGGTATGTAGATCATTATATAATACAGAAATCATCTCATTAGTATAAGAGTAATTAATTTCATGCTTGCTACAACCCAAGAGAATTTCAAAATATCTTATTACCCAGGTGAAGATTCAGGTACACCCAGTTGAGAATAAGGAATATGATCAAAGGGGGTGGGTAGGTTATTCAAAAAATTCAGGCCTGGTCAAAAAATCTTTCCTAATCATGCAATTGTCCCCATTTTGAGCTGTTTTCAAGTGATTTTGAGTCCAAGTTGACCAATTTGAATTCCCCTACCTCCCTGGATTACGGGCCTGAGAAATAGATGAGGTGATTTTAGTGACAGAAAAATAAGAGAACTATAAAACCAAGTTTAACAGAGCTATCTATTGACGGCCATATCCAGCATTTCCACTGCTTACACAAGAAAAAAAATCTTGCTTAATAGATGGCAGCTATGAAGTTCACATGTTATTAAGAGAATTTCCTTTACTTACCAAGAATTAAAAAACAAATTAGACATTAGCTAGGCCACTTGAGTTGTCTGACAGGGAGATGGAGACTGCTATATTTACTTTTACAAAAGTGCAATTATTTCGAAATCTTCATTGCACGCTAATTTATCCAATAGCCTCCTGTTCTTGTTAACTAGTACCCGAGACTAACGTACCTTGATATGTTAGGCTCTCCTAGTGTGAAAAATACAAAATATGACATTTACTTTTTCTCATATTGATATCACATATAAGTGTAAAAGTGTAAGCTGTTGAATCAACTTTCTTAATTAATGCAAAACATGAATCAAACATTTGTTTATTAGATAGTCTCAATTCTCTCATCTAATAAAAATAAATAGTTTCACATTAATATTATTTCATGTTATTTAATTTAACTAGGGGCCTGTAGGTAGCTACTGCAGTGAAAGAAATTAATCTGTTCAATAGAACTGTTGTTTCCACTTTATTTGAAATCTGAATCTGAATTTTACATGACATGCATACTTCCTTTGTTTTAGTCTCTTGGGTCTCATCTATGTCATAAGATTTTGATATTTACTGGTAATAATTCACAATTTACTGTTTGTTTCAGGGATCAGACAATACTCTTCTGTTGTTTTGTCAGTCGTCAAAACATTTGTCGATCGTTTGTTAGAAACTCTGTAATGTTAAAATTGGGCTCGACAGAGTTCACATTTTTATCCATTTTCTGCCAGTTTATAAATGCCAGATAAACTTGCTGGATTATTACATCAGGGATTCACTGCAAATAGTTATGAAATGGGTGATGAAATTTATTCATTAGGCTGTTATCCAATCAGTGGATAAAGGTACAATCTACAATAACATATCTATACAACAGCATATTAGGCTACAATAACATGTTCATATATCAACTTATTTACAATTGCATTTTAGTCTCACTTAAAAACTGACATAATTTCAGTTCATAATTATTGCCCTCTGGAAGTTCACTTTCTAAATTAACAGTGGAAGAGATTTTGATATCCCATTAATTTCTTACTGGTTAAACCTTAATTCTCAACAGCTTGATCCATCATGACTGAAGAAAACACTGGAAAAATAGTATGGATTCTTTTATTGCAAGGAAATTCCAAAATTGTTCCAATGCAATTTAGAAATTCTCAACTTGATGCAAAGTAATTTGGAAATGCTCAACTTGCTTTAAGGTAATTTTGAAATTCTCAAATTTTTGCAAGGTAATTAAAAAATTCTTAACTTGTTGCAAGGTGATTTTAAATTTCTAAAATTACAGAAAAGTGATTTGGTAATCTTAACTAGTTGCAAGGTAATTTAGAAATTCTCGAAGTGTTGCAAGGTAATTTAGAAATTCTCAAATTGTTGCAAGGTAATTTAGAAATTCTTAACTTGCTGCAAGGTAATTTTGAAATTCTAAAATATAGCAACGTTATTTGGAAAGCTTAACTGGTTGCAGGGTAATTCTCAAATAGAAATTCTCAAATTGGTGCAAGGTAATCTGGAAATTCTCACCTTGTAGCACATAGTTGCTTCAAACTTAGAACACTGTTGATGCATGATACACCCCCTTTCTATTCTAATACCCATTAAAAGTCTATCACATTACCTTATCTTAATTTCCCTGAACCCTTTAAAATAAAATCAGTACAGAATTGAAAACTTGGAATACCATATGCCAAAAAACTCCCGAATTAATAAAGAAATTCGTGTTCATAAATCAAGGTAATGAAAGCTCTTAATGTTGAAATTCTTGAAAAGTTTAGAAGGCAATTATGTTTATCTGTATTTAAAGATATGGCCATTGAGAACAAAGTGGTCATGGAAAGATTTGCTTAAACATGGATTTGTCATTTTCACATAATGAGTAATGGGGAAGATTGGAAGAAAACCCTTACTAATACCAGAACAGATATGTGAATATTTCTTACGAACACTTGTTAGCTTCTACTTTTACGTAGACTTTTAGATAAGTAATTTATAGCAGTAGTCTCTCAACATTAAAACAAGTAGGCACTGCACCCTTTTGAAATTTGGAAACACAAAAGTCCTGCACTGATTGAACAAACTGCATTGATTGAACAAGCATTGCCAAAGGTTATTATGGTGTGTACAGGCACAGCTACCCAGAATAAATACAGTTTTCAAATCAAGTCAAATGTAAGACTGGTCAAAAGTTCTTAATTTAAAGATGGATAAGACCCTCTCTCTCCTTTTCTTCAGTGTTATTATCAATAGCCATTTAGAGGAATTATATTTTTTATGTGACCAGCACAAGGGATGACTCTCCAACTTTTTTGTGGCAGTGGTTGGTGTTTTGCTTTCGGTGCTTGCAACAAATGGCAGATGGTGACATTTTGCATGGTATGGGATTGGGTCAATCTGAGAAAACATCGAAATATTGATCTGATTCCTGTTATATGGTATGGCTGGATCTTAGTGCGGTTCAGTAAGAACACCTTCTCTTATGAACAAATTGAGCCATTTCAGGTACCTGTTAGCAAATCAAAGCACTTTTTAAGCACAAGTGGTTTCTTCTTTGATCTTAGTTCCTATCTGTGAAGGAAGATATTGAGGACCTGTTAATGCTAGAAATATTTCATGCTTTATACTCCATATGAAATATTTATGTGTCTAGCCATTACAAGTTCCCTCCGTCTATGTACCCGTTTTAGCAGTTTTGATTGTTTGTGGGTATTTTGAATATTTTTGGATGTTTTGTGGTATTTTGAAAGGTATTTTGATTCTTTGATAGCTGTTGGGATAATGAATTAAGTATTTTGGATGTTTGATGTATTTGAATATATTAGGATTTTTGGATGTTTGGCAGTTTTTTTAATGTTATACACCTCCCTGTAATTGGTTGTTTTGGGTATTCATATGTTTAGATGGTTCATGATTTAGATAGATTGAATGTAGCATTTTTGGAATATTATTTTTCCTTGATACAACACAGGATTTGATAGGAAATACTTTTATTTCTATTGCAATTGTTGTTAATAACCAGAGAAAGAGATGTAACTTTTTATTATTTTTGGTACTTTTTCATCTTACATATAAAACATTATTTGTTCAGATAAAAAAAAGAAATATTTCATCATCATGATAAACCACATGTTATCTTTGATATATCGGGTTTTATTTTTCACTTACGCAATGTGCTAATAAGTAAACTAGAATTTAGACCTGACTTGATAATTAGGATTCAAACTGGTTTATAAATTGACTGCCAGAATTTAATCATGATCACAGCCTTAAAAATGAGGTTAATCAAGTTTGAAGTGAAGTACAAGATTGCCAAAGTTTATATGTAATTCAGCTCTTTATTTCCCATAATATTTTGAAAAATTCTGATTTATTTGACTCTTCCAGGTGTTATTATTCTGATGATAACTGACCTGTTTGATGCGATGATTTGTTCATTTTTTGGTCTAAACACGAATGGGAAATAAGAAAAAGTTATGTACCAAGAATAAATCCGTGAATGAGATACCCACATAGATTTAATTAAACTATCCAATCGGCCCTTGCATTTATCAAAATGAAGACATTTTCAAATTTTTTTGTAAGGGTGTAAGCATTTCTGCAGATAGAAGAAGAATGTTTGCAGATAGAGCTTGCTAAGATAAGCTGAAAACATCTGTCTATTTGGTGGTTTAGGGGGACATAAAATTTCAATGATTGATCTAGCAAGTTTTTCATAAACATTTAAGATAAATCAACTCTAGAAGTATCAGATATACCCTTCCTGGGTTATTTCACAGGTAAAATATTCAATTTTTTAAAATATCAATTCATTCAAGTGTCATATGGTTTACATGTATATGAAAATCAACTATTATATGAAATGATGCTGGAATTTTCGCATGAAAAAGACATGATAAAGTTGTATAATTTGTGAAGGGACTCTTGGTGTTTTGAAATGTCCAGAATTTTACAATTAGTTGCTGTAATGTTTGATCTTGACATTCATGAGATGATATTCTTAAATGAAATATGCCAACAAACAGGTGCCTTGTTGACAGGTAGCAGTAACCATAGTAACCTATCCAAACGGCTTCCAAATGAGCTGTCTCTAATTCCAGAGTTTCTATAGTTGGAAATAAGTTCCAAAAACCAAAAAAATAAGTTTTTTTGGCTCAGAACAGTTAGGAAATTCAAAAGTTATACCAAATGTTATAAAATGTTAATAGGAATTTCAGAAAGGTAAAGGTCAAGGAATTTGGCCTTGTAAGATGGAAAAAGTTCTCCAAAGAGGTCAGTTCCTGGTTAATATCATATACAGACCTTGCTAATAATATATGGAACCAATACAAGTATATTTCTTTTTTAGTATTTATTCTTTTTATGGTAAAACTCTTCAAAATTAAAATTATCCTAAAACGTGCCTCAAAAAGGACAACTTTTGATTGGCCAGTAGAGTTCCACTGTGGGTAATATTTTTGACCTTATAAGGAAACATATTCATACTTTCAGAAAAATGTCATGTTTCAATAAAACTTGGAGGAAACTGTTCATTTTTTTGTCTGGAAGCTCTGAAACCTCCATGAATAGCCTTCCCCTACCCATGCATTTCTTACTTGAAATACTGTCTAGTGAGATTATGAAAGAAGTATTTTAAACTGAGTACTGAGTATCCTATTTGCTAGGGGACATTTATCAGTTTTAAAGTGTGTCTTCTGAAATATGGGAAGCTACCACAACATGTTTCTCCTCATCAATAGACAATTATCTACTAATTACTCCCATAACTACTGTTTTATCTCAATATAATCACAGCTATGCCTTGGATAAACAGAACTGTTATTCCTGAAACTAAAGGATGGGGAACATAAATGGTTTGTCCACCCATAAAAGTAATTTATTACATATGGAAAAGATGTAAAAGTCTATCATCACATTTTGTTAACATACAGCAATTTTTGAACGAAGTAAAATTTAATTGGAAAGAAATTAATAAATTTTAAGTTGCATATTTCAAGGGGTTTGGGGGGCCTAATCTGAAATTCATCTGAATTATATTTTTGGACATTGAAATATTTTACCGGTCCCTCAATGACAGAGATAATTGGAAGTTCTTTGTGTCTGCTAAGGTTCTGTATTGTAAGAGTTTCATTAGAAAGTAAATTGAATGAAAACAACAGGCAAAAATATTTATTGGAAATTATCATTTTAACGTGGAAACAGTTGTCCAGATTCATCAAAACAACAGGCTATTTTCATTTAAACAATTGGAGAAAATTCCCCGTTGTCTGCTTCTATTGAAACCATTGATATTGGAATATATTCAACAGTATATTTTTGGCATACCCTTTGCATTCATTCAACTTAGCTTCTTAAAAGAGAGCTTCGTCTACCTTCTTTCACTTTACACTAAATCTCTGAGCTGAACTCACTGAGCCATTCAAATTTTGTTGTCGAAATACGGAAGACTTTCTCTATTTGGTCAATTATTCTGACGTCATCCATAGCTAATGAGCACATATTTAGCACAAGTTCTTTCAAGCTCGCTGATTGGTTGAAAAAAGGTAAGCGCAGTAGCGCGGTATGTTTGAAATGATTTATGACCCAGATTGTCACGGGCATGGGGGCAGAGCTGTAATCTAGTCTATACTAGGCAGAGGGTAGTTTATTTAGACTGGATGCCCGGACTGCACGCGAGTATTTCTGGCATGGAATTTCATTATTGTGGTAGCTAAAAAAGCAGGGTAATACACAACTCTTAGTTTTCATTCCAGTCACCTCAGTAATTATTGAGACTAACTCGCGGAAATCACACCTGGTTTAAGAACTGATTTGCTTGGTATTTCAAAGCAATTCAGTGAACTAAAGTTAGCAAGTTTAATACAATCTCAAAAATTCCTCACTGTTAGCTTTGTGACTTTAAAAATAATACAAGTGAACAGTGGTTTTCCCTAAAGAACTAATTTTTCCAATTTCGTTGGAAATCTTGACTTTTTTATCAGATGTATGATAAATTAGATACTCTGGCTCACCATGATTACAGACCTTTGGGTTTATTTTTCACAATGTTGGTTTCTAAATAGTTGCATTTATTTCCCATTACTAGGTCTTGAGATTTTGTGAATTTTTCTGAATCACCATTGCTGAATCGCCTATTGTACTGCTTTGAACCTGGGTCTAAGAGATTTGCCATACCCATACATATTTCATAGGCCTTTTTATATATATTGCTAAATACCAAATGAAAATTTGTTTTTCTTTTTTTATTTCCAGCTGGTCTTACAGTGAAGAAGTTGGTCTTCTAGGACTTTGTCTTACCAAAGGATTACATTGTCTGTAGTTCTTTATGTGCCAGGACCACATTTACTGTAGTCCCTCATTTACCAGGACCAATTCTCACAGGCCAACATTGCCCTTATGGACTGGGGACCACAGTTATCTGGACGATATCCACCAGGCCTTCTTGTCCTAAGGAAAATAATGTGTGGTTGATGAAACCATGGTAATCATGGCAATATATACACAGAATACAACTTTAAATGTGAATTATGAATGTAAGATGTCCATCCGTGCCTCCAAGGATGTTTTATACTGGGACCTTGCTACAGTAGAACTAAGTCCATGTTATGGCATTAGACTGTTGGGAACTGAAAGAAAAGTACAGTAGATTTAATACGAAAATTCATAGTAGCTCAAATAGATCAATTCAAGCATCACTTTTTCAAAGTATATATTTTACCATGAAGTTATCAGTCCGGGCTACTACTATGTAGTAGAAGGAACAAGAATTAAAAGTTCATCCTAAAAAATTCAGCAAAAATATTTGTACTTTATAATGGTCACATTAGAAGTCCACTGAGTAAATAATTTGCAAAAAATATTATTCACAATCAATGTGTTCATTGATATTCAAAAATGAAAGTATATCCAGTAGCTCTGGACAATAAAAAGAGATTCTCCAAAACAGCATAGATGTTTTAACTCGCTGGATTTTTAGACCCAAGCATGACAAGGTGGTCTGAAACACATCAAAGATTGTGATATTTTATTTAAAAAGTAGGCCAATGTTTTTATCTCTGATCTTCTTTAAAGTTTCTTTCATTCCAAAACTTGACTCAGAAAGTAGGTTAAAAAGAAACAGTGAAGATGCATGCATACTCATATGTATTTTGTAAGATGTAATCCACCTAATTTATGTATCTACAGCAAGACCTGTAGGTGTGAGTACCTCTTTATAGTGAGGAACTCTTGATATGAACACTTGGTTGAAAGTAATGTGAACACTTGGATCACATTGATTAATGTTCCATTGACTCCCATGTTATCAAAAGCTGTTTTGTGACCACCTTCCAATGTGAACACCTTCCAATGTGAACACCTTTCAATGCGAACACCTTCCAATGTGAACACCTTTCAATGTGAACACCTTCCAATGTGAACATCTTCCAATGTGAACACCTCCAAATGTAGACACAGCTGTGTCCCAGTGTTTTGCTGTTTACAGTACATATATGAGGTTTATACAGTAAGACTATCAGTTATCACACGTTTCAGCATGTGATACAGGAAATATTCCACGAAAGGTAATACTGTATCATCCACGAAAGCGAAGCTTGAGTCGTGATACATTGTTACCAGAGTGGAATATTTCCTGTATCACATAAGCTGAAACGTGTGATGACGATTTTATCACATGTCTAGGAATTTTGAAGCATTTTGATTTGGTCGGTTATGATTGTGTTCAGTACCCCGTGTACTTCTGGTAACTATTATAATTTTTGATTTCGCTTTGAAACACTATGACGTCATACCGTTGTATTCGTACTTGTTTGTGAAATAGTATGACGTCATATTGTTTTCCTTAGCTAGAAGTGATATAATCAGTGACATCACATCGTTGCTATTGATCATCACTGGTTGCCTCTAGTAACGTGTGAGACGGCCGTGTGAGACGGGAAAACTCACACGGTAATCAACCAATCTGATTACTGGAATTTTACAGAGCATGTGATAAATGTGTACATTGAACACCTTTGGAGCCACTAAACGTGTTCAATGTAATCAAGTGTTCACTGCAGATTTCTTAATACAGAAGTCAGTAATGGTGTTCATTGGAACAGGTGTTCACTGGAGGAAAGTGTTCACGAGGACAAGATTAAGTGTATAAAATGGGAGTAAAGCTATACTGTAAATATTTATGTAAAACGTAAATAAAATGAAAATGATGCATAGTAAATTAAAGTCAGTGCATTTTGTATTTCCTGCATCTTTTGAAAATAGTCATGAGTGCTTTGCCGCTATGTTCCGACTTCTAAACTTGGGAGTTTCATCAGGCCTTATCACTTCTAAGATTTCCTCAGATTTATGAAGTGCAGTTAGAGGAACGCTTCCGATTTGACTCAGTGAACATGATATTTTTTACTAATGTTTTCACCATTACTAGATTATAGTTTGATAATGAGGATTTGGTTTGGCCATAGTGAAGTAATGCAAGTTGCGCACAGACTAAGCCAAGAAGCAATTAGAGTTAAACTCCCCCATGAAACTTCATACAAATTAGGGCAATTCTGGACTTGAGTGTCATACTTGATTTTATGACTAATGCATTTTTACCTTATTATCCAATGTTTTGAATTTTTTATTTGACATCTCTCCATATCGGATGTGGTAGAATATTGAAATTATGTCTAGGTCAGCTCAGACTTGCTATATTTTACAAGTACATTTTATTTAGATCAGAAGCAATTAAATGTATGACCAAACTCAGAGCATAACTAGCTACTTAAGTACATACTTAAAATTTCATATTTTTATTATGATTTTGCAATTATATTTTGTGCCGAGGTTAATTATTTTAAGACTGAAACAATTAATTTTAGATAATTTGTGAATATGAAAGTACATGTATGTGTAACACCATTGTTGTTGTAACACCATTGTTGTTTGACACCATTGTTGATGTAACACCATTGTTGTTGTTATACAGTATTCTAAGTGAATTCCACTTGGACTGGCTTAAAGTGTTCAAACTGAGAAGTGAGTAAGGACATAAAATCTGTTCACATTTTAAGGTGTTCACCTCAGACAGGTGTTTGCACATAATGTGTATGTGTCATTAGAGTGTGTAAGTGTCATTAGAGTGTGTTTGTGTCACTTCCCTGTCAGCAGTGTTTCATGAGGTAATTTTGGCGATTTGAAAAAAATTCAGATACAGATTATCCAAAAGCATGATCTTTTATATATATAATTGCTAACAAGTGGATCTCAAATCTAGGCACCACAAGCTTTCCAATGGTACCAAATTCGAGAATATGTTGCAACTGTACATTAAAAAGTACTTTCCTGGCACTTTTGAGCCATCGTTCCGACTACCTAATATGATTAAAAAGTTTGGTAGGGCAAAGAATTTGACATGCTTTAAGACAAAAAATACAGAATAAGACACACTTTACAAAAAGTTGCACTATCTTTGTTTCTTGCTTGAAATAGATCATGCATGTACATGTAAGGACTTATACAGATATAGAATGGCCTGTCTGGAAATTTAGCTGGGGGTTAACCTCATTGACCCTTGAAGAGCTATATATAATAGGCTATCAGTCAATGGTTCTATAAAATTGCCAATAGATATAATATTTTGAAATATTAGCCCATATTTCACGAACAAGCGTTTAAAAATACCAAATTGCCCTTTGGTTGCATCCAATGGAATGTCACACCTTCTTCTGTAAAATCTCAAAAAATATTTATTTTTAACTTAATGTACTAAAAGATAATTCTATTTCAGGCGAGAATATCTTGTATTTGTCACTTTATTTTGAAACTTAATTTGATTAAGTTAATGATTGTAACACAATAATTGGATCTGAATGAAAATATCGTGGATCATTTTCAGAAGGGTAATCTGGAAAATGACATAAGTGATCTGTTCTAAGCATCGTTTCAGTATCACTTTAAGCACATAGAATGACAGACTAATTTTACAGAAGTTTTTTTTCTTGATAAATCTGTTAAATAAAGATTCTATGGAGGATTTGTCAAGTGTAATCAGCTGTTTATAGAGATAACGATTTTTTACAACAAGTACACAGTAAGTGGGCTAGATTCACATTTCAGCATTTCTGCTAACAAATTGAATATTTCGCTTGCTTGTTGCTGCATCATTGAGCACGTTGAGTGTTAACTACAAAGTTAGACCATAGACAGCTAAGCATTGCACATTAGAAAAATTCATTGTGAGGCTGCAGGCCCTCAAATTAGGTGGAGGGGGGGGGTGATTTGTGAAAGAATAGTCCAGCATCACACATGGAATTGGGGATTAATAAAATTCTGAGATTATTACCTAACATTATTAATGTATACTTTCTGGGTTATGGTTCCTTTTAATTCAAATGCAGCTCGTCATAGAAATTTTGTATAAATTTTGTATAATGGCATAATAAAATACATACATACACTATTTATCAACAAAATGATACCCTATAAATTAACACGCCACACAGTCCATTAGTATTGCACTTGAAATTCAAAATGGCCACCATGTTAATTACCCAGAATGCCTAAAACCTATTCAGATATTGCCCAGGGGATGGAGATTTTCCAAAGATGACCTTTCGTACGATGGCACGTTCGAAAACAAACAGGCCTACCCTTTGCATTCGTTTGACTTCACTTCTTAAAAGAGAGCTTCGTGCTGGCAGATTCTTGAACTGGAATAAGAAGATGTTGTAAAGCAAACAGATATTAATTAGATAGGCAAATAAAAAAGGCCATAAAAACAGGCATTCCACGAATGACTCTTGCCACGTCCTTATTTTATTAGTCATGTGTTAAGTGAATACTTGCATGAACAATCTATATTCTGATAACATGAGCCGATAGGACATTCAAAAAGTGTAAACTAATTGTGAAGATTTTGTCGAAACTTATTCTCAGATCATCTCTATCCCATATCTTTATTCAAAGCAGTCAAGTCCAAAACACACCTGAGATATACAGTAGGTACACGAGACCATGATGTCAATATATGACTATACATTGCACAAGAACGATACACAACCAACTTGCAAGACAAATAAACATTCCCATACATTTATTGTGAATTCTTTAAATTTTCTACAAATTGAATGAAAAAAATACAAAACTCACTCATTGATGTTGAGTCTTAAAGATATGCCACAAATGTGTCATAGCTATGCATTTTTTGGCAGTGTTTCATGCAAAAAGTACTGAAATGGTGAGTATTACAAAAGGGAATCTAAACAATGATTACATATGTTATGAAAACATGGCAAGCCAACATTTACACATGATCCCATGTCTAATTATCCACTTAAGACATCAAAGGCCACTATGTAATAGATAGTTTGTTTCTTTCTGGCTGCTGGCACAGAAACCATGCAATACATTCAATCTCCCTTGTTGAAGGATTTACTAGTGACCAGAGCTCTGTTTCTCTAAAATATCGTAGGCCTAGATAACAATTCCTGAATTTAAAATACCCCAACTATGGTTTTTGCTGTAACTATGGCAATTGGTGTAACTAAGGTTTTGCTGTCACTATGGCAATTGCTGTAACTATGACAACTTTTCAATAATAGTTATTCAAGATGTTTTTGAGAAACTTGAAGTTTCAGCATTTAACAGGTAGTTTAAATTCTGCATAAAATCTTTGATCCATTTATGTATATGACCTCCATAGTCAGTGGAGCTAAGATGTGTGGGAGGGGGGGGGGGTAACATTACAAGATAATAATTTTGGTATTGTTGATATAATCAATTTTTGAAGCTATATGTTTTATCATTCATATATATAATATAACCCTTTGAATATTATGTCATCTATTGACAGTCCAAAATCTATTGAGACTAGAATTGATGCTTCAAGTGATAAAATTGGAGGCTACCCACCAGGTATGGAGCTACTGTACATGTATTTCCAGACTTGTCTGAGAGTACATTCTAATTCAATGGTATGCTTTTCCAGGAACATGCTCCCTTCTTAAATAATTCACTAATTTAATTTGCTTTACAAGTCTTGTGGTCTTTGATGATGTAAGACATCTTGTAAATAGAATGCCATCATGTTTAAGGTATGTTTGATCCTAAAAGACTGCCTATCAAAACATTAGGATATCAATTTCTCTTTTTAAGTTCATCATCTAGACTTTGTATTTCTTTATACAAGTGGGGGAAGCATATACAGTATATTGTGTTAAATTCAGGTTTTACATCTAAATGATAAAGCATTATAACAATACCTAAATAGAAGAATAAGAAAAAATTAATCAGTTTCAGTTTAATCAAAGATTGTAGTCCAAACCTAATGAAATAAAAATATTGCTTTTTGCCAAAGATAGATCAGAAATGGTGAATCCTGAACAATTCTGTCTTGGCTACTAATGTAATGAATAGTGTTTCGGAAAGTCAATTAAAATCCATGATTAATTCTTATATTTATGCCCCAACAGTTTTGCCCCAATGTTTTTCAACAATCGAGAATTTGTTTTGAGGAGAAAGGTGGTTGAGTCAAAACATAATTAAGCTTTTGACAGATCCGACCCAGAGCAACTTAATTTTGTTAACTAACCAAACAAACGCAAACAACAATTGATTTCAATTTGTTCTAAGAATATATTACAATTTTTTAAATAAAAAGTTTACAATACGCATGTAATAACAACAAAATGAGATATACAGAATGATACAGGTGTGTAAGAGCCACTGTCTTACAATAATGTTCTACAATCTTCCACTATACGTGCTAGGTGCTACAGTATTGTGCAATTATTACTTAATCTAGTAATGTAGTATCACACATTAGGCCTACTATTTTTAATTAATTATACTGACATCAAAAATGAGCATTGGGCAACTTTTGTTTGGCAAAATTACAATATTTGATGTACTTTTTAAGATCCATTAACATGCTATATCTTTTTTTAAACATATCTTTGCATTTTCATTTTGAAAATGTTACATGTACTATTAAATAACATTTTTTATATAAATTTGTGTTTTTATAAACTACCATTAGCTGATGTATTTAGTTTATGCAAAATTATTGTGAATTACAGAATATTGACTGTATTAGTGTCATGTGACTATAGCATTGTGACATCATTATGATTTGACTCAAGGAATACTCTACGCCCATTTTAACATTCTTATGTGTTTTTCTTTAACTAAACTGTCCACCTGAAGTTTGCCCCTCTCATACAATAAGAGAGGCCTGACTTAGATGCATGTAAGAGGGAGAAAATAATTATCTCTAGGAGGGACTGTATCTCAAAAATATCTTGGGATTGTCTTGTTTGATATTGTCAAAGTTACATTGTAAAATAACATCATAAACTACAATGTTCTGGAACCGACTCCGATGGGGGGTTATCTAGATACAAGATTCTCTCAAGCCTAGGGATAGTATTGTTGCTTGTTCCAAGCTTTTGTGACAACCCCCCCCATATACCTCAACTCCAAAGTTGGTGAAGTAGATAAGGGAAGGGGTTCCAGAGACATTGACTGGTGACAGTTATGAGTTATTATGTCCACCTGTGGCGTCGTCCTAGCTTTATGTAAACAATAAACAAACAAAAACATCATAATGAGTCATTCTTCTCTGACAAAATATTAATGAACGGAAGTAAACAAAAAATCCAGTAATTTTTCATTGTATAAATTGACCTGGAGGAAAATTCTAGGAAGTTCATAAAGTTGAATTAATAGAAATAATTCCTCTGAGGGACACACTCATCCTTGCAGCATCTATAGCTTTAGTTTATTGTAACAGATTGTAATAATTGCTAAATGATTCCTTGAAGCTTTTGAGAAGTTCACTCTCATGTCTCGCAATAACACATGATACATATGATTTTGACATTTTGAAATCCCGAAGTTAAGGTTGATATTATGACATCAAATCACATGCACCTTTTTTATATTTCCCTTTGAGTAAAGAATCATGGAGATCATGATTCTTTGATCATAAATTATGCACATTTTGAACAAAGAATGTGTTATAATGCACTCTGTGACCTTTCCCCAGCTTGAAAACTAGACTCAAAATTTCATTCTTGACAAAATCTCATTTCAAATGAGATTCTCTTTTCATTGACAAATACCTAATATACATAGACATACATGTACATGTGTCTTTATAATATATTGGAATTATTTTATATATTTATACATATAAAAGCATAATTTAGTATCCTAGGGTAGCAGTTGTATTGTTACTTAAACACGAATTTGTTTTCTCTTTTGTTAAACAAGCAAAGTATTTCTAAATAGCTAATGTATACATGTTGCTCTTCTATATATCAAAATACTGTAAAACAATAAACGTTTGCAATTTTCAGATCTTAAATAAACAACATTTTCATAACGCAATTTAATATGGTGATTCTCATATGGATTGGAATTTAAATATGTATGAAGGAGGAATCTTCTATCATTTTTACATACGCATTCTTCATTGATAAACTAAAAGATGTACGTAGCCCCAGATCCTCTGGGACAGTCATACTAACTCTAAACCTGCATGAATGCTTAAATAGATTGGTATTGCACCAAGCCAATGCATTGTCACATGACCTCCTCTTTTGATTTTTCCTAGTTCTGAACATTGCATTAACACACAAAATGTCACCACCTACTATTTGTTACAGACACCGACCACCATTTGTTAGAGATGATGACACCAACACCAAACGCTGTCCACAAAAAGTTGGAGACTATAACAATATATCACCACTCCTGGCGGTGACATAAAAACCGAAAATATGAAGTGCCGGCCGGCATATTTGATGAAAGACTATAAGCTTAATGTGTCTATTGCTAAACTACAGGCCAATGAAGCTAATATACATTTTATATGTACAATTCTTTACAAAAATATTTTGTACACTTATTTAGATACATATGTACAATTTGTACAAATGTTGCAACAAACATCAAACTAATATTCTCTCATAACTTGAGCTCATCTTGAGTATAGAGGGCGTTCATAATCATAATTACAGGTTGTTCTTATCATAAATAGGGCTAAATAGACCTGGAATTATACCAAGATAATGCAGACCTTTTTACAGTGGTTACTATGGTGAAATATATTTATAGCATACATATCTGATTTTTTTTATATCACATTCTTGTAACTGTCCCATCTATAAATGCACAGATGAAGTATCTATTCACTTAACTGCGATAATAATGGAGTTCTACATCGAAGTACATCATACAAAAGCCTATCACAGTTAAAAGCTCTATCTAGTTCCATTTAGACCAGCCATTTCTCTTAATCCCAAACAGTTTGACAGGCCAGTAAATATATATCATATTCATATCTATCACTTACTGATAGTAGGGAGATATGAACAATGTTGTGTTACCCCTCTTTCCTCATGTGATAGAATAAAGGATTACTGAATTGGCCTCACAAATAAGTTAGCATCATAAATGAAAGAGATAACTACTTTAACAAATCAAAAACAAAATTGGGCCACGGAGCTGGATAATGAGCCAGAGCTGCTGAGTCACATTAGGTGCATTTCAGGTGCATTCCAGGTGCATTCCTATTAAAGGGGCATCTCTCAGTCATTATTGAGACATGTCCTTTAATTGACTTGGTGATTACACTTGTCACAGTTATAGTGGATTATCCATACACCGAGGATTATCTCTAATCTGTTAATCCAGACACTCTGGTACTTTACAAACAAACTTCCCCAGTTCTTCTTTCTGAAAGCATAAAATAGTTTGGCTATAATTTATATTTATCAAAACAATCTATTCATAATACAAAGTTTATGTGGTTCTTTGAACATAATGCAAAACAGATTCAATGACACCTTATTCGATTGAAGCATATAAATACCATATCCACCTCTGAAATTAATTTTATGTCTTCTTTGAAAACATGAATGGGAAGTGAAGTGAATATAACAGAACGTTTGACAAAACCTGTCATTTTTTGATTTACATGAAATACTCAAAAAATGTTAACTTCATTTTACGGATATGTAAGAAGATATGACTTCTAAAAGATGCGAGAATGATTTAAATAAAAATCAAATCAACTGGAATGATATAGTAATGCTATGTATAAATCAATTACGATAAAACATTTTACTCATTTAAGACTTAGCCTTATAATTAGTTTCTTTATTTATCTTAAAAACATATGATACACATATATATACAAGTATATATATATTTTCATTCAATTCAAATTCTTTAGTTTGTGAATATATTGATGTTTGTGATAATGTAAAAAATAACGAACTATTTGTGTAAACTTGATTAAATATGAATTCTTTTGGGAGCTGTGGAAATGAATGTAACTCACAGACAAACATATATGAGAGATGTCAAAATTATATCTTAACTGAATGAATCTATAATTAATAATAATTACCTCCTCAAAATGTATCACATTTCATAATTGTTAAATTTTAATTTCTCTAAATTATGAAAACATGATAATAATTTTCTCAGCGGCATCATGTAATATTCTTCCGCACAATTCATAAAAATTCCCACTTTTTCTCTCTCAGTCCTCTATTTCTATGAGAAAGATCCTTACATAAACAACGGAAATATGGAAATTTTTGAAAGGGGCATGTCATGTTTAAGTCCATTCAACAGCACTTGTGGCCACTATAAGTGGTGGCAATTTTCACTTTTTATCCAAACATTTCTTTAAAAGACAGGATATTGAAATGAAACTGTGAAAACAGTCTATTCTATTCCATCTATTTGTGGTTGCATACTGTGCAGGCAATTATTGGTATATTGATAGAATACCCTAAGACCAGCATGATCTTTAGTGAAACCTTTCATTCCTTGATTCTGGAAGACATATAAGGACGCTTAATTCAGATTTTAATTGTGAAGAATTTGAAGTTGGAATGTCTCAATTGAAAGAGTGCCCAGTTGACATCTCCAAACTGAAACAATAATCGTAAAATATGAAACTCTTTATAAAATTCTCAAATATATCATCAGATCAATCTCTTACTCGAATGAAGAAGTGAGATTTTATTCTTACGTCTTAATAGTTTGAAAATTTACCTCTTACTAGTTGCTCTTAATATATGACTCTTATTGACTCATCTATGATTCATAAATAAAATAAATATATAAGAATTTAGATTATAGAGACTGGAAACCCCATTTTATTATTTGGAAAATGGGGTAACATATGAAATATTAGCAACCACAAGACACCCCCCCCCCCTTGATATCTGGAATGTCCCACTGCTTCAAACTCTATTTCAAAAACAGACCTCAGACCAGATTAAGAAGATTTGGGCGGGATTAGTGGCTCACAGGGAGGACTAAGAAAATATTGACCCAGTGCAAGTTCTGTGAATTTTGTGGATCATAAACAAGCGTTGGGAATAACAGGATGAGAAGACTTTCGTGTTGATTCAATAGACAATAATCCAATAATAATTTGACATAAGTGTGGACTATAAGCACATGACAAACTGAGTATAATCTTCAATTCCTGCCCCCCCCCCCCCGCCCCAAGCCACATACCATTTAATTAAATACATGTATCTCTTTTAACGTAAGGGAGCTGCGGAAAAAACAACCTGACATTTGGACACCACCCCAATATTCCTTTTATCTTATTCCCTAATAATTTCAATGTGTGACAATAATTAATTTGAATATATGTGAATGTGTATTGCAATATATTCTGAACATGTATAACCTCTCATCAAATAACAAAATGCATAGTGAAATATGTTTGGAAGTAAAACTGAGGTTTAAGAAAACAAGAAAACAGGAATCCGATTTGTAGTTGCTACGAAAACATCAACTCGTGTAAATGAACCAACATGATTCCCCGATTGGTTTACACTTTGTTGTCTATAGGTTGATCACGGCATAAGTAGGTTGCATTTTTTCGTGTTTTTCTATGTTACATGATCTGATATGACTATGACTTGGTTTATTCAGGTGGACAAACTAGACAAGATAAGATCCTCACACAGAGATAACCCTCACAACATATCAACAAAGTCTTCTCAATAAAATTAAAATGAAATGTTTGATTTACACGGAAATTCATCCTAACGGTCAATGACTATTATTTAACCCCAAGATCAACTCAGTTTGACATTTTTCTACTGAAGATGGGTCCAGAATTGTAAGAATTGGTATTTTCGTTTCTGGTTTGTATTTTATTTTTTCAGCTGCACAATTAACCATATATTCTTGTAAAAAGTAGCCTCTAACTATAAATATTATTCTTCGTATTTACCAATATTTTTGTAACAGGCCATGTCTCAGTGGTTGTAGCTAGAATTACAGATGCACTGAGAAGAGCGATTATTAGAGGGAAAGGAGATATACTGAAACCAGGAGTAATACCAGTTTTCTTTCATCCTTATTTCAAAATAATTGTAAAAACTATGTTTTGTTATATCAAGAGATCTTCAACCCTATCCAGCTTCCTTTGGAATTTATTGTGTCATGTCAGAAAATTTCAAGTTATTGCTTCTATGGCTGGTCATTTATAAAATCTTTGCTGTGTTTTAACTTAAAATTAAATTTGTAAAAAACACCTATGAAACTATTATATTCTCAATAAATGTTGCAGTCAGAGCAGTTTAGTTACAAAAATATGATGAGTCAAGCACTATAAGTTTTGTGTTAATGAAATACTTGAATAAGTTTTTTTACAAGGGCTCCATGTAAAACAGATTTTGACTTTTGGCTAGATGACTTTTAACACTCACTGACCCAACCACCTTCAGCCATATATATTAATTTTACAAAGCCACGATTAATTGTCTAAATTGTGTGAAATTTTTAATTCATTGACTTCCATCTAAATTTGAATAACAGCCGAAAAGTCAGACAAACTTTGCGGGATAGTAGAAACTGGTCTCCTGTGTGAAATTCCGCTGAAAAACACAGCCGTTCATTGGTTACATTATATGAGATTAATCCGGCTATTTAACATTTAAGTTTTTTTCAAATTCTGATTCATTACACCATTATTATTACTGAATAGATTACATAAATAAATAGTTTAACAATGATTTAATATTTTAGTATCTCATGCGGAATGGCTACTGTACCCTTTTGCCCTTATCCAAAATAGAATAGAATTTGGAATTTGTAATCTCTGTGCCATAAACAAAAAATTATCTATTGTCTGATTTCAACATGTTATGTGCCTCATTTTGTTTAATTTAACATGAAGTGAATACTGGAGGAGTCATCAAAATCATTCAATGGGTTTGTGCACATATAATGACTGATCACATTTTTCTTTCGGATAAGGCCCACACAAATAAATTGTGTGAGTAAGGGTGCAAACTTGGTTATCTAAAAATGGAATAAATTAACAGAAAGTACTTACAGTAAAACATGTGTACAATGAACACCTATGGAGCCACAAAAATGTGATCACTATAGGTAGGTGTTCACTTAGACGGGTTTTACTGTACTGAGTTTAAGCTTCATTATTGGGACCTGTCAAAAGCAATTTTACAGTATGACATAGTCTCTGACTCTCTGACCCCATAATTATGGAGAGAGTGTGGGGTGGTGGGGATCCCACACTTGATATTCTAACAAGTCTGATAGACACCAAGACTGAAAACATCAAGATTTCTGTATACTAGTATATCATAATCAAAACTATATAAAATTGAGCTAACAACAAGAGTTCTTTGCAGTATAAACATCAAAACTATAACATTAAAAGTATATTATAATAATATAATATAAATACCAAGACAACAATACATAATAATAATATCAATTTCTCACCTTACTCTTTTTCTTACAGGGAAACTTATGTCTCGTACACACTTGTTTGCGTACGCATTTGCCATAATTTTTCATACATTGGAAATCATCTCTTCGGCACTTTATACAATCAGGTTCATCGTTGACAAACCGACATGCGCTACATGACGTGTGTTGACAGTCACCCTGACAATTCTGCTTCCTCTCAGCTATATCTCTGCAAGTAGAAACAATTATAGAAGTTATAGATCATGTAATAATTCTATTTCAGAATGCTACAATGAGATATGTGTAGAGTGTACATATTCAGAGCCACAAAAAGTGTTCATTGTAATTTGGTGTTCACTATTGAGCTACTTTACACAGAAGCCAATGGAGTGTATTTCAAGATGTGGTGTTCTCTACAGAGAGGTGTTCACTTGGACAGGTTAACCAAAGGACATCATTGATATGTAATACTTTCATAACAATACATATGTGTTTAAATCTAAAAGCCAAATTGTTCAAAATATTTTCTAGCTATTTCACATACAAAATCAGGTAACCGTTAGAGAAGAAATCTTTCCTGCATTTTGAAAAAGGAGGTGGGAAGTCATTAATTTCCAGATTCCAATAAATAAAACCATTATAATAGAGGTCAAAGGTTCCCATTTATTTTATGATAATTTGATATATAGATACTTTCATATTGTACCATATTTCCTGAAATCTCTGAAAAAACACCTTGATAATGCACCCAACTCCAAGTAAAGAAATGCACAAACTCTTATGTAACAGATACCTATTGTTATCATTATATATTTAATAAATAATCCTGGTGACTTTTTGTAGGGGTCAGGAAGGAGCAGAGGGAGGGGATCTCAGTTGGAGAAATATCATATACCACCCAGATAATTCCCCCTGGCCATTTCTTGGTACTATAAATCACACTAAATATGTTCTAATCATAGAGTTGAGGTTCTAAACTGATGCTCTCTCACAATAAGTCTATCACAACCAGCAACTAAAACCCTTACAAAATACAGCCATGTTCATTCTTTTTCGTGTCATTTTTCATGAAAATAGAGAAATCCTTGAAAATGTTATATCAAAATAAGGGACTAAGATGGTGTTAAATATAAAAATATGATAAATTGTACATATTTTGTTTACTTTTACACTGGTAGGACTTTGAAACCACACCGATGGAAGTCATAGTTTGGAAGGGTTTACTGCTCTATGGGTGTTTATATGTGATTTCTATTGTGTTCTTGTGAAAAATATTTAAAGATACAGCTCGAAAACTAGGAGATCTTTTTTATAGGGGATAATTATGGATGTGTTTTGCAGTGTATTAAGTGAAGTGAGTGTTACAATAGGTGGCCCTCAGTTTACCCATACCCTGTAATTATGGACTCATTTTGAAAAAATATGTTCATTTGTTTGGGTGGTTTATAGATCTCTATGTCGCATATGGTCCTCCTAGAGCGTGCTCAGCGTTTCAGCATCTCCAGGCACCGGAACAGTTACAGACATCAATTTATGTTTTATATGGTTGCCCTTGTCTATTTATTCTTTGACAAATCAGTAACATATTTATCACTCAAGGTGTTTTCACATAGTTTTTATGTGCCTTTTAGATCAATATGTAATTTAGTAATGACTGTTTATAAACCCTAGAAGTCATCCATAATGAGTTAGTTTTCACAAAACCACCTGTGTTTAAGGACTCTTTCCCCTTAGGGAATTATAAACAATTCAGATTTCATATCTGCTGCTAAATCAAAGGTAACACTTTCTTTAAAAAATTGGATTCTTATTTTTTGAATTAATTGTTTCTTTCACATTGTCCACACTAATATATGCAAATATAAGTTAAGGCATGAAAAATATGAGAATGGTTGAATGGTGAAAGGTACACCTAGAAAATCTGATAAAAAAGAAAAATCAACACGCAAATAGCCCAAACAATTGTGGCAATATTTTCTCATCAAATAAGCTTGTTTAAATAAATATTATTCTAATTACCATAATTTGTTAAGATATATTTTGACAAACAAACTCATATTGACAAACTGCATGCTATTTCCAGCAAACATACAAAATGATTATTTGCCCTCTTGAAAAACCAGAGCCGATGAATTCAAATAATGTGTGTGGTAATTCCCCTTATCTGATATAGCTTTACATGTTCAAAATACAAAACCCCCTCCCGTTATAAGCCACAGGTCACAGAATTTAAAACCATCTTATAATATTCCACAGTATGCTCTCTGTAACATTATGAATAAAATAAATATTCAAGATTAAAAAGTTTACAATTTTTAATGTTTATTCCTTCAAGGCACATTCTATACTACTCAGGCGACAAATTAAACTAGACATGTACATTAAAATCTCAATATAATGTCATCACATTATGGCCATCATGTATTCAGATCTTATACTGTGATAATTACATGTTCATCAAAATCCCTAGCAAAATACACAGATTTTTTTAGTCCGTAAAATTGCATGACAAAGATAAGATCAGTCTCCCTGGGGCACAAAGATTTGTACAATGTGTTCGGATGTCGAGCTAACTTTCAAGAATTTGTAGATGGAAGTGATTGACCTTGAATCCATGAAAAATATGCGAAAATAACTTTCTAAAGAGGGCCTTAACTGACTCAATTATTATCTGAAATTAACCCTAGTCTATAAAAAAGTGGTTAAATAAAAACTTGGCCTTATTTATCAGACAGTAAAACTTATTAAGGTAGCTAGTAAATTATCTTTCTCTGATATATTGGCAATAAAGCACACATAAAATCGAGCAATAGTCACCCTTCCTCAAAGATTTTGGGAATTGGGAACACTTAAACAGGATTATATTTAATATAACATGGCTAGCCAATATATTATACCTACCAGCCTTATCTCATATAAAATATGTGCATAAATCAAAACTAAGATAACCATCTAAATATTTCAGATAGGTTTTTTGAGTTAAGTGCCCACAAAATAACAGTTATGGAAATACATTATTATTATATTTAAGTTATTTCTAAATGTTGGATATTTTCAACTGTTTTGTAAACATTTCATAATCAGAATCAGTTTATGGAAATTTTGCACCAAGTCAAAAATCCTGAGGCGACACTATCGCTCTCCATGTGATAAAACTTATATTAAAAAAATAGTAAAGCTAAGTAGAGCATCCTTACAAGTAGATTTCAGAAATATTTTATACCATATCTAAATTATAATCAAAAATACAGAAATATTAAACATAAATGAACAAAATGTAGATTTTGTTTCTAAAACTAAAATTAATGGCAATTATCTCTGCTATGAATCCACGGAAACATCAACATTGGGCAGAGAGGTTAGATAGAAGTAAGATGCAAATGCCACCGATTTGGTCAAGTGTTTTCCACTTTATATTCTCCCTGAATGACTGGTATCTCAGCAGAGGAAAAAATTGTGATTTCCTGTACAAAACACATCATCCGATCGCACACAGTGGTTGATTTAATTCTTATAACTTAGGATTTAATAAATCATTTTAGCATGGTTTTGTATGGATAAGTTCAAATGATATCAAAAAGAGAAAATTATAAATTAAATGAATGTTTGAACAGAAAAAAGTTTAAAAAAATTTTACTGTTTATTTCAAATTATTCTATATTTCAAATTGCCTGATATCAATAAATTATAATTCAAATATTATAATAATATACCTGACCACTTTAAGTGGATAATGGACGTAGAGTGTGAGAAACAGATTGCAGGCGTCACAAGTGCTGGCTGAGGGGACGGGGGCGTCACAAACTAAGGAATGCACACATCACGCACCTTACAAAAAATCCTCTGGTCAAACATCCAACAAAAATCACACTTTTTACTTTTAAACAGTTATATAATTGAACTAATTTTGGAAATGAAATTCAATGTTGAAGAAAACAAGCTTTCACTGGTAGGAATAGTTGTATCTATTTCACATCTCTTCTCTATTATTTCTCACTCACAATACAAACTGTGAGGAATGTTATACCCACCCACCTACGATATTCAGTGCTCGTGGGAGCACATCGACACACTGGTCAGTTCTCAGTACAATAGAATGGACAATACATGCCTAATAAAGTCTTCAGATTTTTAACGAGTTTATGATCGTTGGTTAATTCATGTATAAAGAACTGTAGATCATATTCACTGAGCTGTTGCAAGTCAATGCTCTGCTAATCAACATTGTACTCCCTACCCTTGTATGCATTTCTAGCCATGATATCGTTTTCTTTCCAGACAGTAGAAGTTTTACATGGATTCAGAATTTATATCACTGCAATATGGCATACATATTTTGCCCTTAATTATTGAAAGTGTGAAGCGATGTTTTTTCCAAAGAAAAAATGGGAGAATATCGTAAATCAGACTGGAGGGGTGTCAGCGAGAATTCATGCTCATTGATATTCAAACTTAATTGCAGGGGGATCTACTTTTGAAATAACTAACAAAAGACTTCAAATTTTGCCATATGGAACGGATATGCTTTCAAGATGTTACTAAGAATGTCCACAATAAAGATAATTAATGGTCACTTTTCTCATCATGAAAAATTCCAAGGAATTATCATCAGCAACATCTGCTGATGGATTTTTCATTGATATATTGGTGACATCACAGCTATGTAGAACTACCCATCTGCAATTGTTTGGCTTGAGCTATCGCCACCTTGGATGAATTTCTTCATCCTAGGCCCCACCTAGTGTAAAGAAAAATAATTTCCTCATCCCAGGCCCCACTAATTTATTCAAAGACATTCAACTTTGTCTTTCCTAGAAGATCTCATACCTCAAAATACTTTTTATCATAAATCTAAAAGGTACTTATTTCTCTTAAGTTAAATTATTTTGTAGAATACCTTCAAAGTTAAATGCTCTTCAAATGAAGAATACCTTGAAGGCTCTTCTATATATCTTAAAGGCTCTTCATGTGAAGAATACATTGAAAGCTTTTCTAATGAGGAATAGGCTTGTCTATACATCTTAAAGACTTTAAGTGAAGAATACCTTAAAGTCTCTTCTAATAAGGAATACCTTAAAGGCTATGCTGTATATTTTAAAGGCTCTTCATGTGAAGAATACATTGAAAGCTCTCCTAATGAGGAATACCTTAAAGGTTCTTCTATATATCTTAAAGGCTTTAAGTGAAGAATACTTTAAAGTCTCTTCTAGTAAGGAATACCTTAAAGGCTCTTGTATTTGATAATTTTATCACTTATATCATGAATTTATAATGATGCAAAATTCTGGGGAATTCTGAATTCATGAAAATTGCAAGCATTTTACCATTATCTTTGAAGCTCTATGGTACCAGTACCTTAAAGTCTTCAATTCAAGAGAGCATCTCCCTTACTCTCACAGGCTCTCCCTATATACTTGGTACCCATTCCCTCTTGTAGCAGGGCAGCTCATATATGCCTAGCTCTAGCATGCATTTCTATTTGAGTTGATCCCTGGCTGTTATCATCTAAGACAAATGAGTTAGAGCTGAGAGAAGAACAGGTGAGGGTGTTTTGTGCATCCTGCAGAATTACAAGCTACCTGGTGGTCTTGCCCCTGCTAACACATCTGCCAACACAATGTGCACCCCTTAACTCATTAAGTCAGTAATTTGTAAAAATCAGGTTTGTCATATTGGGAATAATTTTGTGATAAATAGCACTTGAAAGTAATCATGCAGATTATTCACCATTTTGAGCACTTTTTGCATGATTTTTTTTTAGCCGTAACTGTCAAAAAATCTCCCCCCTTGGAAAAGGTGCTCCCCTGGTAAAAGCTGGCTTGGTACCTGTGATTGTCTAATATCAATAGTAACATGTAGGTTATTTTGGTGGCCTCACCAACCGAATGAGTTCAAAAATGTTATCATTTCTCTGATAACCTTCCTAAAAATCCAGCATGGGGTACAGATACTATTGACACAATGGATTGTGTATCATACCAAAAGATCAACTTGTATTTTCATTTGGTTGAATATCTAAGATAGAACACATTCTTGGACTATTACAGGATATCAGTATTGACCTTGATCTAATAATAACTTTGGAGAGAAATGTTTCAGCAATTGTCTTGATTTTTGAATACTTTGTATTTGTATCCTTTTTTGTCTTCCCTAAAATTCAGATATATGCTTTCAATCATTTTTGTCAAAAATCAGATATTTATACAATATCAGATATTCATACAATATCTAAGGATGTAAACTTTTCTTTTTTAACTTCAGATACCTTGAAGTGATATTTCAGTTGTTTTACTTTGGATGGCAGAAAAGGAATTGTAAATGCATAAAAACATCACATCTTACCTTGACCTCTGATAGAATTGATACTTTAAACTAAAGCAGTAGTCATATTATTCACTTACCCACTAAAAAAGAGAAGTTAGCACTCATCTTAATTAATGATCAATATAATTTCAAAGCATTCATTCTTATTTTTAAGTAGTTCATCAGATTCTTTCTACAAATTCAGAATTACACTGTATCTGTTAATTGTCATGTTTTTCAATATCTTAAATTACTTTTAAAGTTTCTGAAACAATTGGCTATACATTAATCTATCAAAAGACTTGTGTGGTAAGTTTTTAATTGACTGAGCAGTTTTTGCAATCTAGCCTGGAAACAAATGAGGCGTTATTCTGAATGTTGATGAGCAATCATTTATGACACATTGCATTTCATTGCTGCATACTAAAGGTTAATTAAAAGCAAGTTTTCACTTACGTGTGCCTTTAATGTTTCAAAATAAGACATTTATCACAACTAACCCTATCTGAAACTTCAAGATGATATCATATTCAATGTTAAACTTATAATTATTACACCTTTCATGAATATACAAGGTGAGAAAATTAAATATGATATGATATGATAGAGCATATAAGAAACTATATTTGCTACAAAAATTAATTTGGAAGTATAAAGTGCTCAACTGTATGTAAGGGGACTTAGACCCTTAATTACCCAGCTTCAGGATTAATTACTTTTTGGAGGACAAAGGTTGTGGTAACCTCCAAAGATTAATATCTTACTTCACACAGATACATGATTCTTACAGAACCCACTTTACAACATTCTGAAGGGATTGTGCCAAACATTTCAATCTTGATGCTTAAAGGGTCTTGCATCACAAAAACACTACCTTGGGAAAATTGCAATCAACCCTTTAAGTATAAAACAAAACAATTTCAAGTGTATTTCATTTATATCTGTAGAAATGAGGATTTATAGACCTATAATTTCATGATAATAGACCAACACCATCTTTGACATGCAATATTTGTAAGAAGAAGTAAATTAGAGGATGTGACCAGGAAATTATACAAGGTGGCTCACAACCACCTCAACTACCCATTGAGCTAAAAATTAAATGGATAAAAATGTATGCTTCTGATAATATTCTTCTATTGTTTTAGCAAAATGGGAAAACAGATATATTAAAACTGGGGCATAATTTAAAATATATTGAAAAGTCAAGTGAGCAAAAATCTACAAATCTATAAACAAAAAAATTAAAAATATAATCTGTATTCACATTTCAGTATTTAACATTATAATTGATACTTGAAACTGTGCCAGTCTTCGTGCCACTTTTAAGAAGCAAGAAGTGCATTATAAAGAGTATGAGCAATCCAGGTAATGTATAATTATGGATCAAATAAATAATAAACGAATAAAGTTTCTCTATTGATTTTTATTTCACCATGGAAACACTTCATTTGAGTGAACAAATACTGACACTACATCTTTTTATGACATGTATTTCCCAGATCCGGGGGCAGAGAGGTATAGAAGGCTTACAGTAGCCTTCCTTAAGACTAAGATATAGTTTTCAAGACTCTGCAGAGCCATACGTATCAAAATTTCATTTGACAAAATTAAATAAGACTTATATTAGACGTCTTTAGAATTTATTTGTATTTACATAGTAGTCTGTCGGCCCTCTCTTTTTCTGCCATTATTAAAGATAATTTACTTTCTTATTTAGTGCTAAACCACTAGTTTAACTGAATGACAATCCTGCTGTGAGAATTTTTATTTAGTCAAAAAATGACAGTTGTCTAAAATTATGAAGATTCATATTTCAATAGTTTTAGGCCAGAAGGGGTTCCTTTTGTAGCTCTCACACCAACCTTACCATGTAACGCTGCATGATAAGACACGAGCATTATGCTTCAATATATTGATACATGTATGGAGCAAATTGACATACTGAGAATGACAGATGGCACATTGTTGTCATTGCATGACTGTTAAGAATTCTTCTTTCCTGAGGTTTAAATGAGGGCTGAAACAAATAGTAAATTCTCATACCAAGCTAATTCCTGTACCGCCCAAATATTTGCAAGTAAACTTGATGTTAAAAATAAGTTGTTATGATTTTTTTGAATATGCCAAGTTTTAACCAATTTGAAAAAAATCGATTGCAAACATTGTTTCCTCCAACCTATGACATCAAGCATCTAGCCTACATAATATAGGCTCTTCAATCTAGCAAAAGAGGACAGAGTTTACTAGAAAGGTATATTTTATCATTTTTGCAGAGTTGATACAATAGGAGCAGATACTATGGTAAGTGTGGTAATTCAAAACCACTAAATAATCAACCACACACACACACACACACACACACACACACGTAAAGATCCTAAATGTGATCAACTTGTTACAACCTAAGGCAGCTTAAATGAGTACCTGTAGCAAGTAAAATCATGTCTTGTCTTCAACCTTTAGTGATTAATTGGGAGGTGAATGTAATAAAATGTTGACCCTACATTTCTCATCTTCCGCACTATTCGTGGTATATCCTTCGTATAGCATATGTATGTACAGTGAAACCTGTATATCCAAACATCTCTCTAATCCAAACACCTCTAATCTGAACACTTTTGGCCAGTCCAAGAGGTGTTTGGATTAGACAGGTTTTATTGTATGTATTTAAACTTCAGTTATTTATATTGTTGTGTACCAGGTATCTATTGATTTAGACCCCTAGTTAACCCCGACAGTAATTTGAATTAAATGTAACTTAATCTTAATTACAGGTATTAAATAATTTAATATTGAAAGGTAATATTTTCAGGTATTCTCGGACTTTAAGGTATTACTTCAGGAGTTGTCAGGCATTGACCAGCTCCAATACCATTTAAGGGATGTATTAAATATCTCCCATTCCCATTTAGGGGATGTAGAATATGGCACTTTAAAGCTGGCTAGCCTAAAGGGGCAGGATCACATAGCATTAAGGGCCAAATATCATTTAATTATTAGAGGTCTGATGGGGGGGTGGGGGGTATTAAGGGTAATTTAGGGGTATTTGGGTCACAATACCTTTCAGGGGTAGATGGGGAACACTTATGAATTAAGGGTTTCCTTACTGACAAAGCTTCAGCATATAGCATACTCACATTGCTGCGCATACTGCTTTAGGATTTTTTCTACAATATACTGGAGAACACTGGGGAAGACAATATGCAGGTAGTCCTTGGTCGGACAGCTGGTTTGATGCTGAAAACACAGGAAAAGTTCATAAATAATGATGATTTGAAATCTATACAATATTATACTCTTAGCAATACAGAAACCTGTCTCAGTGGAACACCTATGGAACCTCTAAAATGTGCTCCACTTATAGAGGTTCATTTAACATTAGTCACTTGGTCTTGGGACTCTGAAATGTGTTCCACTTCTAGAGGTGTTCCACTTTCCAGGTTTAACTGTATAGGAGTAGCAATATAATATATACCTAGTAGCAATACACATCAGCTCTAGCAACATTTATGTACCTTGTAGCAATTTTAAGAATTAGAGTGACCACTGTACCTGGAAGATCCCAATTAAGCTCTTTAAGTCCATGATAATATATAGATTGAAACATGTAAAGTGGAACACCTCTCTTAGTTGAACAATTTTTATCAGAGTCCCAAGGCTAACTGACTTAATTTTAAACAATTGAGCATTTGCAAAAGCTCACCATGTGAGCTAATGAACCTCTATAAGTGGAATATCTCCCAAGTGGAACACTTTTAGAGGTACCAAGAGTGTGCCACTTAGACAGGTTTTACTGTACACTGTAAATGTACTTATTGATGGCAACATACAAAAAACTAGGCTATGTACCAAGTGTCCACCTATCAACAAAATGAGATGTTATAGTACTGAACATTATACTCTTTGGTATTTTTCATTCACAGAATTCCTGCCTTCAAATTAGGTGGTACACACAAATAATAAATCATAAGCAATGTCACATAAACTCGACCAAACTTCACTTTGAATAATTAACATGTCAAACTTTTGACCACCAGTTCACCGCCCCTTTCTACGATGTTGATATTACATTTGTTCCTTTCTGAATTATTTTATTAAATACATCAAATGGTTGATTAAAGCACTTCCTCGGTTTAAGTTCTATTTCTTTCAATATTAATATTCCTTATATTTCAGGTATTTTTGTTTTATTTTCCTTGAAAAACAATAATCACAAGCAGTTAAAAGGATGTTTACATATTCCTTTAACAAGACAAGGATGTATTGTATTATAGACTACTACACAGCATTTGACTCCCTTGTAAATTCATCATAAAAATAATATGTACTTTTAATTCAAATCAACAATAAAAACTCATAATACTATATCATAATCACCAAATGATTAATAGTCCTGATTTTTTTAGGAAAACATTTTGCCATTTATCTTGAAACAGAAAGATATTACAAACTTAAGAAAAGAGAAGCAGTTGTCAAGGTATGAAAATCCACACCTCTGACATGTAGAGAAATAGGTTTCCTCATGGACAATTCTCTTTGAATGAAAATAAAAATTGACATTACACTCAGTACATAGTAAATTACAAGTACTCTTGACTACTGGTGGGGTAGCACTAAAAGCCAAATATTTCCGAACAATTATCTTTCATATTGTATCCTTCTAAGGTGTTCATATTAATTAATTTGGTAAATTTTGATCTCATAAAAAGACACTGGAATTTTTCACAATTTGAATTAGTATTAGGCTTTCTATTAAATTAAATAACAAGTGAAAATACTGATTCAACATTAATCTATAAGGAAAGTACAAAGTTAAGGTAGTTGGTCATGACTACAGTACTTTCTGGCACATCATTATTATACAGATCCTAGAAGTTGTTTATCACCACTTATCATACCAAACCATAATATACAATTTAACATAATAACCATCAAGATGATTTCCCATTTCACATGTTACAATCCGGAAGTCATACCATTCCAAACTGGAATGTCTGACTAATGAGACATAAAGACGCTATTGTTAGAAACTAGTGTTGACTCCTGATTTGGATAAATTTTCATTGTAATATTTCAGAAGTGTCTCTGGTTGATTAGTCAGACATTGTCAAGGACCAAATATGTTTCCAGTATGTTACTGGTAAGTTAATTGGATCAGTCGAACAATATAGCAATAATGCAACCACCTGAATCTATTTCCCTTATAGTCATTTTAAGATACCTACCCTCGTAAACAATTTAAAATGTCTACAACCATTACTGGTTAGCTATCCCAAGTGTACTAAGAAAACAAGATGCTGAACTTAGTCGATAGTTAGAAAATATGCTTACAACAATTAATTTCCCCAGTTTATATACCTACAATAATGCATTTCCGCCTGGATTATATGCTTACAACATGTGAGTGATTTCCATTGTTGATACAGATGTGTTGGAATCTATATTTTGATATGTGAGACAAACACTGATCTTTGGGCAGATTTACATTCACATGGCAAAAAACATGTACTGGATATAATTACTTCTGTTCGATTTGTCTGGGTTTCTCTTATTTAATATTAATTCAATATTCCCGCATTTTTTCTTATAAGCAGTACAGGGGTGGAAAGTTATCATTTTAACTTTTGCTTTCTTGACTGGAAATACATGTACCGATAATATTTAAAAATGTCACGATGTAACAGTCAATTGATGTTTGATTTGGACAAAGGGAGTTAAATAACATAAATATAAAACTGCAATCTAAATTTGATTTTACAATTTTCAATTTTGAGTTTCAACTTGGTAGATATTATAACTAACTGTTATAATACTAATCTAATTTGATAATAACAGATTATCTCATTGATAAGATTATTTGAGAAGATTACAACAAATAAAGATAACTGGAAATATCAAAATATCTGTGAATCAAATCAGGAAATAGCAAGTCTCTGTGTTAAATCTTCAAATATTATTCTAATGGTTAAAACTCTAAAATTTAAGAATTGAAAAATGTAGGGTGTGAAATAACCACCATCGTACATAATTTCTCTCAGACTGGTATCTATAATCAAAAACAGAAGAATTTATGTATAAAGAATGAAACAGTGTTCGGAATATCACATGGTTTTCAAATATATATGTCATTTGTGGTTAATACTGAAAATTCATAGCTATTATGAATACAGTGAAACATGTTCGCAGTAAACATATTGAACACAAATTGCTTTTGATTGTATTAGAATGTTAGGCAGTAGAACTGTAATACATGTAAAGCAAAATATGAAAATACAGAGGTTTTGAAACACATGTTTTGGAAATGAAACTCAGTTTTTATAATATTTTTAAAATTCAAAAAATCACTTTTTTATTTAGGGGCAAATTACTTGTAAATTACAAAAGATTATTGAAACGTAAATGTGGCATTTTGTTATACCTTTTCCAAAATAAATGTTTTAAGTTGTATTTAGTCACCACTGAGATCTCCCTGTTACATTTCACTGATTTTTGTAAGTAACTTTATCAGCCAATAATGAACACACAGAATCTCTAATGGTTAACATAATCAGAATATAAACCAAAATGAGAGAAAAGTATATACTCATTAAAAAGTGATCTGTGAAAAGAGATATGTGCTATAAGAGAGAGCGAGGACCTTACTATTAAAGAGAAGTGTTCACTCTGAGGATTGAGGTGTTCACTCTTATTAGAGAGGTGTTCACTTTAATTAGAGAGAAGTATTCACTCTAATTAGGGAGAGGTGTTTGGAGTAGAAATCTGTAACCTAAGGTGTTCACATTCACAATGACACATTTTGCTGTACTGCATATATAACAACTTGTATGTTTAGATTAGACTAGTAGCTCTTAACACTGAAGTTGGTAAACATTTATTTGAGACCAGAGTTGAAATAAGTGAGATTTTTAACTGAAATCTTAGACAGTTTGCCCTCACTTTCTTGTTGACAGACCCCTTCATGTATTTACACAATTTATTCACCCCAGACAAAAGAAAAATTACACAGAGGTATCCATTTTAAATAAACAATCTGGGGATCTCGATGATATTGTAAAATACCTTTTCACACCAGGAAGGAAGATTATCATGTCTAATCGTCCTTTTTTGGTCATCCCCGATCCCTCAAAAATGCATCCCATAATTTTGGAAACTGACAGTCGTTAAAAATAGAAACCCAAATTCATTAGGGTCGGGAGTAAATATACTCAATAAATATGGTCATGTATTTTCTTCGCAGTTAATTCTTGTACAAACAACAATAATTTAGTTCATTATTCTACCAAAATATTCCATTCATTCTGAAGTGTCTAGAGGTATTAGGCATTGGTTTTCAAGTTTAAGTCTGGAGGAATTTTGATTCCCGATTCAACACACTTAAAAGTAGCGTATAAAATAAAACTGTTTCTAATCCTCTGGGATGTATGTGTTAAAGTACGAACTCAAAGACAGTTAAATTTAACTCTGAGACATTTTATTATTTTGTTAAAATGTCTAAATGACTGTTACCTTTGTGCCTTATTGACATGCCATTAACACTTTTTGTTCACTTAGATACTAAAAAGATAACTGTTGAATTTCAACTTTCAACAAAGTGCCAACATTTAGTTTTTGTATATTTTTGCATTATTGGCCTAATGTTAAGCAATGATGCTGTATCACCCCAGGTATAATATATGTTTCATACTGACATTCAGGTGGTCATTGCATATTGATAATATATTTTCTTCATGACAGCTGCATAGTATACATATCCCAAAAACAAATTATTTTCAGTTAAGTTTCCTTGAACTGTACCAATATTACATAAATAAATAAATAAAATAACTCAATTAGCTAACTTTTAATTAAGGTGTGCCAAGTATTAATGTTAAAATACTGAAAATGTGTAAACAGATCCCAAAGTCATCACACCCCGCCCACCTTAATTACAATCTTGGTTCATGATATATTCTGAGTACAGTCTAGTGCAGAGATTCAAAAAATGCTTCAATTGAGGAGACTGGTTTCATTCAGTTATATAGTCTAGTTACCTTAAGTAGACAAGTTTTCTTGGTGATATGTGCTGAGTGTGTAATACCAGAACCATGCTGACATTTTTTATCGGAAAACACCTCATTGACTTTCCAGTTAAATACAGACATAATCCCTTCAACGTCACAGTATGACCCCAGCTTGACATCATATAAAAACTATTTATCCTATTTCACTCTCATCACTCCATCTCATATCCCGTTCAGTACACTGTTATTTTTGTAATTTTCTCAGTTTGCTTCTTGAGCATCAATGTACATCATAATACGTAACTGCACAGTGGTTGAAAACCTCGACAAAAATATGCATAAATGAAGCTTATTCAACCATTTAATCGCATTTTTACAATTATTAATATTTTTGATGACTGTAAACTTTTTAGTATAAGTTTTCATTGGCTTTGTTTTATAATACGCTAAACAAACAGAGTATACTATTCTATAAATGATGATTTTCTACTAATAACAACAAGAAATGAACCCAGTGACCTTCAAATACACCTCTTGCATGTTTTATTTCATTGGAGGATAGCTCGCATCAATAGGAAAAAGATTGAGTATATATGATCAAAATAGACATTTTGATTATGTTTGGTTAAGTTATGTCAATAGAATTCCCAAAATTGAAAGGTTATCTTTGATATGTTGCTTATGTTGATAAAATATAATGATGAAAGTATCACTTGCCAAATATAAATCAGCAAGAGGTACGGTTATATTCGGAATCTGAATGACACATATTTTAATGCCTCAGAAGCATTGACAATTTATTAAAACTGTTTAACTGTTTCTAGTCAACATTTTCTAACTGTTTCTAATGTCATTTTCATAGTTTAACAGAAATTAAAATCCCCTCTTTTCAGTAAACTGTCCTGCAGGATGGGAATCTAGAATAGATTTATATCAAGTGGTAAATATGAAATTCAAAAAAAAAACTCATTTCAAACCTAATGCCCCAGTCAATTTTAATCTTCAACTGTACAGTGGCCAAAGCTTCCAAAAATTGAGAGAAATATGCAATATAAAATGTAGGGATAAGCAGTACAAAGCAGATTTTCTATATCAATTTTTTAGCTATGCAAATGTGACTGAGGCTTTAGGAATCCAAAATGGGTGGTAAGAGCACTGGATCAACTTTCTATTGCAATTAACACCTCTTTTGGTTGGCTGGTCAGGTGAAATGAATTTTGCATACAATTAAACATTCAAACATCTTCATCTTGCAATAGCACTTTTTATGCCAAATAATACACTAAAATATATGTAACACTAAAATTAATTTGCTCTTTAACAGCTATAAATTGTGTTGGCCATTATGATCCATATCATGCTGATGGGTATTTTTACTTTTAGGAAAATTCTTAAGATTTTTGGTAGATAATCTCCCACTTGAGTAGGTTTATTAATCCCGGTTAGGGGCTGGATTACCATTATTTTTATTTTCAACAAAAGCTAAAGAACTGCTGGTTTATTGGGGTCACACCTGAGTTAAACCGCTAAGTTAAAGTCAAAGAGTACTTTAGAAGTTAGCCGATCTTATTGTATATTTTTCAATGATGCCCTCTGGCACAAACATAAATTACATAATTCTATGGATATTGTATATTATACCAAAACTGAGATTTAGCGATCTTATTTATATTTCTAATTGTGGCATATCATTTCTATTTCCAGTAAAAAGGGATTATTTATTCATCAATTATGAATCTTTTTAACATTTACATCGTCTTGTCTATTGGTATTTCATTTAATTCTGAATATAGTGGTTTTCAGATTTTTTAAAAAGAGCAACTTTTTTCAAGCACATGATTCTTTTTTTATGCCATTGTAGTGTCTTTGTGTTGCATGTTTTTATCTTTTTTATTCAAATAATAATAATTCTTCATCTTTCCTTTGAAGCTGGGTCTTGGTCTAAATTTTGAACACTGAACTACTTAGGAAAAGAATTTGACATATTAGGTCTACGACTTATAATTAATTTTAATATGACTTATACTTTCTTTCAAATAAAGAAACATAAACATTCTTAATTTCTATGTGCGTTTTAATATGGTTAGGTGATTTATCTACAATTTATCATGAATTACATTTGAGTAGTTATCAAGTTAAGATGGACTACTGCGATGTAGTAATTGTGCATATTTGCGAATGTTTATAAAAATGGTTAATTCCATCTTCGCAGACTTCTATTGAGTCATGTTTTTGCATGTTTATTTCTATTTTCTACAGAACAGAGAACATTGGTATGCAGATTTTATGAGATCTTCTTTATCTTAGACATGTCAGAAAAAGATTTATTTGTAAATCTTCACTGATCCTTCAACTGGCATTTATATTTCAGATTGCGTCTATCTGTGATCTACAATGTAGTGCTAACTAAATTAGTGTTTACTTTATTTATATCAGAAAAGATGTTCTTATTTTACAAAATATGACATTTTATAAATTATTTAAGCCTGTATAATATTGGCATGTTCTAATTTATTCAATTCACAGCCAGAGCTCAAAGTTATGGTGTAATTATGGACTAATTAGTAAATCAATCAATCACAGTTACATGAAAGAATTTATAATTTATGATGAACATGTCCAACTAATTAAACATCCTTACTCATCTTGAAGAATTTAGACAATATAAAATTTTGAGATGAAGAGTAACTTATTTAAATTGTCATATTTTCAAGTCGTCTAGCTGCTACTTCAGGTAATTAGTATGACCTTATTAATGACATATTTCAAGGCCACTTTGTAAGATTAAAACATTGCTATATCTTGCTTTCTAAATCAAGTCTAAAAATTAAATATAAGTTTTGCCAATGCAAAAAGCACAATGCCTACCTTGTTGACAAATTCCTTCAGGTTTCCATTTTCTAGAGGTAGTCTCTTGTGTTGTCCTATAATCTTTTTGACGGTGAGATTTTCTGGGTTCACACTGAAGTCCTCTGTCACATTTTCCAAGGTAGTTCCACTCGCCCCCACACGTTTCACCCTCCACTTTGGCGCATACAGGACAACAGTTGCATATTCCCCGGGTAATGCCTCCTTTACAGCGCAATTTGGATGGTCTTCGAGGGGTACAATGTATTTTCTCACAACTGGGACACTGCATATCGTTCCCGTCTGATTTTGCTCCCCCGTCCGATTTCCCCTGGGATAATTCCAAGAGCCATATTGTCAAAAATCCGCAAATTAAAATCGGTTTACAGTGAATCAAGTTCATGATAATTGGTTAAACGGAGTTCTAAACTAGTGTTCCTTGAGATGTATTCTAAATTCCTTCATTTACAACTTTTCTTTACGAGTTAACGTCAATTTGTCAATCTTTTCAGGACACTAATTCTAATATCACGTTCTCCTCGCCAGTACTGTTGTTCCGTAAATGCATGTGCTACATTTAAATACTGCACATCGGCAACTTTCAATTTACGCTATCCGGTTGGTCCATTCTGAAGGGGTGTGACATTTGACTGTCTCCCCTAAAACTAGTCTTTCACTCCCAAAGAAAGTCCATTTAACACATATATAATACGTAGATACTTATAGATAAGAGTGAAACATTTTAAAGACTCTGTATATTCAAAGATATAGTATCAAAATAATACTACAGGTAGCTAAGTTACCTTTAATAAGGACTAGTCTACTTGTTTTACAGGTCAAAGTTCAACTGTTCACCTCCTCGATGATGAAAGGGGCGTGGGAATTATAATTAGATAGTCATAAAAATCTACTGATTGAGTTTGAATAATAAAAATTACATTTATTAATTAATTGCGATTTTCTATGGAGCAACTCAGTAGATGAAATTGCATCAGTGTGAATTTCTTCGGTGGAGACTAGTAATTCGGGGGATATATAATCGTGGTAGGCTATAAATGATAAATATTCGAAACACTTATTTTGAATATTTCAGGTATAACTTTACTCGTCCCGATGACAGGAATATTTTTAGTTCCGGGATGATCACCTTTTTGACATTTTTTCATAACATTTTTTTATAGTATGGTTTTCTTATTTTAGCTAATATTCAATTTATAATTTTCAGACAATCAAATGTTGCCCTTTCTAATATTTTGATTTTGCGTATTTTAAAGATCAATCTATTCTACAATCTATCGAAACTCAAGAAGGGTATTAGATCTCATGTATTTTGGGTACTCTTATTAAGTCATAAACCATTCACTTATCAAAACATAAGTCATTAGAAACATGATTTGGCATCCCCATCTTCGCACGCTCGAAAACCCGTTGAGTGTTCTTGTCCGGGTTCTCGTCACACGGGTTTCATTTTAGCTCGCGGGACGCCCTATAGAATGAAAGTCCTTGCATTTAGAACCTGAGTCAGCCTTTTAATGTCCCTTGGGCCAGAGGGGGCATGACGATTATTCTTATGATCACTTGAACTACTGAATATCATAGGAATGATATGAGCGAAAAATAATACGGATGGGAAATTGATTGAAAAAATGCGCTCCGTATCTTTATCTTCTCATTTATAGCAGAAGGGAATTTAAAAAGAAATGAACAACAATGATGCTAACAATATCAATCGTATTTCTGCCTTCCCGATTTAAAATGTATGATGGAAATGTAAGCCCGTTAGACGACATAAACGCATAATTCATCAATAATATTGTGGCTTACCGCGCGCTACGTTAACAAATACAAGTTAAAAACTGTTCCTGGAATCGCGTTTTGGAAAATATCCTTGAAAAGAAATTATATCAGTCATAAAAAGATTCTTGAATTATGATTCTTTCCATTCCACAGACAATAAGGCGAATCAATCCACGGGAATCAGAGACATATAGTTTTATCATGATATGTTTTATATGTCTCTGCGGGAATCAATCCCAGTATTATTTTGAGGAGAGGCCAAATCTCATTCTAGTCGTCTTTCTCATGCCCTATTTTTGTTTTATTTTAATTGCACATATATACGTTCGTTAATAAGATACCTATAAACTGAAGTTAATTGAGAAAATAATTTTGTTCTAAATATCACTATTAACCCAACAAATGATACTTGGTTTGTTTCATTAGTATTACTTGGATGCCATCTATAGAAAAAGAATGAAGTCAACCATAGAGTGCCGCCATCTATTGGATAGAAATTTCTTTAAAAGTATGAATCTGAAATATATTTATTCTTATCCGCTTATAGGCCTAACATACAGCATGGCGAATCACTCAAAGTGACACTAACGTGTAGATGACAGTGTGATGAAGCTTAGCATGGATAATTTTGCTGGATTTTTACACTGGTAGATGTAATTCATGGCATTTTTTTCATCCTACATTTAGGATCTAAATATGTATATTTTGCCAATATTGTGACATTTGTCGGGCTTTTTTCTTGTCATGTTGATTTCAAATCAAAACAAAATTAATGCTTTAGTTACCGTTTGTGGAAATTAATACATTTGTACCCAAACCGATGTAAAAATATAAATGAAAATGGAAATAGTAGAGTAATGTATTACCAACCACTGACTATCCAAGGTTTTATTCCTTTTTAGACAATCCAAATGTAACTTGGGTCTCAGCTTAGTCTTTATTGTATTGTATTGTATCCTTTATCACCACATTATTTCCATGTGAGTAATAATTACAATTTCTGATAAAAACATATTTACATCAAAAGATTGCGTTTTTATACATAGAGTAAATTGCCTTAAGCCTTTAAATCATATTAAAATCACCGGTTCTACTGCATGATGTCTTTCACCGTAAATCATTATATTGCATTTGCCAGGATGAATCTTATATCTTCCATATGCATTTCATACTAAGGCCATAAGAAGTAGATTCTTTGTTTTGCGTCCCCTTGCTTGCACGATTTTGAGTAAATCAGAAAAAACAAACACATCTCGCTTTTCGTTCAATCAGAATCAGACAAAATGGCGGATAATTTAATGTGCGTCAAAATTGACAGTTTTATAATTACTAAGGCATACATTGAGTATTTTCTTATTTTTTACCCTTGAATAATAGCTATGTTTAAATATATCGTATAAAATGTATAGATATGTATTTGTAATCACTGCAAATTGGTATGTCATCCCCTTTTATGCCCATAAAATGTATACATTTCTCAGCAAACAAGTTTGTGTTTTTTCTTGAGTTTGTGTTTGTTTTCCTTGTACCCTTGCATGATTTGGATTTTGCCAGGACGCAAAACAAAGAATCTACTTCTTATGGCCTAAGTAATATATTCATAGATGTCGTACTTGTAGTTATAATTATAAAGATCCATCCCAAGCCTTTTGTATCAAAAAGAAAATGCGAGGCTTTCATGAATATTGCAATACATTATGCCATACCCGACCGCGCAATGCAAAGGAATTGCATGTCCCAGACTTGATGGCAATTGTCCCGGGGAATCCAAATCATACACAAAACGAAGTAGTATCGACCGATGTGACTACCTCACGTGACCTACAATAGCATACGTATCACGTGACCCTGTTTCTCTGGCGACATCACAACAATAATACCAGATTTATTTACTTTTCAGAGGAGGGACTGCACATTAATAACTATAATAAAGCTAATTTCTATTTAACAAGACACACAGGAGTTCTATAATTATGTCACAACAAGAAATGATGAGTAACCCACCGTTTAGGTCAATGGTACGAGCCTCTGGTCTCGGTGAAGTGTGGACACATACTCATGACGAATCAAAGTTCACTCAGTTTGGATGGAGAAGTACAACTAAGGAATGTTCTTACAACCAACCGACTCTCATAGGAAATTGGAACGAGGACAAATTTGATATTGAACGACAGAAAAAGTCCAAAAGACTGCCATCACAGGTATGCATTGATCTATTCATAGTCCTCCGGACTCTCTGGGGATAGAGGTTCTAGAGAGGTCCATTTCTAGTCGACCTCAAGAGGAGGGTCTATCCACAGTGAGCACTATCAATCTTCATTATTCAGTTATTTTATCATATTAGATATTAGATAGATGGTGGTGACTGTGGGTCTATCAGGATATACTTACATGTTCAACTTCTTAATTGCTCCATTTTCAGTTATTAACTTGATTTAATGAGGATAATGATTTGTTGTAATTTTTCTAAATGATTATATATGCACATGTGGCCAGTGTTTCTGCTAGTGTAGCCAAGTTTTGATATATATTTTCAGTTCGAGCATTACTTTGAACCAACATACGATGTATCCTACAATAAAAAACCTGTCCATGTTGTACCAGAATCGCTAAAGCATCAAAAGGGTAAGTTCAATTTTTTCATTTATTAAAATCAATGTAACAGGTTTTAGTGGCTATGACCCCCAAGAGGGAGTATTAGCTGCCACAATGATTTGTTAAATATTATAGAAAGTGTACATATTATTTTGTAAAGAATGATCTTGTACATAATTGAGAAAATAAAGTGTTTGAAGAAAATGATTAAAGGTATCTTCTTCAATAACAGGTGCAAAATTGATCATTTTCAAATGAATAACTACTCCAATATTTCCATTTAAGTTTGGTATCCGAGATTTTTTAAACTGTTTAACAAATCTCGGTACATGGTACATTTTTGATACATACATCAAAGCCCTGTTGTATATCAAATAAACAAACGAGGAAAACCCGTGCAATTAATAATCTAATAATTGAGGAAACAAATGAGTAAGATAAGGATTAAATTCCGATCAATCAATAAATCAGAGCAATCTGCAACTTGCTTCACCATTCGTCTTTCTTTTTTTGCAAATATTAAATTTTGAAAAATTTAACTTTTAATCGAAAGGGGGGCTTAAACAATATCAGTTTTAATCATCCATCGCCATTCACCGTGTTATTACTTCACCTCAATGGATTATTCTTTGTAAATAAAATTTTGTTAAGTAACCTTGCGACTTATAATGTTAAACAAAGTCGCCTTTTTGGAATTTTTCTTTTAACATATATTATTGTATTGAATAAAACATGATAAATAAAAAATAAAAAAATACTTTTTATAATTCCAGCACGCCACCCGCATGCACATCCAAGCCACCAACCAGAACTAGACGACCCAAGTCTTAAGGCTATCTACAACAGTTGGGAAACAACAACTAGAGCAGCCTATATAGACCCCAGGGTCAAAACTGCACCCATAAACAATGGAAGTACACAATTAGAATCACATGGACAATTATACACTGGAGAATCTCAGTCTAATACGAGACAAAATGCGCAATAAAGAGGACTTTTTAGATACAATTTTATACTATTTGGGATTTCGGAGTTGAACGTTGAATCAGAATAAAAAATATATGCTATTAAAAAAACATGGTTTGTCATTTAGATACTATACAGGGTGTCCCGAAAGTATGGGGCCCCCCTAGGCAGACATATACCAGTGTCGTCATAGTAAGTGTCATATGTCATTTTAAAGCTCATCCAAAGTTACATTGATTCACCAAGTATCATGGTTCAACTTACAAATGGGAAAAAGTTACAGTCATTTCAAAATTTAGTGTTTGGTCAAAATTAAGTTCAATTTTACACCAAATCACTAGTTAATGTGTCCTTCAGGGCCATCGTAACAGCAGCAATTCTTTTAGGGTCAGATGGATATCGAGTTGGAAAAAGAGAACGGTGAGGGTAGAAACTCTAAGGAAACTCTTCTAAAGTGCCATAACAGGTTTTAAGAGGGTTATAAAATTCCACACCCCTATTTGAAGGGCTTTTAAGGTCCTATCTGAAAATAATTGCTGCTGTTAACATGGCCAAGGGGGGACTCATTGACTAGTAATGTGGTAAAATTGAACTTTATTTTGACAAAACACTAACTTTTAAAATGACTGTTACTTTTTCCCAGTTGGGAGTTAAACCATGATACTTGGCAAATCAATGTAACTTTGGATAAGCTTTAAAATGATATATGATACATACTATGAGGACACTGGAATAAGTCTGCCTAGGGGGGGGGGGATACTTTCGGGACACCCTGTATTTAAGGCTTACTTGAAGTATTTAAAGATTAATGTCGCTTAACTTTATTGTTTTCATTGTTTCTGTCACACGTAATGCCTTTGGATTCAATTTTCTGAGTTTTACATAAGTTTTAAACGACCCAGCTCCCAGCTCTCCTTTTAGAAGCGAAGTCGAACGAATGCAAGGTTAAAGGATTACATAATATTACTTGAATACCATTTGTTGCATTTATCATGTTTATGTATCACGAATTAAACCGATATAAGTATTTATTTCTAAAATATATAAAAATACATCAGAAACCAAGAAAAATGAGCAAAATTTTAGAGTCGTGATAAATCACTTAAAACAAACTCTTAACCTGTGGAAAACTAGACAACTAACAATAATAGGGAAAATACAAATTGTGAAAACATTTGGGTTATCAAAATTCAATTTTATTTGTTCGGTCATAGATACACCAGATAGATACCTTAAAGAAATCAATGATATTGTGTTTAAATTTTTATGGAATGGCAGGGATAAAATTAAGAGGAAATCATTAATTTCCGACTTCAAAGAAGGGGGCTTGAGAATGAGTGATTTAAAAACAAAAATTAAAAGTGCCCAACTAAAGTGGGTTCAGAAATTAATTAAAGATACAGACAAGAATTCTCCATGGACTGTCATTCCAAATTATTACCTTCGTCAAAAAGGTGGCTTATTTGTATTGAATTGCAAGTATGATATAACTAAATTGAATATTGATATGCCAAAGTATTATATACACATGCTTCAAACATTTATGGAATTGCCCCGTTCACAAACCGATATACCAGAGGAAATAATATGGAATAACAAAAAAATCACGATACAAAATAAATCACTCTTCTGGAAAGAATTTTTCAATAGAGGCATAATAAAAATTAAAGATTTATTTATAGATGGATCAATTAAAACATGGCACCAGATTAAGGTACAAACAGGTCTATCTGATGTATACATGCTGAAATGGTTTGGAATTTTAAAAGCCATCCCAAGAACTTGGCTTATAATTATAAGAAATAATGTATTTGAAAATAATGTCAATTTAGATGTAAAACACTGTAATTTTGATATTGTACATGGAAAAAAAATATTTCAGTTTAACAAATGTACATCAAAGTTATTGTATTCTATTTTATTGTCACACATTGCTGAACAACCAACAGCAAAAGGAAAGCTTAGTATAAAATATAAATTAAACGAAGAAGACTGGAATTTTTATTATACGTATTATCATTACATTTTAACGTATTCTAAACACAGGGCTTTTCAATTTAAACTTATAAATTGCATTTTATATACAAACAATGATCTATTTAAATATAATGTAATACAATCGCCGATGTGCGAATTCTGTTATACTGCATTTGAAACGATTGATCACTTATTTTATCTTTGTGAATATACAAATCAGTTTTGGAACAGTGTTAAGCAACACATTTTGAAAAAACTCAAATATTTTGATTTAAACAATGTGCTCTTTGGCTCTAAAAAATGGAGCAAATACGAAAATATGATTATAATTATTGCAAAATACTTCTCATTGCACAAAATTTGTCCAATATTTCACTGCGCATGCGCAGAACCATTACTTCCGGTTTTCCAAAGCCTATGGGATTTATAATGGAGACATTTTTCGAACGCTTACTGTGCGAATGATATTGATTTGCCACCTTAGTCATCTCAGGTTTCTATAACTAGACATCAACCTTTACTGATTTAACATGTTTTAAGCAATGTACACATGCACACTTTTCGGCCAATTTGTTTTGAAAAAATCATGAGGAATTCATGCATGACTCCATTGAAATCCATTAGAAATGGCGTCAAAATGGTGAAATGAGGATATTCAACGGTCTGGTAGAGGTACTTAAAATCATATGGTATCTTAGTCATCTCAGGTTTCTGTAACTTTGAAGGTAGATCTGTTTGATTCCGTTGAGATTAGAATCCTCATACCTTTAACTTTTCGGCCAATTTCAAACAAAATATGATAACTTTTGGTGATACTGGTTCATTACATTGGAATGACGTCAAAATAAAATAAGACAATCTCAGTTTCTATGGCACTGACGTCATGACGTCAGATTTATCTTAAGATCTCAAATATGACGTCATGTTTAATCATTTATGATAATGGTGAAAATACATATTATGATAATAATAGGATCAGGAGTATTGGCAAGCGTTAACAGTTTAAGTTTAAACATCATTTCATTTTTTCTTACTATGACAGTTTTATGGTATGAAAATATGCACAAATGATTACTTATCAAGAAAACTTTAATTAGTCTCAAGAATACGCTCAATCACCGGAATATTCTAAAAAGGTGGATTCTGAGGAATGAAGTTAATTAATGTCTGAGCATTTTGGTTAATTTTTGCCTGCCTGACTGTCCCATTCCACATTATTTTGAGAATACATCTATATGTACAGCAACGATAAGCAAATGATTTACCTACGTGGTACTTGCTGGTACGTAATAAGTACGTACGAATAAGCAGTTTTCGAATTCATTTTTTTGTGAAAATATTGAAATTTACAAATGATCTTTTCCTAGAAGTTGGCCAAACTTTTCGATCCCGGTTTCGATCCCACCTTGTGTTGCTTATTAGGATATTTACTTTGACATTGTTTCAGATTGGTGAATCTTATCATGACAAATTGTTTATAAATAAATAAATATTTACACATCCTAGCATAGGCCTCACGGACCCGCTCGTCGCAACGCAGCGGAAAGTGCACCGATCATGAACGCAACGCAAGTTTGTGTAATAAAAAGTTCGTTTATGTTTTACGAAAGTCCGGAGCCTGGATCTGAGTTCAATTAGTGGCAACATACTGGGTTTGTGACCTTTAGTCTTTATAAACCTCAAAAGTGTACTTAACTAGCATGGGGCTGTTTTCATTGCCCTCCGAATGATAACTCAAGAACTACCCGGGATTCTAAAATACTAGATTATTTAATAGTTTTACTCTAGACGAAACAAAACACTGGATGCCAAGGAAGATGTGGCGTGTCATCACTATCAACACCATTCGACCAATGAAATATTTGTATGTATTCACTTCAACCAATTTCAAAGTTTTCACAAAAATGTAACCTCGGTCGAGTTATTCACTATTTTAACCACTTATACCCCAACCGATCAGGTGAATTCTACTCTTCATTTACAGTAAGTACCTTTATGTTAGTTAATGTAAAGTTTGATGTAACAATTCACGAGTTTGTAGTCAAGAAACGCCAGTTTTTCGATGACAAGAAATTATTCGTAAAATCAAGAACTTGCAGATTTCGATTGATAAGCCTAAGTTACTTTTCCTGACGATGAATCATTTTCTCATTTATCCCATATCTTTCATCAAAAGACAGTTGTTATTATATCAGAAGTCAATATCCATATATATTAGGGATCTATAACTGAATATATTTCTTGGAATAGTGAGCTCATAGAGGAAATGCATTTTTTGTGGGTGTGGCTTTTTGCATCGGAAATTCAGATCTGTCTTAGGCTATTGATGATGGGAAAAGTACACACTCCTGGTAAACCATTCCAATTCTCCTTCTCACCCTTGATAGATAAGATCAGAGGTATTCTAATAACTCCGTTTTTAGACTACATAACTTAATCACGCTTAATCATTAGAATCCTGGTCATTTCTGCAGTATGTATTAGATCAGTATGTATTAGATCTATGCAGTAAGCTAAGAATTATCTTAGCCTTCCTCGTCTACCGTAAAAAGTGTCTACTCGATGCATGACTTTACTTCCTTACTTTATACCTTTTTTGTAATGTTGTAACAGCATTATTGAAAACATAGGACCTGAATATTTCAAGCAACAGTACTCGAGTAGATTATGTCTTGGAGGCATATTTGTCTAAATAAATCCACCCATAGTTCAGTGGTAGAGCAATTCACCAATAATACAGTGATCCTGGGTTCACATCAAACCAAGGTTCAGGCAACGCTTGTTGGAATTTGAAAGGTCTTTGCCTCTTACTATATGTACTTACTATGGTATGTTCTTGTATATCTGTGTATTAATGCACATAAAAGAACACAGTATCTTCTAGAAGGGGTTTCGAGACACAATATCAAATCTCTAACAGAAGCATATTGGCAATTGTCAAAAGAATTGAGGCTTTGCTATGGTAAGCTTTGAAACCTCTTACATGTAAAAGTCTTGGTTTTTGGCTCACACAGTGAGCCTATGGGATCGACCAAGCGTCCGTTCTTCCGTCCGTCTGTCCTTCAACATTGGCCGCACAAATTAAAACTGCTATTCGGATTGAGTCATATCCACATTCATTTTATGCATATCCATAATGCCTATTTGACCTATCATCGCCATTTCCCAAGTTCGCCCGGTTTCCGAGAAATTGCTGATTTTGACATCAAAAAGTCAAATTTTCTGTAAATACTCTAGACACTTTGTTGAAGTAGAATTTTCAAATAACTTGTAGTAGTTGCTATATATGCAACTTATGTTCTCAAGATTTCAAAGCTCTTGAAATTACAGTTCTTGGTATTTACTCTATAAAATTTGACAAAAAGTAGGTCATTTTCAGGGAACTTTCTCATACAGTATAAAGTCATCATCATTGGCTGCACTAAACACTGTGTGAGCACAGGACCGTGGGTCCTTTATTAAAAATGGTCAAGTTGTGTACTTATAGATTTAAGTTTGGTTAAGGGTCCAGTTTCTAAGCCCTTGCGGCCAAGGGGTAATAAAATTTAAGCATTTGATAAGCAAAAAAATTATGAAGTTAATTTACCAATTTTAAAGATCACAATTTTAATGTTAAATCATAAAACAGGCATATCAACAAGACCATATACTATACTATACTATATTGTATTGCATTGTGCTTACTACCAGTTAGGTGAGCAAAACCTCTTGGGTATAACCTGTATATATACGGTCGTAATTTACGTAATTAACCTTGAAGATAGACCCAGAAACCCCTCCTTGAAGGAGCCATGTGTTCTTTTATGTGTACATACATGTCTGAAAGGGGCTCCGAAAGTTTCGATTCTATGAGACAAAGTTCCGATTCTGATTCCGAACCTGTTCCGGCACAGCCTTACATCCGGTCAAACTTCTGAGAGATAGTTTTGAGGAATTCATTTGAACCATAATTAATTATTCATGAGTTTTATGCACATCAGTCGATGTGCCATCCAATCAATTTACATGACACAATGCCGTAAAACAAACACAGGCACGTGTTTGCGAAGAGTTGCTCATGTGCAAAGCAAAATTTGAAATTGTGGAAATGGCAGTTATCTCTGTGTTTATTTCAGTTGAACATCATCGATTCTTAACTACAGTAACACTATTTCACATCTTCCTAGTTTTTTGCAAGTTGAAGTGCTGAATTTTGCATGTAAACTTAGGGAATCCTGCAAGGGAAAATGCCACTTTTAGCTGTCACTAATGAAAATTAAGAGGGATGGACTATAATTAAAGTGTCTTTTCCTTGATGGTTGATTTCCTATAGTGAGTTACAACTACTTGAAGGCAGAACATGTCAGCGTACATAATGTTTGAGAACTCTTTTATCCGATTATTTACATATTATTTGCTTAGATGTTTGGGTCCATTCATTTATTGATGATAAAATGACTCATTTTCAGATTTGAAATTATTTATTTTTAACCTTTCTGTAAGTAGGTCATGCCCATTTGATCAGAATTCTGAAATAGTTAAATAGTTAAATGTCTTAATCTGTTGTTTTGAATCAAAAGTTTCTTATTAAATCCGATTAAAACATGGAAAAAGTATGATTAATTGAATAAACTGCATTTGGGGTAAAACAATAGGTTGATAGGTACATAGAGTCACTAACATATATGCTGCCATCACTATCCAAACTTTATGAAAATATTCAGAAAACAAAAGCAAACATTCTGAACGGGATCAGTTTTAATTGCAAATGATTCCAGTTTATAGAATTGGTGATCGAAGATGACACGTCATTTCTCAGATTTGGGATCTGCATTTGAACAATTAAATAGATAGAAGAAGTGAGTACAGTCAAACCTGTCATAGTGAACACCTTTTTCTAGTGCTAGATAATACCTGGTCTAATGAACATCCCTCTCTGACTTCTGTATATAATCACCTCTCTGTTCATTATACACAGGATTTACTGTAATTCTATAACATGTGTATAGTGTTGTAAACATTAGGTGTTGTTAACTAGTTAGCAGAAGAGCTGTCAGGGAGGGAGAAATGAATAAGTTCTTATTACAGACAATTTTTTCAGCTATTCTATTCCGTTAGCAACATTCTCATTGGCATAACAAAACTCAAATCTACCATGCTTAACAGTCTGAGATGTACAGTTAATAGTAAAACCCGTCTTAGTGACTATAGCGTAGCCAGGATGAGGCAGACGAGGCGCTTGCCTTGTCGCTTTTTTAACATCTTTTGAGAAATATTCCTCTATCAATGATGAATATTGTAAATAATTGTCTTTAATCGATTTCAAATTTTAAATCATCAATTTTTTATTCAATTGTACACAATCTCATCCTGTAAGGGTTTCATCATGTTCTTTTATTGCCATCATAGAACTAATTTCATATTTTGATGGTGTTTTAACATTGCGTTCATATTTCTGAGGAATAACTTTCGCTAGATTTCCGAATAAGTTACATAGCTGCTAGTTTGGTAAAGATTAAAAGGTGGATTGGATCGAGTGGATTGGATTCATGTAAAAGGTGGATTGGATTGGCTATCTTCAAAATATGGATTTTCCCTTAAAAATTTCTATTGATCTCCCTTTAGGAAGATTGGTGCTCTCTTCACTTGCACAATGTCAAATAATAGATGTAATATTATCTTGCTTGGGTGGGCTAGAATGATGACCTGGTACCCGCTTTCTGATACACGATCTTATTCATTCCAACTTTAATTTGAGACATTTCATAAATCATAAGGCAGACTGGTTTGAAGATCCATATCATCTGTTTTCAATCCAAACTGAACATACCAGAAATGTTTTGTGAACATTCACACATCAATTTGAATGACAGGTTTTCTTTTTCTAAAGATCTATGTCTTACAAAAGTTGATTTACAAGAGAAAGCGGTTAAATACTTAAGAGTGTCCATGAACTAGTTGGAGTATGTATTTGTCATTGCTTTGTTCTGATTTCTCAAAAGGGACCTGTAATACTGTAGAGGGAAATTGTTTAGAGGGAGATCAACAGATAATCTTTTATAAGAAATTCCACATTTTGAAGATTCCCGATCCAATCCACCTTTTACATGAATCCAATCCACTCGATCCAATCCACCTTTTAATCTCTACCGCTAGTTTAGAGTCTGAATAATGCCTGGATGGCAAGCACCTTGTCGCTTTTTAACAGGTTTGGAAATATATTTCCCTCGTTGCTTTTTTCTTCCTTGCTACGCCACTGAGTGAACATCTTTCTCTCATAAACACCTGGTCTAAGTGAACACCCTCTCTCAGTAAGTACATACTTCACTGACCTGTATGAAATTGCCTATGTAGTGAATGCATGTACTAACCGAGTACAGTGGCTTGATAGGTGTTCACTTTACACAGGTTTTACTTTTCTTTTATTGACCCCTTATTAAAACCCCTAACAAACAAAGAGTTTGGGTAAATGATAAACAAGAAGGCATTCACAAGATAATCTCAGATGGATATTTTTATTGATAAATTTTCTTTTCTCTAGATTTAGAACTACGAGAGATGAGAACTCGTATGAGAACTTGTGAACTTGTCAAACATAAGAGCTGTAAAACACATTAACTGTCAAAAAGCACAATTTGTGTTCTCAGAAGTAGGCTACACATAAACAAAATAATTTGATAAGTAATTCTTGTCAAACTCACCAGAAACCAGAAAAGGCACTTCAAGTGGCAAATGAATCCTTGCAACTTTAATTATGTTTGAAAGTGGTTGTTACAAAATGGTCACTAATGACAAAATCATTTGAAAAAGTGGGTTAATAGTCAACTGGTTCTGTAAAAATATAAATGATGGTGCCTCAAGTATAAATGTTGGAAGCTATTGGTTAATACAATGAATATATAGTATCTGTACATTTCATATGCATAATATCTGTAAATTTCATGAAATATTCTCAATTTACTTTACTGTGAAAATGGTACACTCTATGAGTAATGAATGTCTGTCTCCTTTAAGTGATATTTGAGATTAATGGTTACTGATGCACAAATTGTTAATCCATATTGACTTACATTATAATTAATGAGTTGTTTATTTACTTTAGTGATAATTGGTTTAGAATAATCTTGAACTTCAGTGTCTAATAAGTCAAGTGACTGCTCTTGACTTATGAAATACTCACTTGCGTAATGACAGGAAAGCATTGTTGCTATTTGCTGAAATTAAGCCAGTGTGGCAGAAAAAAATGTTTTTGACTTTTTTTTATGAAACTAGCATTTTGTTTCTTATGTTGTCCTTCATGCTCTACCGATAATGCAACACCTATCAATCATATTTTAGCTGTTTTAGTCTAGAAATCAGTCTTATCTAAATAATTTTCACCCTTCTAATCATTTGTGAACAAATGGTAAATATTTACGACAGAACTCAAGAATACTAAAACACAAAACTATCAATGTGTCTTAAGTCATGTATATGGAGTTAAAGTGAGCACGTTTAGTGAAAAAGAACAATTGTTTTCTATATATTAATACGTATTTTGGATTTAACAATAAGCTGTTGACCAGGAAGATAATGGAAGAATCTAGAGAATTTACAGGAGATTGATTGATCTCTCTGACCAGACTAAGCCACAGCAGGGTAACAAGCAATAGCTTGGCCTTATATAATAAGTTAAACAAGGCCAACACTGTCAAAATAAACCTCTGGCAAGCATTACTCTGGTCTTCATAAGCAAATTATGATGGAATTAGTGCTAGAGAATTGCTGGCACTTCATCTAAGGAAGGATCTAAGTGCAGGATGAAGTTTTATTGCTCTAACACAATGATTTCCTTCTTGATTTACCTCTTCGCTGGTACTGTATTCACGGTTGAAGGGATCAAGTATGATCTAAAAAACTGTGATCCTAAGTATGCAAGCTGGAGCCCTGAACATTCTGCCTGTATCAGTGATAGGCAGGACACTTATGGAATTACCTTTGAGGAAGCTGAATATATCTTATCAAGGCATAACTATTATCGTAGCAATGTACATCGCTTTAACAATCAGCCACCAGCAGGCAAAATGATGAAAATGGTTTGGGATGATGAAATCGCTTTTTTAGCTCAGCAATGGGCACATGGATGTATCTACCAACATGACACAAATGAAAATAGGAACATTCCGGGTTTATACCAAGTGGGACAAAACCTTGCATGGAGCTCTATCCATTCATGGAGCAGTATTGTGGACGCTTGGCAAAATGAAGTGGAACTCTTCAAATTTGGACAGAGGACTGGTAATAATGTTGGGCACTACACACAGATGGTTTGGGATACAAGCTCAAGATTAGGCTGTGGATATGCCTTGTGTAATGAAACAAAACACTTCTTTGTTTGTAATTATGGACCTGCTGGAAATTACGTTGGTAAATTATATAAGCCATATGAGGTATCTGCCAAACCAGGCTCATTATGTGGAGGAAGCTTGGAACCATCTTCAAGATTATGTGATTGTGATGGCAAAGTGTGCCACAATGGAGGAAAGCTTAATGTTGATACATGCGAATGTCAGTGCCCCCCTGGTGTGACCTGGATGGATGATGTTTGTGACATACAATGCGACTTAGTTATTGATAATTTCATATGTGCAAGCAGAGGTGGGAATTGGCCAATTGAATACTGTAAGTTATACGACAATGTTGGGTTTCAGTATTGCCCAATAACTTGTGGATTATGTCCATATAATGAGACACACTATTGGGGATCACCAATATCATTTGATTTTGGAACTGAAAGGGACACAACTACAGTTACATCTGCTAGGCCTTTCACTGTAAAGGCTACTGCAGCTACGACAAAGAGCATCACTACGACACAGACCTCTACCACAAGAAAGCTGACCCCTTCTACTCCAAAGCTGACCCCTTCTACTACAATGCAAACCCCTTCTACTGTAAAGCTGACCCCTTCTACTACAATGCAGGCCCCCTCTACTGTAAAGCTGACCCCTTCTACTATAAGAGAGACCCCATCTACTACAAAGCTGACCCCTTCTACTACAATGCAGGCCCCCTATACTGTAAAGCTGACCCCTTCTACTATAAGAGAGACCCCATCTACTACAAAGCTGACCCCATCTACTACAGTGCAGACCCCTTCTAGTACAATGCAGACCACTTCTACTCCACAGCAGACCCCTTCTACTATAAGGCAAACCCCTTCTACTCTAATGCAGACCCCTTCTACTACAAAGCAGATTCCAGATATTACTAATCAGACCCCTTCCATCACAAATCAGGTCTCTGTTACTTCAAAGCAGACTCCTGTTGTCACTACAAATAAAGCTGTCACTACAATGATAACCCCTGTTGTTACAAATGGTACATTTGCTACTATGAACGATAATTCAGTTACTCAAAAAGGAGAGTCAGTTACCATGAAAAAAGATTCCAACTCGACCACACCAAAACTTACTACCTCAGTTACCCCTACACCAAATTCTAAAGCTGGGGATACAATGGTGGACTCAAGTAACGAAGTTCCTGGTATTACTTCAATACCAACTGACACAAAATCAACATTGAATTCAAAGTCGATTCAAGAGGATGAATCATCACAGACTCTGTCCCCTCCTACTGGGAAGCCTGCTATAGGTGTAGCATTTACAACTAAGATTGCAACATTGCCAACAACCTCACCCCCATCCCCACCTCCATCTACAACAGAAGTACCTACAACACCTACTTGTGGCAACTGCTCAGCATTGTTTCATTATGAACAAACCACACCACCACACAGCACTACAACTGTCAACACAGACAAAAATACTCCGTTGGGTGGGCAAAGCTCAACTATATTGGGTGGGCAAAGCTCAACTACGTTGGGTGGGCAAAGCTCAACTACAACTCCTTTAACTACTACAGCAGGTGTAAATGGAGACAATACTTCTAAGGGTCAATTTGATAATGGAGATATCGAGAAAGAGGTCATTAATTATGTTCCCGATACTGAACAAAAAGACGGAGGTCTTTTTGATGAGGATAAACATACAGGTGTTGAAATGAGTGATAATACTGATATGCATAATGGAGCAAGTGATAAGGAACACAATGACCTTGAAAGTCCAGGTGCAAATGATCAGATAGCTGATGGCAGTGTTGAAAGTGCCAAAACGACGCCAGCACTGACTACGCCAACCAGAGTCACAACATCTAAAATCACTACTCCACAGGCTACCATTACCACAAAGAAGGTCATCACCACAACATTCGCCCCCATACCTACCACAACAACTAGCAGACCAACTCCAGTTCGGGGTATAATTGATTCAATCCAACCGCTTTCACCATGCGATGCAGTGGAGCCTGCAGCTTGTGGACAACCAAGTGGGAGCTACTGGCCAAGCACATACTGCTCATACGCCAGTGTGAAGATGATCTGTCCAGCAATGTGTGGGATCTGCCATGCGGAATATTGCGTAGACTATGAAGGGAATGTGTATGAGCAGAGTGAGCAATGGGTGACTCTATTTGGGAGATTTACCTGTACTGAAAATGGTATTCTGCATGAAAATGGGTGTCTCATTGATGATCAGTTTATTCCAACTGGAGGGCAGATCTCGTACATCGAGGGCCCGTGGAAATGGAAATGTGACTGTCAGTACAGAGATGGCTTATATCAGACCTATTGTGCTCCTCAGTATATCCAGGGTTAATAATTCAAAGATTAATGAGACAACATAATAAACCATCGTGAAAAAATTATAGATAATGAACATTTGTATAGGAGTTTATTATCTGTGTAATACCTCAGTACAATACATTTTTTCCATATATTGATTTACAGACGTTAGATTCTTGAGATAAATGGAAGAGGTCTGTAGTCATCCTTGGAGGGAACTAGGGCTGTGCCGGGATCGGTTTGGAATCAGAATTTTTTTCTCACGGAATCTGAACTTTCGGAACCCCTTATGTGCCACAAATGAAAAGAAACGAACCTGCTTGATAAGTTGATACTACAGCGTCTTGGCATAATTTGCACATCGTTTTATATTTGTTTTAATCGATTGGAAGTAAAACTCCAAAGTTAACTTTTGATTGAATGGCACGGCCCTAGAGGGAACATAACATTTTATTTTATGTTCTTGGATGCTTGTAATAAATTTGAAGCCTTGATGTATTTTTTTGTATTAACAAACTTTATAGAAAGGAAAGGGTCATATTTTGAATACCTTTCAGTCTTCTTTATTATGTCACCACTTTTTGTGGATCACATCCAGCAGTTTAGCGTTTGGCATTCAGCTTCTGTAACAAATGGCAGGTGGTGACATTTTGTATCTTAATGCTTTTTCTTTGTAATGTCATCACCAGAAGTGGTGAAATATTGTTATAGTTTCCAAATTTTTGTTTGGCATTTGGCATCTGTAACAAATGGCAGGTGGTGACATATTGGATGTTAATGTCTTGTCTTTGTTTCCAATCTTGCGTTCACTTTCAATAGCTGATATTCAACTTACTCTGGGGCATAAATCAAATAACGTACCAACCACTAGAAGTGATTATCATGTAGTGAACAAGGAAAATTGAAGGTCAATATTACCTTATCTGGTTGATATATGATGAACTTCATTGTGGGGTCCACAGTCTCTATTATCCCTTTGAATTGAGATAATGTCTCTCACAAGTTTTAGATGAAGAGACACTCTGATAAATCAGAATGGATGAATTGCCCTTGCAACATTTTGAAATCTCAGTTTTGATGTCTTGTTTTTGTGGAATGTAATGTTAAGAAAATCTAAAATATGCATAAAATGAAAAATACAGGGTCACCCAAATATATAACTTTTTCTTGTTTTTATGGAATGGAATATCAAAAAAATCTAAAATATGCATAAAATGAAAAATACAGGGTCACCCAAATATATAACTTTTTCAATTTTAGTAGAAACTTCTTGGATTTTAAAAATTGAGACAATTCTACTATTAAATACCCGTGATATAATGATCAGTAAAATTGATGAATCATGTATTCAAATGATGAATAACGAAAGTAGTTCCAACATTAGAGGGTTATGTTTTCAAGTCACCCTGTATCAGGTCAATGCGTTAATTAAACAGATAAAGCACTGCACTTGGCCTGTTTGCAATCAAGAACAGTCTTGTTGATTCTTGCTCTGAATGTTAAACGTGTACTTTGTATCATGTGATTACCATTGCTTTCCCTTGGTATTGGGTATACCATGGTTCTCCTGTGTGAACAAACTCAGAGTACATTTATGACCACCCGTTGTCTGGATTCCAAATGAATTATTGATTGCATTACCTGTAAATGTAATTGCTCAGTTGTTAATTGATTAAGATGAAAGTAACATAGTGTAAGGGTCCATTGGGAAATTAGAAGGGATATCAAGGGCAAGTTTTTGCTCTGTGTTATATAGACCTGTAGATAAGTAAACTGACCTATGAACAGGTCTAAATCTGGTGGTATCATACTAGCTTGATAAATACAATACTTTCAATCAGGTTGACATGCGAAAGTCTATTGTAGCACCCAGATAGTTCAATGCTTTCATTAACTTAATGGTTCCAACTAGGATATTTCACATTTCACAATTGGATTATTTAACCCATCAGGTGAGCTCGGTTTCAGAACTAATTACAAATATTAACCATGTACTATCCTGCTAATACCAGACAAAGGTGTATTGATTGCAATAGCTGGTATTGTTAAAGTTCCTTATTTGCTATTATCCCGTTTGCTATATATATTATAAGTTAACATTCAATGCATTGGTCCAGGTTTCATAACAGAGTCTATAGTAAGAAAAGTTTATTTTTCTACTTTGGACTTTGATATAAATATGGGCCTATGATGCAATGCTTGAAATGAAACAAGAGAAATGAATCTTGGAGCCTTAAAGATGGAATCTGATCAAAAAGTGGAAGTAGCATAATATCAATGGAATTATACCAGTTTAAGTTTAAAATTAAAAGCATGGATACTTTCAAGTTTTAACAGTTATTTGTTACAGTTATCATTGTGATTGCAATGCTTGAAATGAAACAAGAGAGATGAATCTTGTAGCCTTAAAGATGGAATCTGATCAAAAAGTGGAAGTAACTTATTAATCAATGGAATTATACCAGTTTAAGTTTAAAATTAAAAGCATGGATACTTTCAAGTTTTTAACAGTCATTTTATATTTGGATTGTGATAATTTTCAAGATTTTCAACTGTTTTCCAGAAAGATGTTTATCATGGATGAGGTGACGTTAAACTATATAGTGTTCTGTGCTGCCATGGTACCGATCATCCTCTATGGTATAGTTGGAACATTCTTCTGCGTCTCATTATTCTATGCGTAAGTACAGATTTCAGTTTTCAGATTGAAGATGTCATATACATGTATTGGTACTGTAGTCTTGCTTGAAACTCTTCCATACAGTGTAGCCCTTAAGGATCTGAAGCCTGCTGGTCAAAATGGCATTACGGACCAGTTGCTATGTTATTTTCCTATATCTACTGAAAAAATCAACTGGTCTGTATGAGAAGTAACCTGGTAGTGACCAGCTGACCGGCCCTTAGAGCCTACTCTGATTCCATACCCTCTCTCATAATTTGAACCTGGCATACCCTAATGGGACAAGTAAGACCTTATTGCATGGGACTATGTGGGATTCCATGGGACTTTGCCTCATTAGGCACTTTGGATCTCAGGAGGGGAGGGAGGGAGGGGGGGGGGTAAACAAATTAAGGTCCCATTGGTCATCATACTTGATTCCTCCTGTGTCTCTGAATTTTGTGTTGATTGAACATCTGTTAAACCTGGACATGTGAATGCTCTTTTCAATCCCATTTTCAATATGCTTTTCATGTAAAAAGATTCAAGATGTGAAACACTTTTAGCTGGTCCAAGTAGCATTTGAACTATACTTAGCATCCTTCACTATATTAGTACTAGATATTCAGTTTTACAAGAAATTATACTGCTGTATAGTGTAATGGTATTCATGTTTGAGAAAAACCGATACCAGGCATGAGTTTCAAAGTTGACCTATATTGTTGACCTATTATACTGTTATGTGCTAGTTGTAAGTCTTGTCACACATATTTGCAATGAGAGTGCAGTGTACATGAAAATGTCACGTCATATTTCTTTTTTGACAATAGGCTGGAAACATGTTTTTGAGTACTCAAAATAATGTTTTGATAAGATTAAAAGATACTCTACTGTTAATTGAGCTTTTATTGATCCTGTCAGAAATGTTCTTTTGATAACACGCATTGATAAATTTCAGAGAAATATGACATTTCTCAGTTTCAGTTTCAGTTAGTTCCAGTTTCTTTGGCTTTAACTCCTATATCATTATAGCTTTGGATTGAATATAATACAAGTTTCAGTAATCTCCCCAGCATTAAAGCAAGTGGGCGCAGCACCCACCTGAGATTTTAAAAAAAAGGCTTGCATCCACCTGAAAATGGGAAAAATCATGAAAAATGGGCATACTTTGACTGATTTTGGTCTGAATTGTGTAAAATTAGAATTTTGCACCCACTTGAGAAAAAATCCTGGGGAGAACACCGAGTTTCCTATTACTCATTTTACTCTTTTGAGACTTATATTTTGTTTTATTTCAGAAAATTTTATCTACACCGAAAAGGTGACCCCAGTCTGCTTCTGACTGAATTACCTGGAGTTTCAATAATAAAACCACTAATGGGTGTTGACCCACTCCTAGAGGAGAACCTAGAAAGCCATTTCCTCATCAATTATCCAAAGGTAAGGTATAATAAATACTTTTATAAACTTAACGATCCACTGATTGACATTCTCCTTAAGTGGCCAAAAAGGCAATGTTTATCTATATGGGCGAAAAGGTTGCGAGGTTCTTCGAGAAAAGCATGTGACTTCCAGCTTTTGCTTGTCTGTATCCGAGCAACTCGCGAGACTTCACCTCTAAACCCAATCAAAAGTTTCAATTTTGAATGACATTTTAATGAAGATTTTCAAGTCTCACCTAATATTTTTATGTAAATGTTATAAGCATGCAATTACATATAATAAAAAGACAACATAAGGCAGGAGGAGGTAAACAAAGATTACAAAGAAATAACAATTGATTTTGATGACGCTACCAGAAATGGTAACAAATTGTTATACATGTACATGATGTAGTCTCCAACTTCTTTCTGGATGGTGTTCGGCGATTGGTGTTTAGAATTTGACGGTTGGTGTTTGGGGTCAGCGTCTGTAACAAATTGACATTAACCATCAGAATTTTACCTGAATGTCTGTGGCAAAATAAATTGTAGTAAAATAACTTTTGTAAAATTAATGTTGCAATCGAGAAAAAACAATCTCAATTGGCTAAATCAAAAAGCCCACCATCCCTTTAGTTCGGGATCTTGTATGCAAACTATTTATACCCATTTATCATAGTTAGCATCAATAATCATTGAAGTTTGAGTTAATGATTCTTATTCTTAACAATATCAGATCCTGGGGGTTCACTCTCAATAATTTGGGTAGGTATGTGCTCAGGGCATAAACCATGGAACCTGGCAAATTTCAGAGGAAAAAAACATGAAAAATTTGTCGAAGAGAGAACCTTTTTAAGCCAAAAATCTGTTTTTCAACAAAAAATGGTTATAAATTGGTAAATAAAATCAGATGGTGAGGTCTGGGACAAATCATCTAAAACGTGGATTTTGTAGTTTACATGGAAACTTTCAATCTTGAGAGGAAATTGACATGGAAAAATGCTCCAAAAGGGGGTCTCTGGCGTGGCACATAGATATTAAGTGGTATGTTGGAGTGAAACCCCGGGGTATCAGATAATGTTATACCCTAAACCTGCCATCAGCTGGCTATTCAGCATACTGATTTTATAGTTTTGTTGGGGATAAAATCATAAAAATTCTATATTGCTCTCATGGTTCTATTGGAGTCTTAATAGTAGAGATGAAGCTGGGATGATTTAGTGAAGGGTAGGCATGTTTGTGTCAGCTCAGTTCAAGGAATTCACTTTATTCTAGTGGAGGATATAGGAATTCTCATGTCTTCCATGTTACATATCTTTATATAAGCTACATATGTTCATTAGGGAGTATGCATTTAGAACTAAAGAAAATCATGCTCTTTTGGAAGGTATTCCCATTGTAGATTACCCTTTGCATTCGTTCGACTTCACTTCTTAAAAGAGAGCTTCGTCTGCGCTCTTTCAGTTTACAATAAATCTCTGATCTCACCGAACCAATCAGTGTCCGTCATTGAAATACGGACGACTTTCTATATGGTCATACATCCTATGACATCACTGCATAGTTAATGAGCATGTATTTAGCACACGTTCCTTCCACTTCGCTGATTGGTTGAGAAAATGTCAGCATGGTAGATTTGAAATAATTTATTACCCGGGCTGTCACAGGCACAATTTTTGGGGCGGGGCTGCTAAACTGTAATATAGTCTATACTCGGCAGTGGGTAGTTTATAACTAGCCTCTGCACGCAGGGTAATCGTAGATGTGGCTTGTTGCGTCTTTGATAAAGATCAGTACATCTAGTCTTTGGTTCCTTCTGAGGATATACAAAGAACAAATCGTACCAACATTAATGTAAGGAATTTAAATTTTTGAATCAGTTCTTGATATCAATTAAGGTTGGTAGTATTACTCAAATGTAATTGTAAGTCAATCCTTCAGATAAAAATCATAAATCTTGTTTTGGCTTGTTGTTGGAATACACAGTTTCATTTCTACTTTCGATTCATTCCTTTTTCATAGAATTGTAAACTAGAGCAGCTTATGTAGGCGTCCTCTTAATTCATCCTCAGTATATACTTAGACCTTTGTTGATTACAGTGAAACTTAATGCCAAATTTGTCAATCGCCATGACAATCTGTATACTGTTGGCATAATAAACTTGCATGCTAATAAAATAAGATTATTTCTAGTTAAACCTGACTGTTATTGAAATTGATTGTTGACTTCTAAGTGTATTTCAGGATTAGGGCACATAGTTCATTCTTGTAATTTAGAATAAGATAAATGTTTTTTTGATACTGTTAAGCTCATATAGATTTCTTATTGTTTTGCATGATCATCACCTGCAGGTTATAAAGATAAAATATATATTTCAGTGATCTCCCTAGCAATTAAGCAAGTCGGCATAACACCCACTTGAGATTCTTTAAAATAGCATTTCGCACACGAAGACGTAATTGCACCCACCCGAAGACCTATTTGCACCCACCTGAAAATCCATTTGCACCCACTTGAAAATAAGCAAAATTATGAAATTGGGATAGTTTATTTCAATAATAAACATTCCTTTTAGCCACATATCCTCTTACATATTGACACACTCCCTAATGGGAAGTTAGAAGTCTATTACATTTGATTGAAGAATGAAGACTGTGTTGCCATTTTTTGGTTTTAATTATCTAACGAAATCTTTTATCTTTAATGTTTTAATTGAAAAAATTTAAGTGAATCAATTTTATCACCACCTTGCGAGGCCTGGGGTATTAGTACAATATCTAGTTTAAAAGGTTTATATTTTATTAAAAAATCATTTTTTTATTGACTTGAACAATAATGGCGGGTCATAGTTGTCATTATCCGTGTTAAATTGTCTTTTGTTTTCAATAGGTTTTGATAATAACAGCAGGCAACATAACATTACATAAAACTTGATCCAAGAGAAGATTTCACTATGTTGCCCTTTGAGATAAGGTTATTGCTATATTGTACAGTTATCTAATGATTATGTTGTCCTTTGGACACTCTGATAAGGAATTCATAGAGATCATAAATGCCGTATTATGCTATATCTCATCTTACTGTTATGTTGAGTTAATATCTCAATTTTTATAATTTTTCCATATGGGACATCATTACAGTTTGAATGATAACCATTTACTAGACTTGTCACTTAGCATATTTCTCAGGGGATCTCTGATTATTAAATTTTTATTAGTTCGTCATGACATACAGAATTTACACCTCATATCCCTGTTGTCTATGAGCATGATACTAATTAAAGTCTTGATTTGAGATCAAGTGGGATTGACGTAACCGCAGATTGGTTAAAACTAAAATCAGTTTCGGGTTTTTGTTTTCATTTTTGGATGATAACTTGACAATTTAGATAATTTATTAATTTATTTTACTTCTATATGTTCTGGTATAAACAGCACCTGTGGTGCCACCTATTATAAACAATGAATGTAAACAGGACTATATGAATGAATGTATGAATAAATAAAATTGGGATATTGATCTTCCATCAATCTGCACTACATGTATTTTACATCAGGATTCATAAGTGTTAAAAATGAAACCTTCCGAGGCCTGATTATCTAACTCCTTTCAGGTGACCATCTCATTTAAATATGAATAGTACCTGCCACTTTTCCATTCATATTTTAATGAGTCTGCCATAAAAACTAGGTTAATCCAGTAGCCGATAGTCGAAAGTTGCATTCATGAATACAAATTATCAGATTGAGAGCTATCACTGTATTATTCATTGGATATTATTTCATTTCAGTATGAACTGCTGTTATGCGTACAAGATGAACAAGATCCTGTGTTAGAGTTAATCCAAAAACTTAAGGCAAGGTACCCCAAGGTTGACACCACATTGTTCATTGGTAAGTTAATACAGTAGCATTCCGATACTCATAGCATCTTTCTGTTTCACCTGAATCATCTCAGGGCTGAGAAGAAATGAGATGTCATGGTTTATCATGATGGAACAGTAGTAGAATTATGACTTGTAGAATGTGTTTTTAAGTAGTATTTGTATGGGGCCCTTTGATATATGTGCACATCTTTTTTACTAGCAAAACACTGTATTATCATGTCAAAAATTCATATACTGGTATAAGTCTTATCCGGTGTATATAAATATGAGTTTTTTGAACCATTACAAGAGTAATTTAATTTATACCCTAAGAATGGCTTGCTGGGAGCCTGGTTATTTTCATTTGACATTACAAGCCAAGAACAATTAATATACATTTAACCATTTAAATTGCAAAAACCATATAGCTAAATGACTACTGAAATATGAGTTTTTTGTTTGAACTATTACGAGAATGATTTATATCACCATCTAATCTGGCCTACTTATTTCACTACCCAATTCACTTCACTTAGTTCAGGTTAACTGAATGTTTCAACGAGCATCATGGGATAGAACCTCTCTCGTCACATTTTCATCTACAAAATATAAATAGTTTTTCTACAACCTGATATAGCAACAGTATATAAGGAAACGAACAACCCACATGGAATGGAATGAATATTTTAGTAAAATTATGTGAAATACATGGATTCTCATATCATTTTTCTAGAAATATTAAACAGTGATCTCCCCAGCATTAAAGCAAATGGGTGCAGCGCCCACCTGAGATTTTGAAAATAGACTTGCACCCACCTGAAAATCCATTTGCATCCACTTGAAAATGAGAAAAATCATGAAAAATTGGCATGTTTTGATCAGTTTTGGTCTGAATTGTGAAAATGAGAATTTTGACCCCCCTGAGAAAAAATCTTGGGGGAGACCACTGTTAAACTAATTATGAGTATTATTTTATATTTGAACCTTTTTTGATGTCCACTATTATTCAAGATTCCTAATAAGGTCGCATTTTCCATGTAAAATGTAAATATTGCTGCATTTTGTTCTCTGAAAAGTGCATGTGCAAAAGATAGCATGCTCCTTTACCAAAATATGTTATGAAAACATTGCATCAGTTTTGCTTGGTCATTTTGGAATCATTCTGTTGGCATCAACATAAATCAATCAAAGTGAAGAATTCCTTTGGAACAATTATTTTCAAAACCAAAATTTAAGACAATAAACATGATCACCCATTATATTTTAATCATTATCAATGGACATCAGCTGAATGAAAATAAATATTTACTTATTTATCAATTTCTTATTCTAACGTCAATATTAATGATTTCATATTATTACATGTACTTCTTTAATTCATAAAACCTTGGGAGTTTATTTATTACCGCAAGCTGCCATTTTTGAATTAATAAGGTGTAAATCCATTACCAACAGACTTTCGATATGTATTAACATCTAACATGGCATTAATTGCTGGGTGCATGTGGTCATTAGCAAAATATAACTGAACATATCCCATACATGTATAATGCATTAATATAATGTATATTGTTCAAGGGTCAGGCTAGGTAAATTAGGTGAATCTCATAAGCACTGAATCTTTCTAAACCAGGTAAACTAGGTGCATCATAAGCACTGAATCTTTCTAAACCAAGTAAACTAGGTGCATCATAAGCACTGAATCTTTCTAAATCAGGTAAACTAGGTGTATCATAAGCACTGAATCTTTCTAAATCAGGTAAACTAGATGCATTATAAGCACAATCTTTCTAAACTAAGTAAACTAGGTGCATCATAAGCACTGAATCTTTCTAAACCAAGTAAACTTGAGGTGCATCATAAGCACTGAATCTTTCTAAACCAAGTAAACTAGGTGCATAATAAGCACTGAATCTTTCTAAATCAGGTAAACTAGATACACCAGAAGCACTGAATCGTTCTAAATCAAGTAAACTAGGTGCATCATAAGTACTGAATTTTACTAGACCTGCTGATTGTTTCAGCATGTATAGGAAAATAACATAACTATAATTCAATTTCGTTACATTCTCTTATTTTGAATTCACCTTGAAAAATAATAGTACAATAACGTCATTTCAAAGGGCAATATAGTGAAATATTGGACCAAGGGCCACAGGCCCAAGATCCAATATTTCACTATTTTGCCCGCAGAAATGACTGTATTACTATTATTACCACCGTTAATGCCCAGGGCTGAAATAGCAAATTTGAAATAGAAAATCTTACGCACTGAACGATATCACTTTTCCTGGGAAACATAGCCGGGCGGATAATGTCATTATTGCCCGACTAAAGTCATTAACGCCCGACACAATATTGCTTACGTCAATATAGCAATTTAAATGCCTTCTCAACTAGTACTAAAACCCCTAGAACAGGCCCTGCAAGGTGGTTATAATAGAACATAACGTTGTACATGATTTAGCCTGACAATAATCAGATAAGATCAAAACTCTGGTGAATTGAATAAAATGAAATAACTGTCTAAAACAAAAAAATTATGCACAAAATTTTTACGTCATCAACTTTTACAAAATATAAGTCCTTATTAGTAATTATTAGTAAGTATGCAAATCTCTTAAAATAACAATAAAATGAGACTTGAGGGAGATTTCAAATATACAGAGGAAAGCCTCCATTGTTATTGCAATTTTCCCGTCCTTTGATTTTTAATGTTAAATATGATAATTTTGTAAAGCAAAAAAGCTGGTTTGGATGATCAATTTGTTTATATGTGTGTTATTCAATAATTTGCATGTTGTGTGATTTGATGTTAACATGCAATGTCCTGACGGCTGGTTCATTTTTTAGCTGGTGAGGTTTACACATGGAGCGGGGAATCTTTCCAAATTGTTGGTGAAGGGCAAGTAACGCAGCGTAAGTGGAGCCATCTGGTGTTTATTTTATCTTAGTTCGAATATTTTTTTGTTTCTGCCCTTGGGGTGTCTATCACATTCTCCCTTTAAGGTCTCCTTTTATGTGTACTATATCTGTTATATATTGTTCATGCCCATAGATTCTGTGTTCATATATATTGTTCATGCCCATAGATTCTATGTTCATATATATTGTTCATGTCCAAAGATTCTATATTCATATATATTGTTCATGTCCAAAGATTCTATGGTCATATATATATATTGTTCATGCCCATAGATTCTATGTTCATATATATTGTTCATGCCCATAGATTCTATGTTCATATATATTGTTCATGTCCAAAGATTCTATGTTCATATATATTGTTCATGCCCATAGATTCTATGTTCATATATATTGTTCATGCCCATAGATTCTATGGTCATATATATATTGTTCATGTCCATAGATTCTATGTTCATTCATCAAATCAAATAAATGTTAAAATAAATATTAATGTAATAATTAATAAATTGTTGATTAAAAATCAAATGGCCACCCATAGATATGACTCTAGGCACTTAATTGGAGGGTACAGAATTTATATTATGTATATGTGAAGTGACTGGCTTTTAAATGGAGGCTTCTTTAGTATTGCAAATTGATGCTTCAAAAATGTGGATGTAGCAATGAGCACTTCTCTCTATTATAGCCATTTCAGTGCTTGTTGAGTGTATTATACAGTTCATATCGTATTCACACACAAGTATTTTTATGGCAAATATGTGGGATTAGTCGTTTCTATAATGTTTGTCCCAATCTAATTTATCATCACTCGAGATTTATGCCAAGCAAATGCATGTTATTAGTCTCAGACTTATAACATTGCTATGTGAGCAATATTTTGCATCTGATATAATGGCACCACAATATAATTCATAATGATGGTAATATCGTATAGGTTAATGTTCTTATTTGAGGCATGTCCTTGGGTTTGCCTCGTTCATAACAAGTAGAGTCATATTTTTATTTTGCATTCATATTGTATTATAACATTAATTTTTTCTTGCGTAGTAAATTCGTTTCTTCAAAATTCGCTTTTAGTTTATAAATATTCGTCATTGGTTTTTGGTAACTAAGTAGCTCTGTCATGATCTCACCTTCACGTACGTTATATTCAATATATGCAGTGTACAATAATTTTAGCTTCTATATTATCAATGAATGTTTTTTGGAAACAGGTTGCAGACCCAGTTACTCTGCCTTCTTTAAAGGTTTGACTCATATACTAAGAAGAGAAACATGTTCTATGTTGATGGTTTAATTGGATTTTTTGTTGCTTTGTCATTACTAATCATTTAGCATGCTTGTAATAATCCTGCAATTTCTTAACAATGATATTCTTTCATTATCATTCTATTTTTACTAATTTATAGAAACTAGGCATGCATGCTTGTAATAAGCATAATTTCTAATAATATTTTCTTGCATTATTAACTGAATGTAGTTCGAGGGGGATATAGAGAAGCTTTCGTCCGTTCAATTGTCTGTGTCTGTGCAATAACTCAAATACTGGTCAACAGATTTCTTTCAAATTTTATAAGTTTATGCATTATGGGAGTAGGACCTCTGCTCGAGAAGGAATTTTCAATATGGCCACTCAATTCAAAATGGCTGCCATTTTTCGTAAAAATGTAATCTTTGATAACTCAAATACTAGGAGATTGAATTTTTTCAAATTTTATATGCTGATACCAAGGAACTAAGGAGCTTTGCCCAAAAAGAGATTTTCAAGATGACAGCTGAATTTCAAATTGGCCGCCATTTTTCATTAAAAAGTGTTATCTTTGATGAATCAAATACCAGTGGATGTATTTGGTTCAAATTTTATATACTGATGTTCTCTCAAGAAGAAATTTTCAATTATCAAAAAGGAGGCTTTGTTAGGTGGGATTTGCAAATCTGTGCAGTTGCTGTTTTGCTAGTTGTAACTATATCTTGCCATTTCCAAAACTTATTAAACAAACATGCATGTTTGTAATACCCTGCAAGATAATTTATGAATTAGAAAAACATAAATTAGCACAGGATATCAGGCCTGCTTGGTGTATGTATCATTTGCAATGAATATCCATTCTTCATGCATTAAGGTATTGCATTTTACACCGACACATGTTAAGTTGACCATACCAATGTGAATAAGAACAAGAATTTTCAGTAGCTGTTGCTTATTTAAGATCCGGGCAGTAAAAGCTGTATATTGCCAATGTATGCAGTGTCGGTCACATTCCTGATGTTTTCCCAAGTCCAAGTTTTGCTGATAGTAGTTGTGTTTTGTATTTATTTTCTTATTTCCATCTAAATGTTTTTCCCTTAAATTTTTGTAGTGAAGCAGTGTTTATGAGCCTTTTAGGCAAAACTTGCCGTCTTTATTTTGGTGAACTATGTATTTTTTGAGATGATGTGCAATTTAGACAGCCCTTGTACTGCTTATTTTTTAGAAAGCAAAGTTGTATTCTTTGGAAAATAGTAATCTAGTTGGGCCATAACATTCATTTTTATGTTCCTTTCCAAAAGATCAACAAATTAGAAAAATATTATACAAGGCAACATAGAATAATTAACAGTAAATCAGCAAACACCAAAACAAAATATAACTTAAAGCAATACAAAACATAACATACAGCAAAAGTATATAACATATAGCAAAACAGAATATAGAGAAAAGCAAAGCTAAACAAAATATAACTAACAGCAACACAGAATATAACCTACAGTAACATAGAATATAACGTATGGCAACACAGAATGTAACATACAGCAAAACAGAATATAACTTACAGCAACACAGAATGTAACATACAGCAACTCAGAATGTAACATACGGCAAAACAGAATGTAACATACAACAAAACAGAATGTAACTTACAGTAAAACAGAATACAACATATAGCAAAACAGAATGTAACATACAGTAAAACAGAATATAACATACAGCAACACAGAATGTAACATACAGCAACACAGAATGTAACATACAGCAAAACAGAATGTAACGTACAGCAAAACAGAATATAACATACAGCAAAATAGAATATAACATACAGCAACACAGAATGTAACTAACCTCAACACAGAATGTACAATACAGCAAAAGAGAATGTAACATACAACAAAAAATGGATGACCAAAGCAACAGTCACTTTTGCTCTATGGCGCGCATATAGCGGCCATATCATCAAAAGATCAATAGAAATCTGCACCATACTGCTAATCTCTCTATCTCATGCTGCATATTTCTCTCGATTTTACAGTTGCCGTCGATCACATGTGATCATTATTGCATTATTTTCAATATTGTATTTACTGAGGTGTTTTGTTTCAGGAGGAGAAGATGGTATAATAAACCCCATGGTCCATAACATGGCACCTGGCTACAACCATGCAAGCTATGACCTTATATGGATCAGTACAAGCAGAATCAAAGGTTTGTTCATATCAGTTCTATGGTTAGAGGTGTCATATGATTTTTGAAGGATATCATTCTTATCCCTAAGTGACTGATGATATTAAGTGAATTGAAGTATTTTTGGTTGGTCTTGGAAATGTGTGATTGTGAAAACTCTTTAATTAAAATATGATCACTTTATAAAACAATTGCAAAAAGGCAAGTGAAAAAGATTGTCATAGCTTTTTGTGACTGGTGTTCTGTGTCTTAGCAAAGGGGAAGGGTAGGTATAGGGTACTGTTCTTGCTTTGTTTTGTATATAAGGCTCTAAAGAACTGCATGTGCAAATGAATAGATACTAGACAGATACTAGTTTTCTGCATGAAAAAATTCTGCAAAAAATTCTGCAAGAAAAAAAGCAAATTCTGCAAGGAGAAAAACGAAATTCTGCACAAATTTTCAAAAAAAGTCCAAATTCTGCAATCTTTTAAAACGGAAACGGATGTCAGCTACTTTCTAGGTAAGAACTGCACATCATTAGCGAACTCGCTTTAGCAAATTTAAACGTGATAGAATGTTGAATTTCACGGTGAAATCGTACTTGTACTCAATAATGATTGATTGTTGGACATAAACAGACACTCTTCAAATACCCCGCAAAGGTAGGAGATCGTAACATATCTAATTTCTGGAAATTCTGGTAATTCCGCGGGATTTTCATGAAAATCAGGGATTCTGCAAAAAATTGAAGTTTTGTCAAATTCCGTCTACGCCGCGGAATTATGGAATACTAGTTTCTATGGCCTATATATAATACCTCTGTATCTGTGTAATTGCAGCTAGTACAGAAATCCTGCTAGATATGGTAGGGAAAATCCAGCCTGCTAAGGTTGCAATGGTCCATCAGATGCCCTTCACGACTGACCAGAAAGGTATCGCAGCTACGGTTGAAAAGGTACAACATAAGTGTAAATGTATATATTGTATATGTAAGGTATTCTTAAGGTAGAATCAGCTGAATAGTACAATAACGTCATTTCGAAGGGGAATATAGTGAAATATTTCCGGTCATTAATTGCATTCTTGGTGGTGGTCATAAAGATTTTTTGTGATCTCGATCTATCGTTAAGGTTTGCTTCTGTAAGAATTCACTTCGAAGTGGAGTTTGCTGCATTTTCCTGTTTACACATTTGTGTTCGGCATTATTGTACAAGCTTGCAATCAAATGTTCCCTGGTTAAATCGCCAGAAAACTCATTTCATTCAAGCCTACCTTGAGATCTATTTCATCCTTCATTCAACTATGCCAACCTTCTTACACAAAACAAAATTCAAATGTGAGTCCCTTCCTCCAAGACTAGATCATGTGCAGATAGTTACATGAATCGTTGGACTAAATCATTTTCATATTATTGGACTAAATCATGTTTATATATACATGCATTTCATATTGTTGGACTAAATCATGTTCACATAAACATGCATTTCATATTGTTGGATTAAATCATGTTCACATAAACATGCATTTCATATTGTTGGATTAAATCGTGTTCACATATACATGCATTTCATATTGTTGGACTAAATCATGTTCACACATACATGCATTTCATATTGTTGGACTAAATCATGTTCACATATAAATGCATTTCATATTGTTGGATTAAATCATGTTCACATATACATGCGTTTCATATTGTTGGATTAAATCATGTTCACATATACATGCGTTTCATATTGTTGGATTAAATCATGTTCACATATACATGTATTTCATATTGTTGGATTAAATCATGTTCACATATACATGCGTTTCATATTGTTGGATTAAATCATGTTCACACATACATGCATTTCATATTGTTGGGACTAAATCATGTTCACATATACATGCATTTCATATTGTTGGAGTAAATCATGTTCACATATACTGTACATGCGTTTCATATTGTTGGATTAAATCATGTTCACATATACATGCGTTTCATATTGTTGGATTAAATCATGTTCACATATACATGCATTTCATATTGTTGGATTAAATCATGTTCACATATACATGCGTTTCATATTGTTGGATTAAATCATGTTCACACATACATGCATTTCATATTGTTGGATTAAATCATGTTCACATATACATGCGTTTCATATTGTTTGACTAAATCATGTTCACATATGCACGCATTTCATATTGTTGGACTAAATCATGTTCACATATACATGCATTTCATATTTTTGGACTAAATCATATTCACATATACATGCATTTCATATTGTTTGACTAAATCATGTTCACATATACATGCATTTCATATTGTTGGACAAAATTATGTTCACATATACATGCATTTCATATTGTTGGACTAAATCATGTTCACATATACATGCATTTCATATTGTTGGACTAAATCATGTTCACATATACAGGGCGTTCAGTAAGTAAAGCTAATTTTGCTCTCATACTTTTATTTTTTGTCATTTATCTTTCAAATTTTCAATGAAGAAGCATTTGACATTTTTCTAACTACCCTGAAAAATTAAATAAGATATGATGAATAATAGCAAAACAATGGTTGTCATAGTAACGTGAATACGGGTTCTGTGGAGCAATTTCTTACTTTAATAAAAATGTTATAATGCAATGAAATTGATTAAGATTAATGCTGCATATGTCTTTGTTTGCTATGGCTGAAAGTCACGACAAACATAACAACAACATACACAAATATGATACCATGGCAACAGTAGTCTATGACATCACAGACAGATGATACAACAGATGGAATGATCCAGAATGATCCATCAGACACTGCTCCATGACATCATCAAAATCATGGCTGCCAGGATTGCCAATGGAAGCAAAATGAACAATGAAATGAAACAACAATTGAGAAGTAGCATCAGATACAATGTGTTGCTAGGGAAATCCAAGCAGGATACCATTAGGGATATCCAAAAAGCATATGGGGACAGTGTGCCTAAGTACACAATCTACAGATGGTATCAGAAATTCCAAAAGGGGAGAAAAACAACAAGTGATGAGCCAAGGTCAGGGAGGCCAAAACTTCTAACCAGAATGACAAAGAACTTTCCAGATGGCTTCCACAGGATATATCAGAAGTGGATAGAACGACATCAGCTGTGTGTGAAAGCTAAGGGGAACTACTTTGAACATGAAATAGAATGCTAACTTGAAAGTAGAAATGTGGAGTAGCCACAGAACTATGGTTGAAATATAGACAGGACAGAAACAAACGTTTACAAAATCTACTATGCTGTGAACTTATAAAATTGCTCCGCAGAACCCGTATTCGCGTTACTATGACAGCCACCATTTTGCTGTTATTCATTATATCTTGATCATTTTTTCAGGATAGTTAGAAATGTGTCTGATGCTTCCCCAATGAAAATTTGAACGATGATAGACAATAAATAAAAGTTTGAGAGCAAAATTAGCTTTACTTACTGAACGCCCTGTACATGCGTTTCATATTGTTTGACTAAATCATGTTCACATATACATGCGTTTCATATTGTTGGACTAAATCATGTTCACATATACATGCGTTTCATATTGTTTGACTAAATCATGTTCACATATACATGCGTTTCATATTGGTTTTCTTGTCTTGATTTCCTTATTTATTGTAATTGCAGACCTTAAATGTGTAGCCATGTTGTGTAAGTGTCCTTTTGTCTGCAGCCTTATTTAGGTCTTTTATTATCACAAGATTTTCATTCCTTTAAATGTAAAATTCCCAAGATTTCTCAAAAGCTTCCTTCTTCTTTGAAATTGATTTTTTGCTCATCACATACACGATTTCTTTCTTATGAAATGAGATAATACAGTTTTTCTCTGACAGATTACACATTTTCCTATTTCTCTTTTATTATACCTTTGCTGTTGTCATGGATGTTAGTATTTCAGTATTGTATTTGGCTTTCCTCATTTAGACTCTTTAAAGAATATGAGTGAACATCATACAGTTCCATTTCAATGTTTACAGTTTCTCTTTAGACTAAATAAACATTTTATCTATTTTGATTTTATCATATTACCTTCCTTGTTTTATTTCTGCTCTTATTATTAAGTATCATATCATTATATCATTCCAATATTTTAGTTTTGCAACAATTTGTCAATGAATGTACTTGTGATCTAGAATCCTAAATTGATTTGTATTTTTAAGTGGATTAAAATAATTTTTCTGTATCATAACTTTCCTTTTTGATCATTTTCTCCTCCTTTCATGTAGATGCACATTTGTTTTAGATGTCCCAATATATACGTGCATTTTGGATAAATAATCACTATTTTATTGTAAAATCTACATGGAGACCATGAAGACCCCTTCATATCATGTGTTAGCAATATTGAGGCCCCTTGTTAAGCTTATGATAACTGCAACAAACTCATTATAGATAATAGCCCTTAACTGAAATTACTGAATATTTTTTATAAATTTTTTTCCAGATATACTTTGGCTGCAACATCGCCCGGAACTATCTAGCTCTAAATGTGTTCAATGTCCCTTGTGTAACTGGCATGTCCTATCTGGTGAAGAAGGCTGCTCTAGATGAAATCAATGGGCTTAGTTACTATGGAAAATATTTAGCTGAAGATTTTTTCATAGCTAAATTTCTTCATGAAAAGTATGTTTGCAAGGCTTATATGAACTGTCAGTCCCGTAGTCAGCTTTTGCCAAGGGGGTTCACTTTTCAGAAAGATTACATGGGGGTTCACTTTGACAAATGTGGCCCAAAATCACAAAAAACTGCATGATTTTAAAAGAATTTTTCCCATGGGGACCCAACCCATTGAATCTCCCCTGGCTATACGGGCCTGACTGTTTATAGACTTTTATAATTGCATGGACCATCAGTTGGTTGTGTGGTGCATTTATAATTTCTTACTTCAGATGATTGCACATTGACCCTATTAAAGAATTTCTTTTGTCTAAGATCAGTTGAATTCAACACATTCTTGGTTACATTGATTACATGTCAGGGTGAATCTATGATATTGTACATGATTCAAGTTTGATTATGCAATCAATCAACTGTGAATATTTAGTGACTTTTTCCTGTAAGGTCTCAGCACAGAATAATTCTGCACTTTTAATAAGTATGTTATGATTGCAGGGGTTACATCTTGAGAGTAGCTGCTGTCCCTGCCCAGCAGAATGTAGCAAGCTGCACAGTTGTAGGCTATAAGGACAGGATGGTGAGGTGAGTGAAATCAGCTGTTAAAAGTACACTGCATTGACGTTAAAGGGGAAAACTGAGTTTAAAAGGAAGATGGAACAGCCTGGAATAGCCAATTTAACTATTGAAAATATGTTTTGATTCTACAAGTATCAAATAACAAAATTAAAAATTGAAGTTTGTAACAGCCGAATTTGAAACCAAAAATTGTGAAATCAGATTTAAGAATATTTCTTGCTATCTCATATTTCTCGAAACTTGAAAATAAAAAGGAAATTAAAAAGGAAATAAAAATCTGAAATTGTGATATTATTAGGATGAGAATGTTTTCTAATTTGCAAAGCTATTTTAGTTTCGCATGACACCATAATCTCGCTCGGTTATACGCGCCCAGGGCGCCATTAACAGAACCTTCGTTAAGTTACGAATTCGTAAATCAATTGTTGTAACCATGGATATAATGACGTCACACTTAGAGAACAATGAACTTTACGAACTTTTTACTTTAAGAAGTTTCTGTTAATGGCCCTGGTGCTTCAATTATTAAGTAAAAGTCAATTAATAAAAAAAAGTACAGTAATTTTATGGTAACTTACCATTTTGAAGCGGTCAAAATGAGAGCGAACAGTAGAAGATTTATAGGTAAACTCTTCAGGGGGGTAAAGGTTGCATTCTTTTGTGGGAAAGGTTTCCATGATCCACTAATTATGTCATTGATTTCTAAGTGTCTCATAATGTTCATGAGCAGACTTTAAATTTAAAGGCACGTTTAATTCTCTTTTTTCAGATGGTTGCGATTACGTCTTAACATGATGTGGTTTGTCTCTGGAGTCCTGGAACCCATGAGTGAGGCCCTTATACTAGGGACATACGGGGCTTGGGCTATTCACCATTTCTTCGGCTACAACCCATACATTGTGTTCCTCATACACACTTCCGTGTGGATCATATTAGACTACATTAACCTGCGGATGATAGAGGTACATATTCACGGCTTTTCTTTCATTTCCTCAATCTGCCCCATGTTTTCACTCTTCATAGTATCTCTCTTCATAATTACAGTTTTTATAATGAATTAATAAAAGTAAAGACTTACACTTCAAAAAAAGTATATATCTTGTAGACCAGGTCAATATTTCAATGTTATTTCAAATGTAAATATTTAAATTTCAGATTGAATTTGTTTGCTTTAAAATATTTGATATGACTTACAAAATGCACTAGATTTTTACCCCCAATCCCAATATACCATTACGCTTACATTCATATATTTAATTTTCTTGTTTCAGAATGGCCCCCTGCCTTTTAATAAACTGCAGTTTGCTCTTGGTTGGTTTATAAGAGAAACACTAGTAATATTTGTATTTTTTGAGGCTCTAACCAATCCATGGAGAATAAAATGGGGGAAAAGGACTTACCGTGTTTCTTGCGGCGGACACACAGAAATCCTAAATGATAAAGCTATACTTCCCATATAGTGACCTTTGCTCTTGAGATCTGAATTTGAACATAGGATACATATTATATGTATATACTATACATGGAACATGCTAGTGTGGTAATTTTCCATATAACTCTTCTATGTATTATTTATATGGATTATGGGATTATCTTAAAAAGCAGTATTTAACTATAAGAGTCATCTCATAATATGCCTCAGACATGTGTCAAGTTGAACTCCCACTATGGTAAATGTTTGCATTATGATGTCACATACTTGAACAATGACCTCTGTTTCATGATGTCATAAACCCTAGTCTGATATTAGACACATGATTTTGAGGTGAGATAGTACAGGGTGACCCAAAAAACAGAACCCAGATATCTTTAGATACAAGTTATTGGCTTTACTTTTTTAGGGCCACCCTGTATATGTAGAAATAATGTTAGTAGTCCTTGATTGCTGATTTATGATATTAAGTCAAGTTGCCATTACATCTATAAAGGTTTTAACTGTACTGGCTTAAGGAAGGCCTAGTAGTTTGTTCATGAATGATATCAGTGATTCAGGAAATTGATGGTTCAAATTGATTCTCACTCATTCAACTTGGCCTAACTTAAAATGTGCAAGATTGTATATGAAGTAAAAAACAGCTATTCCCATGACAAAAGACATACACGTTAAATCTCAACATAATCGTAGGATATCCTATGATTTTGAGGAATATCATTTTTATCTACGAGGTGATATTGATATCTGCAAGAGAGAGCAAAGCAAAGCATATATCAATATCACCGAGTAGATTAAAATGATATTCTGAAAAAATCATAGGATGTTCTTATTATCCTACACTTACTAGTAGTGTATTAGATGTATAATATCATTGAAAAATGAATTTCATGCCAAATAGAGTCAATTTGGTGGGAAATCAACAAGCGAAGTATATCGTCACAATATCCTCCGCAAATTAGATCACGGAGATATCCTTCGGTCATTCATTTTGTCAATAGATATCAAATTTATTTTTTAATGTTTTACATTTAGCACACTAAGTGTAGGATAAAGTGCTATATGTACAGTATCTAAGAAGGTAGTACAGTAAAATCCCTCAATTTGCATGCCATTCTATATAAGTCCTGCACTAATTTGCGACCAAAACAGATCCATTTTTGTAATTCCCTTGTTCAGTGCGATGTATGAATATGTTATATATTCAATCATTATTCCAAGCAATACATGTACACCAATTTTGGATTTATATTTTACTGATTTAGTGTAGGTTTGTATATGTAAGCGTAATCTCTCCCTTTTAAAACACTCAGCATTTATAGAGTAAAATGTGATTCTGGTATATTTTATTTTATATACTGACAGAAACACATATTTTATTTTACAAAATCTAATGATTAGTTGGAAGTTGATAAGAAGCATGAAATCCTTCATTCATACATTCTACAAAAATAAATTCACATGGAATTTAATTCCTCTAGTCCTGATAGTAATGTCCTAAATTATGAAACCTTTCGCCAGTATTATCATTGAAGTCTGTAGCAGTATTTTGTATGAAATAAGGTTAACACATTTATTTATCATTATATTTATGTATGATTTCATCAGGGGCGGTGAATTCATACGATCCGCGATCCGATCCGCGGATCGTCATGGTAATGATGCATTGTGGGATTAATCCAAGAATTAATCCAAAAATCGGTGAATTCGTACGATCCTGGGATTAATCTCAGGATAAATCTCAATCCACCTCTTTAGGTAGATTACTCTTTGGATAAATTTTATCCGAATTCCAATGCAAATTGGATAAATCTTGGGGATTCCCCCTCATAATCCTCGGATCAAATGAATTCACCAAATATTTACCGGATTAGTAATCCAAGATTTATTCCAAAAGATAACATTTATCCGGATTAGATTGGGGATCGTACAAATTCACGGCCCCAGGTGCGCTACTTTAAACCATTAAAAAAGAACGGGCCCAAGAACCATCTACATTTTTCACCATAGCTGTTTTACTTAATAAGCAATGGATTTCAAAATATTTTCACTGAAAATGCAACAAAAACGTTTGGTCCCAATCTATAAATTTTAAATCTATATATTATAATCATTGCTATGTTATTTTATAATCATTGTTATGTTTAATCTTCCAGAATAATGGAAAATCATACATTTGTGCATTTCCCCACTTTCTTGATCAGTTTGAGAAATTAGAAATATATTGAAAGTTCAGAAACTTACGTTTCCATTAAAATGTTCACTAGAAAGTTTAGTCCAAGATGTCTTTAGCACTTTATATAGGCCTATATAATATTTAGAGAAAACTCAGTTGATACTCTATGATATTAAAATCACTATTATATTGATATTATTCTCTCATTTGATATTCTGTAATATTAATATCATTATAATATATTGATATTATTCTCCCATTTGATATTATTATATAATATTAAGATTATTCTTATTATGTTATATTAAAATCATTATTATTATATTGATATTATTCTCTCGTTTGATATTCAAATTCTGTAATATTAAAACTGATATTACATGACATGTACATGTCTATCGATGCTTCAGGTTATTTCATGAAAGTTCAATATGTAGCACATAATCATATGTAATCATGTAAATATTAAATGTACAAAATAAGTTATTGATTGCATTAGTACAAGTATATAGCTAACATTGTAATACAGTCAAAGAGAAACCGTATCAGATATACAGATTATTATACATTTCATGACATTTTGTGGCTCTGTTATGCCGTGGTCACATCTGCTCCAATCTTTAACGCTGGCACTTGGCTGATGAGTACTTTGCTCAAAGCTGAATGCAATTTTGAACAAAATACTCATTGGCTGGGGGTGCCGGTACTGAAAATCGGAGCAAATGTAACCATTGCATTACACTTCAAGATAGCTAGGGCGTAAATCGTGAAATTGTAGCCATGGTAACATATTTACTTCATGATTATCAAGTTTCCTGAGTGAATGATTGTGACATGAGAATTAAACATATTGTCTGTATTCTGTTTGGAAACTTGTAGTCAAATGTATTTTTATCTTATTTACCTTTTGAGTGAAGTAACTAGAGCATGCACTTGTTTAGAGGGAGAAAGGGGGTGGATTGTATTCAAGCGCATTTCTTTATTTTATTTATCTTTTGAGTAAAGTAACTAGAACATGCACTTGTTTAGAGGAAGAAAGAGTGTGGATTGTATTGAGTGTACTCCCTATTTTATTTATATTTTGAGTGAACTAGAGCATGCACTTGTTTAGAGGGAGAAAGGGGGTGGATTGTATTCAAGCGCATTTCTTTATTTTATTTATCTTTTGAGTAAAGTAACTAGAACAAGCACTTGTTTAGAGGGAGAAAGGGGGTGAATTGTATTCAAGCGCATTTCTTTATTTTATTTATCTTTTGAGTAAAGTAACTAGAACATGCACTTGTTTAGAGGGAGAAAAGGGGTGGATTGTATTCAAGCACATTTCTTTATTTTATTTATCTTTTGAGTAAAGTAACTAGAACATGCACTTGTTTAGAGGGAGAAAGGGGGTGGATTGTATTCAAGCGCATTTCTTTATTTTATTTATCTTTTGAGTAAAGTAACTAGAACATGCACTTGTTTAGAGGGAGAAAGGGGGTGAATTGTATTCAAGCACATTTCTTTATTTTATTTATCTTTTGAGTAAAGTAACTAGAACATGCACTTGTTTAGAGGGAGAAAGGGGGTGAATTGTATTCAAGCACATTTCTTTATTTTATTTATCTTTTGAGTAAAGTAACTAGAACATGCACTTGTTTAGAGGGAGAAAGGGGGTGGATTGTATTCAAGCGCATTTCTTTATTTTATTTATCTTTTGAGTAAAGTAACTAGAACATGCAGTTGTTTAGAGGGAGAAAGGGGGTGGATTGTATTCAAGCACATTTCTTTATTTTATTTATCTTTTGAGTAAAGTAACTAGAACATGCACTTGTTTAGAGGGAGAAAGGAGTTGGACTGTATTCAAGTGTTACATTTTTGAGTTCTGATCTGTATCAATAAAAAAAACTTCATGAAATTCCTATTTGTACAGTCATATCACTGGCAATATGGTGAAATCATAAAGTTCTTGTATAAAATCATATATTTCAATTATTTTTTCACATTTTATGAAACCAAACAATCAAAACTCAGAAATCATTGTCATTAATATTGAGATTGCTGCTTATAATGTTGAGTACTACTTTACTGTCTATACAGGCTCATTATCAATGCACTAGTATTCATTTGAGATTGGGAATATAAAGAAATCAGCAAGTTCATAAATTTTATACTTTACAAACTTAACTATTTTAAGTTTCATCATTCATAGTGATTCATTAATTTCAGTATTTTCATAAAATCAAACCATATGCACACTTTGAAAACACAGTGGTGTATTTTAGACTAACTTAATTGTATATATTCTGTATATGATTTGTATTGTACAGGGGTTTCTTTTTATGTAGTATATTATAGTGATTATGTATGCATGTACAAAATATAATGAGTAGGATAAATATTTGATACAAAACAATGGTGAACTATTTATAAATAAAAACATTATTGTATAAAACATATCCAATATATTATTGTATATGGCATAATACATACATGTACTATGATGTTTGCTAAAAATAAGTTTGCACAATAATAAAAAAGAGCAATGTGCAGAATGCAAAAAGCTGATTTTTGTTCCTTTTTCTTCCGAAAACAGTGGTACGTCCTTTATTTGTAGTTCTAATTTATAGACCATATTCAGGGGTAATGTTTTGCAACAGACTGAGGCAGTGAAAATGTTTATCAAACCTGATAGATAAGCAATCTTGGCACCACAGGTCAATATTATGTGGAAAATGTATATATTTTAGATAATTAGTTTTATATTCAGTAAATTTGTCGCTTGTTATTTAGGGGTTTTTGGGTTAGCCATGATAATATTTAGCGATATCAAATAATCTAGAAAGTTTTAAATGAGGGCTTGCTACATGCATGTACAAAATGAACATTACACGGCATTTTGACTAGATGGATAGTATACATATATCATATCATGAAATCTTATCAGTTGCTATCAATCCCTATCTTTCTCATGAACTAACAGTAACTTCAATTCACGTTATGTTGTACTGTAATGTGATGGTGGGGTGGTGCATTGGGTGTGTATTGTTTCTGCTGTTCTGTTACAGCCACGCTAGGTCCATTGATGTCGGGGGAGACATTGAAGAAAATGTAAGACTTTTTCCAATATTTTATTTTTCATAGGACTGGTAAAGACTATAAGATGTACTGGTGCAAATGGGCTGGTTAAAATTTAGAAGTGCAAAATAAGATGATTCTAAAATCCATACGTCAAAAATAAAATTTTATGATTGTTTTTTTTATATAGATAAAACAGAAGAGGAATGCATTGTTAAAGGCAAAACACTGGATAGATGGCGTTGTGAACTATGAATTAGATACTATGTACAGTATGCCTTTGATTATTACAATATTGCCATTTATATCTGGGTACATACATCCATACCGGACATTTCTGATAATAGAATATAGCTAATTATATCCCAGGGATTTAGAAAGGTATTTCCAAATTTATTAGAATTGAATTAGTGGTCGTCTCCTTTTCATGATTGAAGTATTGCCCGAAATAAAGGATTTACACTTGTAATTGTTGACCTGACTTGGAATGATGAGAGCGAGAAGGACTTAACTTTCAAATCGTCTCTATGTGATCAAATTGACTCACTACATGAACAGTTCACCATTAGAAAGCTATTATTATCATCTTTTATGTCGTTTTTACAAGAATGAAATCAGGCAAAGAACCTCCACGCCCAACACCCTTTTCGAATCCCCAAACCCGTATCAGATGCACGTATGGGCATCAGGGTTAGTCTTCTTTCTGCTTTGTTTCAGACGAGCATCAAAAAGGAATGATTCGAGATGCTATGCATGAGATGGAGACTTTGACAAAAGTGAATGGTAGAAGTTGTCTAACGTTCAGGGAGATCACTAGCAATAAAGATGGACCATTGCTTGAAGATTATGTCTACATTTCCCCAGAACATCCCTCGTACGTGTGTACCATTTTTGTTCTTAATAGCGTTGTTAAATATATTCTCTCATGATATTGTCCTCACACATGCATCTCTGTAAATAAAGTCCCCTTTATTTTTACAGATTTCAGTATTTAAATAATATGCATTCCATATTTTACAATCAAAATTGATCGTTACATTAATTACAAATTTGATAACCTTTATCAATTTCATGATTTCAAGTTGGCAATCTACTGAAAACTGTAAATGGTGTCACAACGAATAGTCTCTGATGCAGGTCAATGACTTGTGGGTGATTTATTGCTCACGTTCAAAGTCTCAAACAAGATCCTCGTACTTAGATCGTTTACAATTCATTGAGCCCTGGGCTAAATCCTTTTATACGAAATTATAGGAAATTATGTTTTAGCTCGATTGAGGTCTCGGATTAAAGCGTTGGGAAATAATTTTGACAGTCAACCTATGGATAGGTCAATAGTACAAGCTTGCATTATTTATCAAAAAGGTGCAATTCGGACGTTGGCATGAAAGGCGGGAAGCAGACGTCATCTTTGGGGTTGCCATGTTTGAAATCAGGGAAAATCATGCATGAAATGATGCACGTGTTGGGTTTCATGCATGAGCAGGCTAGAAACGACAGAGATGACTTCGTCGATATAGTGTGGAAAAATATCAAAGGAGGTTTGTGACTTTCTGCCCACTAGAAATAAAATGTATACTGTTTATTAATCATTTCACCTAGTATGATTTCTTCATCCTAAATTTCACTTGTATGATCGAGTCCCTCATTTATTATGTGGTTTTAGAAGTAACATGGAAATATACAGCCCAAGGCTCCAACGGGGTGAAAAAGGAGTAATGAAAGCAAAATGTGGAAATGAAAACGTACTTCTCGTGACTCCAATAGAATTTCTTTACTTTCCAGGCCATGAACATAACTTTAAAAAGATGGCTAAATATGAAGCTGATACACTCGGCCTACCTTACGACTATGGCAGCATTTTACACTACTCCGAAAAGGCGTTCGCCAAACACTCTGGTCTAAAGACGATTGTTCCAAAATCGGATGCTTTGAAAAACGGATTGAAAATGGGTCAACGTGTAACTCTCAGTGAAGGAGATGTAAAAAAGGTTCAAACATTGTATAATTGCTTGTAACCCATATTCAAAAAATAAAAGTTATTGAACTAGCCATGGGCTTTCAAGTACAAAATAAGATTTTCTTGGAATGTGTACATTCTCCAATTTTGAAAACCCATGGCAATGTTTATGTATGAAATATGGGAAGTTGCCTACCCTTCTAGTTGAAAGCCCATGAACTAGCATAGACTTTCGATCTGGTCTGAGGTATTAAATTCTGTATAATAACATTTACATGATCACGAGGCAATTAAGCTTTTACACTAGATCAGCGCCTAGGATGAAGAAATATATTTTTCATCTTAGATCACATCCTCCGATCACAGGGCTTCAGATTTGAAGAAGAGGAGGTACGGATTCTGGATACCTGCTTAGGAAGATGCCTAGATCAGTGCAGATATTTTTCAATGTTAGTGTTGTATTTTATAAACATACCTCTTGATAACGTGAATATGCTAAGGGGTACCATAACTAAGATCTGATATTCGTTTAGTTAATGGATAAAAGTGAAGAATCTTATATCGACAAAATAACGTGCGTACATGGCGAAACTATTTTTGGCCAGTGACTTTTACACCCAGGTAGTTTAAAACAAATCGATGTCCTTCATTGGTTATTATCATATATTGTCTTACATGAAATTAATTCCTGATGGCGTTCAGACTACGGCATTAAAATCGGACTGTTTATAGATGTAGAAAAAACCGGGGACGCCACGGGCAAGTCACTATAAATATTTTTAAAATAAAGATGGCATATCGTTATCGATCTTTGCTTATTTAGAATTCTACCATCATGAGATAAAGAGAAAAGCGATAAAAGTTTTATGTACATTTGAAAACAAGACCTTTATGTACACATAAAACAAGACCTACCAACATTGAACATTTTTTTCTCGGAAAAAAGCCCAATGAAAATGTTTACTATACACAGGTTTTACTGTTATATTATTTCACGGTATTATTTACGATAGCATAACATGCAATATATTACACGGTTGTGAGAATGAAAAATGAATATTGAATGAATAAATAAATAAAAAACAAATGAATAAATAAATAAATCAGCAAAGCGGTCCAAACCGCGCACCCGCTCCAAATTTTTATTTCGCTTAAGCGATTATTTTTACAAATGTGAACGTTCGTTTCGAGAAAACTTCCTTCCGGTAAAAATCTAAATTCATTTACTTATCTCTTATTGTAAATTGAAGAAGAAATTGCACTGGTAGATCTGACTATGTGAGTAATTTAATTTCACCTATTTATATGCCGACCTTGATACGAACGATATAAAGTTTATAGACCTGGTTATGGCATAAATCTAATTCTAATTTTTGTCTTCGAATTTCTGGAACAGCCGACAGGTGATTCAATTTGATCTCGCAATGATGAATTGCATGTACAATTGATTGTTTGAACGCGCCTTACATTATTCCAGTTGTCCAGATCTAAAATAAGGATGAATAATGAATACCCCAAGGCAACCAAGCAGTCATCGCAAGACATTGCAACTAAACAGAATTCAGACTTGTCCAGCACAGATAGTTCTCACTCCACAGCTACTTGCAGAACATAGCCCACATAGGCCTCTTTATGAACATGTCCAAGGCTCCAAAGCAAAGTATGTTCATTTATTTATACAATATAAACAGATTGCTGTATGATCAAGAGTGTATGCCCCTCATATATCTTTAGATTTCAGCTGTTTGATGTATGCTTATTTTTTGTTTATTTCACTATTTTGATTAAAAAGTAGAGAAATCTATTAAAATCAAATGTTCTTAGAGGTCAACAAAAATGAGATGTTTCAGTCTTTTTATTCCTTGATCAGGATTTGCATTAAGGTCTAAAGGTTTTATATTGATTTGGTTTGTCAACACACTGTATCTGATACATATGTACATGTAGTAAATATTTGATCTTGTTTTTCAGACATGTTCCCGGCAGAGGCCTTGGTGATTTGTTCACACCAAAGAAACGTCTCTTTAGTGATATACAAAGTAGCCCCCAAAGACCACATACACGCAATAACGATATGCAGGATAACCCCCAAGTGGCTCACATTCCCACTCCCAGTCAATATAACACAAAAGAACCTGGAACTAGACTATTTCAGAGAATAAAGAGTGATTCCTGTTTAAACTCCCAGTCGGAGACTGTGAATCCAAAGAAACGGCTCAAATTGGATGATTCTCAGACAGAGGCAGCTAGCTGTTCCATAAGTGTTCGCTCAAAGTTTATTTATGTTACTGTTTGTCTTTTCACCCTCATCGCAATCACCATTGGTTTATTGAATATGGGACAGAGTGGTAAAGTTGAATTAAAACATGAACTGTGCTCTAACTCCAGCCAGTATAATCTTGAAGGTTTGAGCATTATGTTAAACTCTCAGGTATTTGGACAGCATATAGCCATGAATCAGATCTTGTTGGAATTAGAAGACTACCTGGTAAGTGATGCTAGTGAACCATTAATGCTTATGTTCAGTGGATGGACTGGAACAGGAAAATCATATATGGTTCAGCTAGTCGCAAGTCTCATTCCAGCCACCTCTCATATATATATTCTTCCACATCATTTCCCGAATGGTGAATTTCAACACTCAAATGAACCAAACCATACAATAATTCATAAAACAAAACAGACAGGGAGTTCTATACAAGAATCAAACCTTGCCTTTGCAATCAAAAATAAAATAACGAAATGTGCTTTGAATATTTTTATACTAGATGACTTTGATATTGAAATGGATCACATTGTGGATGAGCTCCAGAAATTCTACATCTCCATAAATGACTTAAGAAAATCAAAGACCAAAGTTGTTATCATTGTTATAAGCAGTATTGGGTCTGCACAGATCAACAGCATTGCTCTGGAGCATCTCCTACATGAAGACCCACGCGATTCCTTCAATTTGAGCATATTTCACAAGGAGATAAAGGCTGAGGTGGAGCGTGTGTATCCTTCAATAGGCAGAGTATTTCAATTCCAGTACATTCCCTTTTTACCACTGGAGAGTTCACATGTTGCAAAGTGCATACAAAAATACATAACATCAACAACTGCTGACAGATCTTTCAATGGGAATCGGATCAATGATTATGTTCAAAGAGTGTTGAAATTGGTTTCGTTTTTTCCATCAAAAAAGCCTATTTTCAGTGTCTCTGGCTGTAAGAATGTTGGTACACTAGTTGATATAACAACTCTAGAGTAATATATTTAGTAGAAAAAAAGTTATAAGCTGAAAGAGGCTTGATGCCAAAAGAATGGATTTCGATTGACTCAAATACTTTACATGTATTGGCATTTCATAGCAATGTCACCAGCCTCTAAATATCTCGAAGAAATTGTCACTTTGAAATAAATTCATCAATTGTAACGTGCGTGCTTAGTGATTTATAGCGAGTCACAAGTTGATTGTACACATACAGTACTTTCTTTTGTATTTTCTAACATGGAAATTCTCTTGATCTCAAACATGTGATTTTTGATAGCTATCATTGGATTATTCAAAAGATTATGTCAGGGATAATGTTGTACATGTGTATGTTATGTAATTTTATTTACCATATTAAAGATGAGAACGTACATACAATATGTGTAACATAGGTCTTCCTATTTATTGTACTTGCTATAAATGTCACATTTTTCTTTTACTCAACATTTTAAATTGTAAGAAATTGTAGATGGAGGGTTAACTGGTTAAGGGTCCCATGTTAAGTTTGAAAATATAGTTTAATCATTTAAATTTGTTGTATAGTTACTCTACTAATAATAATATGTATTTTTTACTAAATTGAGTAAAATTTTTGATGAAATAAAACACAAATTCTACCAAATTATTTTATTTATTTTATTTGTATATTTCCTACAAATTATGATTACAGCTCAATTTTTACTCTTGGAGCAACTGCAAATCTCTCAATCAACATCATGTATGTATACAGTGAAGTATAGTAAACATGAGTGTAGATACTGACATGTGATGTATAGCAAACATGAGTGTGGGTTCGGACATGTGATGTAAAGCAAACACGAGTACAGGTACACACATGCGATTTCTTGATTTCACGTATGTTTCACGGTTTATTTTATAGGTGAAATAATTTATAATATAAATAAATATTGGGCCTTATTCAGTTCATTGTCTCATTTGCCCCATATTCACTTTTGTCCCACACTCGCACCGTGAACATACTCACATGTTCGTACCAACACTCATGTTAACTATACATCAAGTGATATAACCTAATTTATTCCATAATACTACTGTTTTCGCAGGGAAATATGAAGGAATACAAATCGTATTGAATCGTATTACATGAAAAAATCTTATTGTCCCCGGGAAAAAAATCGTATTGGAGCGTATTACATGAAAAAATCGTATTGTCCCCAGGATAAAAATCGTATTGGAGCATTTTAACCTATTTCCGGTTTCCCAATTATTTTTTCCCGGTTATTTGCATTATCCAAATGTAGCATTTTAGAGGGGTGTATTATGGAATAAATAGGTTATTTCTGGTCGGGATTGAATATGGGTTTCATTCCTCGGGAAATATGATATTGACCTTGGGCTATATGATATTGACACTCGGTCGCTGCGCTCCCTCGGTCAATATCATATTACCCTTCGGTCAATATCATATTGTCCCTCGGAATAAAACCCATATTCAATCCCTCCCAGTAAATAACCTATATGTATATATAACATTTTGAATGTGGAACAAGACGTATAATCCCTAAACTTACAGAAAGCATACTACTGTCCTAACATACTGTATCATATCATATCAAATCAGCATAACATTATTCACATGTATCAAATCAGCAGAAATGTATCTATCATATGAACTTATGTGGGATGTTATCCAATTATTAACATTGTGGACAAATCCTCCCCTCATGTAATAAATTTAAAATATTGATTTGCTTTTCACTTGAATGGCTTGGAATTATTCAAAAATCAACATTCTAAATGAAATCACAATCCCAATAAAAAAACTTCATTCTACAATTGTTGACAATTGAACACCATCCCTGAACATATATTCCATATTCAATTAAAAATTTAATTGCCCACAGAGTATATTCAAGGAAATCATCAAAAATTTACAATAGGCTATACTTATACAAAGACATTTGTTTGCTGTGAGATGTAAAAAACATTAAAGGGCAAAGAAAAAAGTGTAATGAACACAAACTTAAAGGGCCCTGTCAATTAAAAATTAGCCTATACATTAAATATACAATGTATAACTATATTTCTGATCAAACAAAACAATTTGTACCTTTTCTGGCTGACTTTTCATATATAAGTTTCATATATTAAAATGTGGTAGGATGGTGGTCTTGTCCCTTATGTTGACCAAGTATATCTTGGAAATCCTATAAAATACAGACCCTTTCATGGCAAACATGAAATTTGCACGACAAGAGATGAACTACTCGTACATGCATAACCAAAGACAATCAAAAACATTCAGAATGAGCCAAAACTTATATTTTCAAATTATCCAATAAGGCTTGAACACAGTTGGAGTATGAGTATCCAAAAAGAAAAATAACACTTTTATTCAATTTTGTTAAAAATAGAGGTATATTGCACAAATATGCAGTAAAATCAATACACATTCTTCTCAACTCCCTGGGGGTCAAGTATGCAGAGGAATCGAGTCCATTTCAACACATACTTCAAAAAGATAATTCCTTTTTAAACAAATATACATTTATTATTTGAATGGCACAAAGCAATATATTCTCCAGTCTAACTCCCCCGAATAAATAAGATAAAATCTTCATACTTCTTATTTGGAATATGGTGAGCAACATTCTAATTACAACTACAGTATTCCATGCTGCTCTGCATTCTACGTGTGCATACTTCTTCAGTTTAAAATGTAAGTCTTATACACTATATAAATTTACAAACTGTTTGGTGCATCTCATTATAAATACAGTTTAAGTAGATAATTTACAATAACATTTATCAATTAATTAACATAGAAAAGTGTTGTAAAATTAAAATTACACGATTTTTCTGTTAGCAGTTACAGTATTAACATGCAAAACTCATTTTTTCATGGACTAAACATATCGTTATCAAGAGTATGATGAGTAAAGAAGTATTGTATTGTGGAAGGTTTCAGCATTTTTAGCCATTTGAAGGAGCTTTGATTATTGTTATAGATGGCTCTCACATCAAAGGGCTTTAAAATGGATGTTTTATGCCATAAATTATGTATAAATTCCTCCAAATTTAATTAATGGCACATTCTCTTAATTATTGATATAGTTAGATGTGCATTTTCCAATGTGTAACTAACATACACAACTGTAACATGAAGATCAATTTAAACATTTTCAATTCACCAGTCCCAGCCCAAGAGACAATGAATTGTTCGTCCTTTTTCTTTTTTGTATTTGTACAAAAGCATATGTCTTACTTGAAGATGGAACCTTGCAATCAACTCACATTTTAGCAATTGCCCAAATAAATGGTTATTAATCACGGAAGCTGTTGAAGCAATAGAACATGAATACTAATATCGTGATTTCAAAAGGCAATATAGTGAAATATTGGACCAAGGGCTGATGGTCCAATACTTCACTATTTTGACCGCAGAAATGACGTTATTAGTGTATTATTACCACCATTTATGCCCAGGGCTGAAATAGTAAGAACGGACTACCACTGAATGAAAATTATAAACACTTAACGATATCTAATTTTCCGGGGAACATTGCCAGGCTGTTAATACAATATTGGCCCGCCAAAATGATGTCACATATTGCTCAGGTCAATATAGTAAAATAAAAGCCTTCTAAACTAGCACTAATACCCCTAGGAAAGGCCCGGAAAGGTGGTAATAATGATGAATAGGAATATGATGTTATTTTTGTCACTATCTGCCATAAGTCATGATATCATATACATGCACCCAGGAAAATGCAATACTCCTACTGGCTCAATGTCAAATGAGATATTGTGAACTAAAGGAACGCAAAATGGAAAAAAAGTAAACAATGCAATTGGACTGTGACTGGCAAACCAAAAATGGTCTTAACCATACAAAATTGGATAAACAGTGCAGTATAAAAAATATACTGTAAATAAATATATCAATAATGCACATGGTTAGGTGGTTATATCAATGTCCATCATTGTAATTAATTCATGGGGGAAGGAGATAATATTCACTAAGGGACATCATTGGTTTATAAAATTAATAAAATGTGAGTATGAAATGGAACTTCAGGTTGCCTTGTAAATAAAG